GATAGATATTTGTATCAATGTACACCCCCAAATATCAAAAATTTCAATTTACACCCTCAAAAATAGAAATTTGTATTAATGTACACCTAAAACTAAATTAATAAATTATACCTAGATCCTCTCATACTTGTCACTTAATCATTTGGACCCCTTCACATTTAGAATATTACTCTTACATTTCATGACGTTTGTGCAAGTATAACACGTAACTCCTTTTCATTGATATCTGTTAATATAACCATTAAAAAATATAATTTTATCCTAATAAAAAATTATAATTTCATATTAACTTTTATTTTATGGGTCCAATATACTCTAAAATTCAAAATCAAACTTACCATTTGAATGTCTATAGAATAAATGGTTGCACATTTAGTGATATATTGCATTGGATATAAAAAATATTATATAAATATCTACATTCTAGAGAACTACCTAATTTTGGTACTTTCATCCAGATTCGTGATTATCTATTACAAAATATCTCACGTACACTACTAATCTCCAACTCATGTGATGTGCATGTGAGAGATTCCGTGGAAGTTAACTGCAAATCTAGANGAGAACTACCTAATTTTGGTACTTTCATCCAGATTCGTGATTATCTATTACAAAATATCTCACGTACACTACTAATTTCCAACTCATGTGATGTGCATGTGAGAGATTCCGTGGAAGTTAACTGCAAATCTAGATGGAAGTATCACATTGACATAACTGATATAATTTAGGGGTTAAATTGATATAAATTATATAATTTAGTGGTCAAATAGATGGAAGGGCCACATTGAGTTAATGATATGGTTGAAGGATACAAAACATAATTTAAGAACGTAATTGACAAATGATACAGTTCAGTAAAGTAGGTGGTGCGACGGAGGTTATAACTACGACCGAATCAAAATCAGTACTCTTGGGGAGTGAACAACAAGAATGATGGTGAAAACCTCGATCGGCTACTGATTAATTTGGGGAAAAAACTCGATCTGTCTCAGTTCCTCCTGCTTTCCGATTACACGGTTTCAACGATTCAGGCATCTCTCTCTCTCTCTCTCTCGGATTGTGTGTGTGCATATGAAGAGTGTTGTATATATCGGTATATATATTGCTTGTTAGATTGGTTTTTCACGATCTTCTATGTTTTGTTCTTCTTTACATCCGATAGAATTTACGTACATTTTTAATCAGAATATTACTTGAGTTACTGTTCTTATTGTTGATTATACGAATCTGTGTAGTTGATCGATCAGGCCNTTTTTTGTTTATTTCACTCTGAAAAATGGTATATGTTACAGACTACTAATCATTTGTATTTACTCATTTAATAATTCAATATTCCCATCCATCCCTTTTAAGATATATTGCATTGAAATGTTGGTGAGACCTACTGATGTAGGACAGCGGTGTAAAATCAAAATAGGGGTTGTTTTGGGGCTGTGAGTAGNCCCTTTTAAGATATATTGCATTGAAATGTTGGTGAGACCTACTGATGTAGGACAGCGGTGTAAAATCAAAATAGGGGTTGTTTTGGGGCTGTGAGTAATAATGGGAACAATAAAATAGATTGTGAATAGTAACTGAACAGTAATATTAGCTTGGAATCACTCTTAGGATTTCTTAGGCATCACACCTAGGTTTAGAATTGCATCACACAACTCAAGAAGCATATAATTGCTAATTTTTCTGAAATATCTCTATTTTATTTAAAATATCACTAATTATATATAAACTTTCAAATAATTCTAATCCCAAAAATATTAGAATTTTGAAGTCTCTAGAACTTCAAAAATTCTACATCATTAAAAATTTGAAAACTAAAAAAAATTAGAACTACAACTCTAAATTCTAGCATATCCAATATTAGAGTTTGACCCAAAAGACCACCCACTGGTTAGATTATGACCCATTCCAGAAATTTTGCAAATTACAAATACCCTCGAGTTTAAAAACTATTAAAAGGACATAAAATACTCATGCTAACAAATTGACTCAAACTAACTTAAAATAAGACTCAAAATACAATAATGCAAGGTTTCATATAGATCTTTAGCTTGATAGAAAGTCAATTCTATTATCTTTCACATCTTCGAATTTACATTTCCTTGAGCATCTTATGGAATGCATAATTCTCCCCTGATCGGAGAAAACTAGACCTTTAGTTTTAAAATTGTTGCAGTGAGATTCTACAAGTTTTGAACTTGCATCTTTTTTTTTTATGAATTGTGGAAATAAAGAAAAAAATTGGAGATTGATCTTCTCAATTCGGTCCTTGAACTTCTCTGAAATCACAAAATTAATTGGTGGNCGACCTTTAGTTTTAAATTGTTGCAGTGAGATTCTACAAGTTTTGAACTTGCATCTTTTTTTTTATGAATTGTGGAAATAAAGAAAAAAATTGGAGATTGATCTTCTCAATTCGGTCCTTGAACTTCTCTGAAATCACAAAATTAATTGGTGGAGTTAAGCGAATAGAAAGAACATCCTTGAATTAACATTGCACTATAGGACTTGTATAGTGCCTTTCAATTGAAACCTTTACGTTGTTCATGGTGATATCTTCTTTGGCTACAACCTTAAACTTCTCTTGATTGTTNAGACCTTTAGTTTTAAAATTGTTGCAGTGAGATTCTACAAGTTTTGAACTTGCATCTTTTTTTTTTATGAATTGTGGAAATAAAGAAAAAAATTGGAGATTGATCTTCTCAATTCGGTCCTTGAACTTCTCTGAAATCACAAAATTAATTGGTGGAGTTAAGCGAATAGAAAGAACATCCTTAAATTGACATTGCACTATAGGACTTGTACAGTGCCTTTCAATTGAAACCTTTACGTTGTTCATGGTGATATCTTCTTTGGCTACAACCTTAAACTTCTCTTGATTGTTGTTATAGTATAATAGCATTAGTGGATTTTTATGCTCAAACTCTTGGAAGATGCAAACAAATCAAGCCCTTGTGACATTGTTATTGTCGATCGAAAGCAATCAATGTAAGGAATTTCATTAGGCAACTCTTTTGGCACTATGTCGGAGCACTTAGCAAGCAACTTAGTCATGTCTAAAGACAATTTTGATTCAATGTTAGCTGCTGTTTTTTGAATATTTTTAGACTCCATGACATAATTATTTTTAGAATGCCCACTTTTCTCCTCGGTCCTTCAATAAATAATTAGTGAATTGACCTGAGATTGCATAGACTCATCTACACGATCTTCGCCGCCCTACATTATTGATCGCTTGCTGCTTTGGGCTGTTTTTGACCACCTTTCTCTGATGGCACATTATGATGCCAATAACTTTGAGTTTTGGCCCTATTGGAAGAAGAAACCCTTGATATACTTGCTTGGTGAAGGAAATTTAGGACATCTCCTTACCCTTTGAATGCCTGCACTACGTTGTATAGTGACTGCCCAAGTAATTCTACCTTTATATTTTCTCTTAAACTAGCCTTGAATCGAGCAATTCTTTGGCAAGAGTCTTCTACGATATGAATTTTTCAACATTAGGACTTCAAATTTTTGAATATACTCCGTGGCATATAAGTTACCTTATTGTAGATTAATAAGTTGTTTGCACAACATACTATGATATTTTGAGGGCATATATTTTTGTTGAAACTTAGCTTTCATCTCTTGTCATGTGTTGATTGACGACAATCTCAATCTTCTTAAATCTCCTTCAACATCAAATCACCAAATTTTTGTCATGCCTACAAGTTTCATTTTGTCAAAATTTATTCTCCACTCGTCCAAAAAATTATACTTGGTAAAGTATTCCTCAATAGAAGTAAGTCAACCAAAGAATATTTTAATAACATTCCTTCTATCAAAATCTTGTATCTCCATTCTCATATGTCAATATTTAAGCCGCATAACGTAGGATTTTTCGGCTATGATACCAAAACTAATGTAGGACAGCTGTATAAATCAAAATAGGGTTGTTTTAGGATTTGTAAACAGTGGCATGAACAGTAAAATAGGCTGTGAACAGTAATATTGGCTAGGAATCACTCTTAGGGTTCCTTAGGCATCACACAACTCAAGAAGCATAGAATTGCTACATTTTTTGAAATATCTCTCATTTATTAAAAATGTCACCAACTATATATAGAGTTTTAAATAATTCTAATCCCAAAAGATTAAAATTTTAAAGTCTCTAGGACTCCAAAAACTCTAGATCATTAAAAATTAAAAAAATAAAACAAATTAGAACTAGGACTCTAAATTCTAACATATCTAATACTAGAGTTTGACCCGAAAGACGACCCACATGTCGGATTACGACTCATTCTCAAAATTCTAAAAATTACAAAAAATACCCTTAAGCTTAAAAATTATTAAAAGGACATATAAAATATTAATACTAGTAAATTGACNCAAAATTACCTTAAGCTTAAAAATTATTAAAAGGACATATAAAATATTAATACTAGTAAATTGACTCAAACTAACTTAAAATAAGACTCAAAATACAATAATGCAAGGTTCCATAAGGATCTTTGGCTTGATAGAAAACCAATTTCATTGTCTTTCACATCTTCGAATTTGCGTTTCCTTGAGCATCTTATGGATTGCATCACTTGCGTTCTTGATTTCAGGTGTATCAGGAGTTGAATGTAAAAGTAAGAGATGCCGTGATATCTCTGGTGTGTTTTTACCCTTCGTTACATGTACACCATTTAATGTGTGTTTGAAATTCAGAATATTCAATAGTAGTTTTAACACAGATTGATCAAGAGCGTGAGGGGGAGCAAATTGACCAAGCTTTATTGAAGAATGTGCTAAATATATTCGTTGAAATTGGAATGGGACAATTGGATTATTATGAAAATGATTTTGAAGCAACTATGCTCGAAGATACTGCTGTTTATTATTCTCGGATGGCTTCAAACTGGATCTTAGAAAATTCATCTGCCGATTATATGTTGAAAGTATAACTCTACTCTTTTCAGGTTTAGATATACTTATCCTAGATAGTTTCTGATTACTTCTTGCAACTCCAGGCTGAGGAGTGTTTGAAACGATAGAAGGACAGGATTTCTCATTATCTTCATTCTAGTAGCGAGTCAAAGTTGCTCGAGGTTTTGTTCTTGCTCTTGAAATAGCAATATATATCTGCCTTAATGTTTTGTTTGTTAGTTTTAAAATGATGCCATGGTAGTATATTAAGTGTCGAAACCATGTTCAGTGCCTTCATATTTTTTGTTTTATTTCCAGGTCAATTTTGATGATATAGATTATACATCAAGGTATTTTTTTCTGTAGATAGTTCAACGTGAGTTGTATGTTTATGCCACCCAACTGCTTGAGAAGGAGCGCTCTGGATTTCATGTGCTGCTAAGTGATGATAAGGTAGTCACTTGGACAATGTTGTTATTCAAGCCTTTTGATGTCTAGTTTGATTGGAAACTGTTACAGTTTATTAATACTTTGTCCATTTTTTTAGATGGCGGATTTGTCAAGGATGATTAGGCCCTTTATCAAATCACCTCGAGGCTTAGATCCCATCTCTAATATACTTAAGCAGGTTCATGTTTTCCAACTTGCTTTATAATGAGCCGCTATAATAGCATCTTACTTGGCTTTATTATTATTTGTTTTCTCCCTTGATTCTAATATATATTTTGGTGTTCCTTATGCAGCATGTTACTGCTGAAGGTACAGCCTTGGTTAAACAAGCAGAAGATGCAGCGATCAACAAGAAGGTTTGTATCTTGATCTTGACTTTTTTTGTCAGATTATTTACTCTTGTGCAAATAAGACTCCTAAGAAGGTGAATTGCAGACCATGCTGATGCTGATAATGGGTCTCTGGTTAATGTGGTCTGGGGCAGGTTACAGCAATTTATCTGCTATTTTTTGGGAATGGGAAAAAATATAGTGTTAGTAATAAATTAATGCGGTCATGAACTCATTACAGTCACAGATGTTTATTCGGATGTTTTCATGTCCTTGGTTATCGAGACATGTCTTAACAGCTTCAAGTTTGACTGTTGTTACTGGTTCTGATGCTATGAAATGCTTTTTCCCTCCCAGGCAGCTAAGAAAGATGTGGTTGGTTTGCAGGAACAGGTAGAATAATTCCTTACTTTCTGAGCTTAATAGTAATTTCCTGATGTAGAACTAAAGACATGCACCTTCAGGTTTTTGTTAGAAAGGTCATTGAGCTGCATGACAAGTACCTCACATACATAAGTGAATGTTTTCAGAACCACTTCCTTTTTCACAAGGTTTGTGCCGTAGTTGCTGCACAATTATTTTAATCTTATCCAGAATATCCAACAATTAGAATTTCTTGTCTTCTTTCCCTCATTAGGCACTCAGGGAGGCATTTGAGGTCTTCTGCAACAAGGGTGTTGCGGGAAGCTCAAGTGCAGAACTACTTGCCACATTTTGCGATAATATTCTTAAAAAAGGAGGGAGTGAGAAACTGAGTGATGAAACCATCAAAGTAACGCTTGAGAAGGTATGCCGCTTTCTCTTTATTATTTGATGTGACATGGTAGGAATGTGTGGGAACAGTGTTATTTAAGACGTAAAGCGAACCGAAGCGATCAAGCTCCTAACGCCTAAGCGAGAAGCGAAGCGAAACGATTTACCGAAGCGAAGCGAATAATTAAAAAAATATATGTATTTTTTAGTTTAATTATTTCTAAATATCTAAGTTCTACTTTTATATATACTAAATANAGCAAAAAAAAAAAACAGAAGCAGAATCAATTGTAAACAATTTCATATGTATTGAATAAAAAAAGCAGAACAGGAGCACATTCACATGTAGTGAATAACATTTCATAACAATTGTAAACAATTTCATATTGACTGGACTGGATAGGATAGCAACACGAGGAAAAAGCAAAAAAAAAAAAACAGAAACATAATGATAAAAAAAAAAAAACAAAAAAGCACAATTAAAGCAGCAAGGAAAAAAAAGACTAACTTGTGAGGAAGCACAATTAGAGCAGAATTAGAAAAAAATAAATAAACAACATCAAAAAAAATAAAAGGGACTAACAATCAGAGCAGAATCAGAAAAAATAAATAAAATAAATAAAAAAAACAGAAGCACAAGCAAAAAAAAAAATAGGAGCAGAATTGGTGAGGAAGGAGAAGAAGAGAGAAGAAAAAAAGAGAAATAGAAGAGAGAAGANAAATAAATAAATAAAAAAAACAGAAGCACAAGCAAAAAAAAAAAATAGGAGCAAAATTGGTGAGGAAGGAGAAGAAGAGAGAAGAAAAAAAGAGAAATAGAAGAGAGAAGAAAAAGAAGAGACTAACTTGTGATCGTCTCTGTCCACCCTCCAGACCAGCGATCGTGTAGAAGTAGCGATGGTGTCTGTACTGTGTCCAGCGATCGAGTAGGAGTATCGAGCAGCGCAGCCTTGTGTCCAGCGAAGCTCTGTGTCCAGCGATCATGTACGAGTGGAGCAGCCAAGCCAATCTGAGAAAAAATTAGGTTTTGGGTTGTATTTATGGGATAAGGGAATAATTCAATGTATCATCATCTTATAATTTTTTTTCCAATTGTCCAATCCAACGGTCCATAATAAATAAAAAAAAAATTGTCTGGAATGACAAAGGCGTTCACTTTTTTGCCAGTCGGTTAAGCGACAGGCGCTCACTTTTTTCTCGTTTCGGTCACATTTGTTTCTCTTGGGGTCCTTTAGGTGAGATACCTTCACTTTGCCTTGCTTCTCACCTAGGCGTGCTTTTAAAAACACTGTGTGGGAAGAAGTTATTGAACCTCTAATTAATTTGCAGGTTGTAAAGTTGCTTGCTTATATCAGCGACAAAATCCTATTTGCTGAATTCTGTCGGTAAACTTTCTGATCTGTCTATTAATTGGTCTATTTTGAGCCATTACTAAATCCAGTGATTCCAACAGCTGGCAGGAAAAAGCTGGCTCGGCGGCTTCTGTTTGACAAGAGTGCCAACGATGAGCATGAGAGAAGTATGCTGACAAAACTGAAGCAACAATGTGGTAGTCAGTTCACATCAAAGATGGAAGGAATGGTAAGTTTTCCTAGCTTTGCCCTTGGTGTGGTGGAAGTTTGTTTTATACCCGTTTGGGAACATGATGGAGATTCACTTTTTGGCTTTCACATCTTCCAGGTCACGGATTTGACTTTGGCAAGGGAACATCAAACCAACTTCGAGGAGTATCTTGAGAGTAATCCAAATGCAAATCCTGGAATCGCCTTGACTGTTACTGTCTTGACAACTGGCTTTTGGCCAAGCTACAAGTCTTTCAATCTCAATCTCCCAGCGGAGATGGTACACTTGTAGATTTTTAATCTTGATGCATTTGAAATTGAATGTGCTCGTGTTAATGTAAATCGCGGAATCAAGTGCGTTGCTGAATTTGGTCACTTATATCTTTATCTATTTACTTCTCTAGGTTAAATGCGTCGAGGTTTTCAGAGAATTTTATCAAACAAAAACGATGCACAGAAAGCTTACATGGATATATTCCTTGGGTACTTGTAACATCAATGGGAAATTTGAACAAAAAACCATGGAGCTGATTTTGAAAACTTACCAGGTGATTAGTTCGTAAATTTTTTTCCTAAACCATGCATAAATTTCATGATTATTATTACAGAGGTTTGAGCTCTACCTTTATAGGCTTCGACTCTGCTGCTATTCAATTCCTCAGATCGATTGAGTTACCAGGAAATTATGAGTCAGTTAAGCCTGTCAGATGATGATGTCGTGAGACTGCTCCATTCCCTTTCATGTGCAAAGTATAAGATTCTTAACAAGGAGCCGAACACCAAAACAATCTAGCCAACTGATTCCTTTGAGTTCAATACCAAGTTCACTGACAAAATGAAGAGGATCAAGGTAGTAATTGAGATTGGATTCAGTATGGATCTCAAAATCTCATTATGGAGTTATTTCCTTCTGTCAATATTTATAAAGGTTCAAAATCTCATTTGATGGAAATGCAGATTCCTCTCCCTCCAGTGGATGAGAAGATAAAGGTAATTGAAGATGTTGATAAGNAAAAATCTCATTTGATGGAAATGCTGATTCCTCTCCCTCCAGTGGATGAGAAGATAAAGGTAATTGAAGATGTTGATAAGGACAGAAGATATGCGATTGATGCCTTGATTGTGCGTATCATGAAGAGTAGGAAAGTTTTGGGCTATCAGCAGTAGGTTATGGAGTGCGCAGAGCAGTTGAGCCACATGTTCAAGGTACTTTAATGCAGGTCNCCCTCCAGTGGATGAGAAGATAAAGGTAATTGAAGATGTTGATAAGGACAGAAGATATGCGATTGATACCTCGATTGTGCGTATCATGAAGAGTAGGAAAGTTTTGGGCTATCAGCAGTTGGTTATGGAGTGCGCAGAGCAGTTGAGCCACATGTTCAAGGTACTTTAATGCAGGTCCTTTGTTCCTCTTTCAATCCTGGGACCTATTTTGTTTCTCTGGATTCTAACTAAATGGTGCTTATAAAATGCAAATACACAGCCCAATGTTAAAGCAATTAAGAAGAGGACAGAAAGAGACAAGGAGAATCCCAACTTGTTCAAATACTTGGCATGATTTTGTCTTGATCAATAGTCCAAAGGAACCGGTGAATGTATTGCTCCTGCCAAGAGCACAGAAAGGTAGCCATTTTCAAGGTGGAAGCGCGAGTTCTCGATTATCTCTTTTGATGATTGCTTAGGACCGGAAGCTTGAAAATTCTTGTACATTCTCCTTCAGAATCAGGTGATGACAATCCAACAGATTTCCATCCTGGTATGAAACAAAAAAAAAATTGAAGGTGGTTCAGTTCCGCATATGGTGTGTGTGTGTTTTCAGTAAGTTTTTAGAAAACAAGAAACACAAAATGGAAAAATGAGGCCATTAGAATTGGGCTTGTGAGCCGTATAATTTATGGACCTGCTTAACTGATCCAATTAGGTTACTATCCAACTACTTGACCCGCTGTAGCCATGGATTGTGCGCTAGCAAGCTAGTGGACCCGCCCCAACCCATTATCCAATAAACAGAAGCTTAAAAAAAAATTCTTAGAACCATTTAGATTGTTTCTGAAAAAATAAACTTTTTCTTGAAAGTACTTAGATAAGTTGCATTTTTTTGCTTTTCTTTGGTATTTATAAAAGCTATTTTTGCTCAAAATGTTGACGAAAAAATCGCCCAATAAAATTCGAATTCAAACAGATCAGATTTTTTTTTTCTCTAAAACTAAAAAAAAACTAAGTTCTGAGTTAACTTTAAACAGGTTCAATACCCAACATGGGAGAAGCCAAGTGTTTTCTTTATGATTGTGAGCAATTGAAGACAATGGTTAAAAGCTAAAACCGATGAATGAAGTTCACATCATTACAGGACCTAGTGAATGTTAGTTGTATACAACCTTATTTGTATTTCGAGAAGCTATTTTGACAACCTGACACCTAAATCGAGGTGGAGTAATCATACACCAAAAAAAAAAACACAAGTTTGAAAATAATGATAAATTAGTTATTGCACGTGCTTGAAGGCGCGGAGGAATAAAAAATAATAAATAATAAATATATTTGTATTCATATTTAAAATCAAATCATAAACATAGAGGAGATATAAATAAATTTAAACATCGGTTGTACTAAAGGTGAGAGGTGGTGAGCGATAGTGGTGGTGGTAAGAGGCGGTGATAGTTGTGGTGGGTGACAATGACCATGGTGGCAATCACATTTGGTTTTTACAATACTTATTTGCCATTCAAAGTTTCTAGTAATAGTTTCCTGGAAAATAAGAAACAAATTCAAGTCTAATTCAAAGTTTTTTTTTCTTCTATGTTGCTTTTTGCTCTTCACCAAGGAAAAAGACAATATAAGGAATATAGCCTAATGGGTCCTAAAATATGTTAAGTGTCCCACGATCAATCTGATGAATTAGATCCTCATTGTGGTTGATTGATACCTAAAAGCAAGCACACCATGTTCAAGAACACGTACCATGAGTGAGTAAGGCTTTGAGATCAGTCATTGTGAGAGGCATTTTGGCATCTCCTTCATCTTTCAGCTGCAACAAAACCTATAAAAAATCTTTACTTTCTTTGGCAGTGGCACTATCCATTTTTACCCGTTAATCAATCATCGTCTCGAAGATCCTATCAAACCTCTCTGCTAAACCCTTCATCTTCTTCTTGATTCCTTGCAATTCAAACCTCGCCAAACCCGGATAAAAATCCGACATATTGGGAATCCCCAAAAGTTCCGTCATCTCCGTCACCACTTGCCGGAACTCCGCCCCAAGACTCTTTCTCTCCTCCCCCTTCACCGTACCACCTCATAGCATATTCGTAATCACGTTAAGAACAGTCAGAAACATCTGCTCGCCGGCGACCCAGCTCTGTTGTACAAGTAATTAATAGTCTGACGTAGTTCCCGGCATCGGAGGCTATACACGGAGTCCAAGGTGGTGTTGCTAAGCATTTCACGGACACAAACCTTCCTCCGCATGCGCCACTTGGGTCCATACGGTGTCCAGACTATGTCTGAGCCGCCTCCTTGCCGGCCACCGGAACGTCACAGTTGGCACAATACCAATCTTCTTTCCGAGCCAAAGGGTCAGGATGGGGCCGTAGTTTTGGGCCAGTGTTGCAAAGTAGGTGTGGAGGTCGGGGTCTAAAGACAGGAGGTTTCCGACCGGAGGCAAGCCATTTGGACGAGGCGGTAATGATGGGCGTCCGTTTGTTGATCGTTTGATGAACATTATAGCAATCCAGAAGAGGGCGGGCGAGAACGACGAGGGTGGAAGTGAAAAGCACGACGGTGTGTTCGTCGTTGAACCACCATGACGAAGACTCAGATAACATGTCTGCCGCACATCACATGACACTCTCTAACATTAGAAGTCTACTGCTATTTTGATACGATGAAAAAGCATGTAATATCGAAGTTGATGAATTTATTTTTTTTCTAATTCGTTAAAATTAATCTCTTTAAAATTGAAAAAAACAAAAAATAAAAAGTTAATTATTTTGTGTTGAGATATATTTTATTTGTCTATATATATTATGTATATATTAATTTCAGATAAAAATATAATGATAAAATATGTATATATATTTTAAAAAATTTTAAAAATATATTTTTAAAAAATTTAAAATTTAAAATATTAAAAATTTTAAAAATATATTTTTTTTTCATCTTAACTAACGATAAAAATTTTATAAACTCAACATGATGACACGATTCGAACTCGATACGAAAATAAATAAGTCAACATAATTAGTTAAAAATAAGTTAAGTTAAGTTTGATCAATATTCGACACAAACTCATAATGACTTAACACGACACGACTCAACTCGATTGTCACCCCTAATCTTAACCAACAAAAAAAAAAAATTGTTATTTTTATTTTTCATCCATTCATCCAATCAAACACAAAGGCAGGAAAGTGTATCATTCCTATTTTCTATCCTTGAAGGATAGAAAGTGTATCCTTCTTACTTTTCATCCTCCCTACCAAATGGAGCATACAGTAAAAGAAAAAAAATTGATACAACATCGCCACACTCACGATAATTATATTATAGAATGCATGAGGTATGCCACCAATTTTATTTTTTTTTTTTGGCCCGAACACCCACCTTTGTCCATCCACGAGTGAAAAACGAATCCTTCAAATTTTGGATTCTCTTTATTGGTTTTTAGGCCTGTCCTGTTCCTGTTCAACTAGATAGGGACAATATAGCACAAAGACAAATATAAGTATGACGCTGAAAACTAGATGCTTGATCAACCATCTTTTTTGTCTCTACAAATAGGTATATCAATCGACCTAATTTTGATCTAAATTTCATTTGAATCCGAATCTAATTAATTGAATATAAATTCATATTTTTATCCACAATCTGAATCTGATTAATCGAATATAGATTAATATTTTTTATTGATAACCTGAATCTAAATTTGATATATTATATTTCATAAATTTAAATATACTTATATCAGATCCAATTATTATATGATCTAAATTATTTAATATTTTTATATAAATAGTAAAAAAAAATAAGTGATTATTTAAAAAAATTAGTTAAAATTTAAGTATAATTTATTAAAATTTAATTAAGTTATTCAGATCAAATCAATTTTTCTAATCATATTTTGGATTATTAAGATTCAGATATGAATTACGAAAATAAAATCCGTCAAATTATCAAATCGAACTTTTAAAATCGAATTTAAATCAGTCAAAATCAATTTTTTTTTTTTTTTGATCAACTGTCAAAATCGATCCATTAATAGATCTATCGGAAAGGCACCATTATTGGTCGGGCAATGGCCACAAGCCCGACAGTCCATTAGGCTATGGGCGGACAGTCCATTAGTCTATGGGCCAAACTGGATTCTTGGTAGCCTAGTAATCCGAAAAGCTATGACCATGAACCATGGGTTTTTATACATTAAGCCTGATGGACTTTCAGTAAGTGGGTCACAACATTAGCCCGACAGAAATCATAAAAATAAAGGTTTAATTGTAAATTATACCCCAAAAATCGTTCGAACCCCAATTTAAACCCTCAAAAATCAAAAATCTCAATTTACACCTTTAAAAATAAAAATTTGTATCAATGTGCATCCCCAAAGATCAAAAATCTCAATTTGTACCCTCAAATATAAAAATTTGTATCAATGTACACCCCAAAGATAAAAAATCTGAAATTGCACCCTCCAAAATAGAAATTTATATCAATGTGTACCTAAAACTAAATTGATAAATTATACCTAGATCTCTTTATAGATGTCACTTAATCATTTGAACCCTTTTACATTTACAATATTACTCCTACATCTCATGACATTTGTGCACGTGTAACACATAACTCATTTTCATTAATATTATTAATATAACCGTTAAAAAATATAATTTTATCTTAATAAAAAATTATAATTTCATATTACCCTTTATTTTATGGGTTCAATATACTCTAAAGTTCAAAATCAAATTTACCAATATACCATTTATTTTATGGCTACAATTTTTCAATGATAATTGTACTTTAGAGTAAACTTAATTTTGAACTTTAGAGTATGTTAGACCCACAAAATAAATGGTAATATAAAATTATAATTTTTTATTAGGATAAAATCATATTTTTTAACGGTTATATTAACAGATATCAACGAAAAGGGGTTGCGTGTTACACGTGCATAAATGTCATGAGATGTAGGAGTCCAAATGTGAAGGGGTCCAAATGATTAACTAACAAGTATGAGAAAACTTAGATAAAATTTATCAATTTAATTTTAAGTACACATTGATATAAATTTCTATCTTTGAGGGTGCAAATTAAAATTTTTTATCTTTGGAAGTGCACACTAATACAAATTTCTATCTTTGAGAGTACAAATTGAGATTTTTAATCTTTAAAGGTCTAAATTAAAATTCGAACTATCTTTCTAGATGCAACTTGCAATTAAGCCAAAAATAAATAAATAACAAGTTTATTTATTTTATTTTTTTGGGGGGGGGTGGTGTATAGAAAATAAGACCCATTAAGATAGGACAGATGGGTAGGCAGCTAAACAGTGAAAAACCTTAATATAGGTCCAACGGGTAAACCATGGTTGTAGATTTTTTGATGAAATGGGACACATTGACCAACCAACGACCCCACTGCTCGGACCATGGGTGGCCAAATGATGGACCAGGCCCGACCTTGGCTGCAACCACCGTCACAGCTCCGAGCCCAATGACAGCCGGAAATCCGCATCAGAATGACCATCTATTACACTGCAGTTCTTTTAATACTACCATCTGATGGAGGCTCAAAGAGAAGGCTACAAAACACATCAATTAAGTCTCAAACATGCGACAATATGCCAGTCCTAATGTAAGTAACATCCAAAATAAAGATATGCTATAACCAAATCGAATCAGCTACCGTTTCAACTAGAGCTTCCATTAGACTGATGCAATAAGTGGTAACATTCTTTTAAGCAACTTTTTTGCGGAAAAATAAGGACAAATTCGTTAAAAAAATAAAAACATGTATGATTTCTACTTTGCAAAAATGATTTATATTAGTTGTAGCGTGTTATGTGAAAAGTACCAAGGATACTTGTACACATAACGTTGTCATCAAGATGTAAATCGATTTATATAACTTTAAAAAGGAACAAGTTCAAACCTTGTCATACCGGTGGAAANAGTACAAATTGAGATTTTTAATCTTTAAAGGTCTAAATTAAAATTCGAACTATCTTTCTAGATGCAACTTGCAATTAAGCCAAAAATAAATAAATAACAAGTTTATTTATTTTATTTTTTTGGGGGGGGGTGGTGTATAGAAAATAAGACCCATTAAGATAGGACAGATGGGTAGGCAGCTAAACAGTGAAAAACCTTAATATAGGTCCAACGGGTAAACCATGGTTGTAGATTTTTTGATGAAATGGGACACATTGACCAACCAACGACCCCACTGCTCGGACCATGGGTGGCCAAATGATGGACCAGGCCCGACCTTGGCTGCAACCACCGTCACAGCTCCGAGCCCAATGACAGCCGGAAATCCGCATCAGAATGACCATCTATTACACTGCAGTTCTTTTAATACTACCATCTGATGGAGGCTCAAAGAGAAGGCTACAAAACACATCAATTAAGTCTCAAACATGCGACAATATGCCAGTCCTAATGTAAGTAACATCCAAAATAAAGATATGCTATAACCAAATCGAATCAGCTACCGTTTCAACTAGAGCTTCCATTAGACTGATGCAATAAGTGGTAACATTCTTTTAAGCAACTTTTTTGCGGAAAAATAAGGACAAATTCGTTAAAAAAATAAAAACATGTATGATTTCTACTTTGCAAAAATGATTTATATTAGTTGTAGCGTGTTATGTGAAAAGTACCAAGGATACTTGTACACATAACGCTGTCATCAAGATGTAAATCGATTTATATAACTTTAAAAAGGAACAAGTTCAAACCTTGTCATACCGGTGGAAACAGTATCAAGTAAAGCTTCAAGTCAGCTAATCTTGGAGAGGGAATGGCAGGTAGGGCCTCTTTTTCTGTTCCATGTCAAACTTCCCAAATAGATCATGATTTCTTCCTTCAGGCAATTGCCAACTAAACAAGAGCAGGAACGAGGCAAGTACAAATGGTATCAATCACTGCAAACCCTGCGTAGGTCCTCCCTTCTGATTCAGATGAAATATACATGAAGTCCACACAAANGGGTTGCGTGTTACACGTGCATAAATGTCATGAGATGTAAGAGTCCAAATGTGAAGGGGTCCAAATGATTAACTAACAAGTATGAGAAAATTTAGATAAAATTTATCAATTTAGTTTTAAGTACACATTGATATAAATTTCTATCTTTGAGGGTGCAAATTAAAATTTTTTATCTTTGGAAGTGCACACTAATACAAATTTCTATCTTTGAGGGTACAAATTGAGATTTTTAATCTTTAAAGGTCTAAATTAAAATTCGAACTACNTCAGATGAAATATACATGAAGTCCACACAAATTAAGGCCAAAACATACCGAACTCGCAGAAGAAAAAAGGAAAGAACAAATATTACCACGGGCAGGGCCTTGAGATGGGTCATGGTGAAGGAAGTCTTTGTCTCTTTATCCTTTAGCCCAGGTAGACTTGCAGAACGTATAATTTTCTCCACCAGTGTNGGTACAAATTGAGATTTTTAATCTTTAAAGGTCTAAATTAAAATTCGAACTACCTTTCGAGACGCAACTTGCAATTAAGCCAAAAATAAATAAATAACAAGTTTATTTATTTTATTTTTTTTTGGGGGGGGGGGTAATAGAAAATAAGACCCATTAAGATAGGACAGATGGGTAGGCAGCTAAACAGTGAAAAACCTTAATATAGGTCCAACGGGTAAACCATGGTTGTAGATTTTTTGATGAAATGGGACACATTGACCAACCAACGACCCCACTGCTCGGACCATGGGTGGCCAAATGATGGACCAGGCCCGACCTTGGCTGCAACCACCGTCACAGCTCCGAGCCCAATGACAGCCGGAAATCCGCATCAGAATGACCATCTATTACACTGCAGTTCTTTTAATACTACCATCTGATGGAGGCTCAAAGAGAAGGCTACAAAACACATCAATTAAGTCTCAAACATGCGACAATATGCCAGTCCTAATGTAAGTAACATCCAAAATAAAGATATGCTATAACCAAATCGAATCAGCTACCGTTTCAACTAGAGCTTCCATTAGACTGATGCAATAAGTGGTAACATTCTTTTAAGCAACTTTTTTGCGGAAAAATAAGGACAAATTCGTTAAAAAAATAAAAACATGTATGATTTCTACTTTGCAAAAATGATTTATATTAGTTGTAGCGTGTTATGTGAAAAGTACCAAGGATACTTGTACACATAACGCTGTCATCAAGATGTAAATCGATTTATATAACTTTAAAAAGGAACAAGTTCAAACCTTGTCATACCGGTGGAAACAGTATCAAGTAAAGCTTCAAGTCAGCTAATCTTGGAGAGGGAATGGCAGGTAGGGCCTCTTTTTCTGTTCCATGTCAAACTTCCCAAATAGATCATGATTTCTTCCTTCAGGCAATTGCCAACTAAACAAGCGCAGGAACGAGGCAAGTACAAATGGTATCAATCACTGCAAACCCTGCGTAGGTCCTCCCTTCTGATTCAGATGAAATATACATGAAGTCCACACAAATTAAGGCCAAAACATACCGAACTCGCAGAAGAAAAAAGGAAAGAACAAATATTACCACGGGCAGGGCCTTGAGATGGGTCATGGTGAAGGAAGTCTTTGTCTCTTTATCCTTTAGCCCAGGTAGACTTGCAGAACGTATAATTTTCTCCACCAGTGTCTTGTTCTTCCCCTTGCTTCATCATTAATTTGAGTCCCTCTTCCACAATATAATTGTAGTACCCATAATATCATCATTTCCATCTGCTGTAGCCCACCTAGTCAACCAAGCAGTGCCTGGGAAAAAATCCGATGCATCTGGCTCATGATGACTCCCAAAAGCTGCTCCACAACATTCCAGAACTGCTTCACAACTTGGTTCCTCTCCTCTCCTCTCCTCTCTCTTAAGTCCCCGACCCACTACATTTTTGTAATTTCCTCTACTGTTTGTCCAGGCAGCAATCGTAGTTCTTGTCTCTCCATTATCCTCACACAGCATAATAGTCATTTTTAAACTAGCAATCGACTTATTGTCGTCTTCATTTCTGTTCAGGTCTCTCATCGCATTGAACAGTATTGATTTGTGCAATTCGTCTTTCATCTTGTTGTATCCAGGATTTCTGCAAGCAAATTACACAAATCCCATTACTACAACCTGGTGCCGCTCGAGAACACCAACCACAACACCAAGATAAGGGTTAGGATGGTTTAAACGGGAAAATTGGACTTCAGTTTGAAACTATCACAAGGTATTAAAAATGGACATGCAGTCTAATATTTATTTGATGAATAATCAGAATAAAAGAGGGATCAGAGACAGCCAACGATCATGTGAGCTAAGACCAAGTCAAGAAATAACTAACCACCAGTGGGGTTGGGGGAGGGGCGGGAGCAAAACTTTTCGAAAATAAAAAATATCCCTAAAGAAACAATATGGTAAACAGGAGGTTGGAGCCATCAGCATGACTAAGCCTGTGGCAAACAAGGTGAGATGGAGTTACTTTGCCACATTTTGCAAAACGAAAAGGGAAAGTTTCTGTTTGGACTACCTTTGAAATCTCTTTTCTGTTTCTAGACGATGCTAGAGAATCTCATATATCTGTCACTATATGATTTTTTTCTGTAGGTCACACTGATTGCTGCTAAATCTAATTCTTGTGTAACTGGCAATAGAACACTGAGGCAACCCTACTGTTCGTTTTTAGATTCCTTGGTCCTGAACAAGTGGAAAACAACGAAGATTCATAAATAGAAAGCCCCAATGGATGGGCATGTTTTATAAATGCAGAAGGAAAATTCAACTCCCTTGTGAACTTGATAATTACATTGAGAAACTTAAGTGCATTATAAGCCCTTAACTAAAAGGCAAGCAGTCTAGGATAAATTTAACTTTTTTCCTTACTTTCAAGTTCAAGGACTACCTTTGCGTTCAAGGGGTAGATTGCCCAACCATGAATCATCCAAGAGAAGAGGCAAAGATTCAGATTCGGTAGGCCATTCAGAACTCACATCTGTCTCATCAAATTTTATCGGCTTACATTTCCCATCCCTACTTCTAACAATTGCTTGTAACCAGAGATTGCAGTGCACAAAAACCAATCATTGAATTTCTCCACCTCCATTCCGCATGTGTTTCTTGATATGCAAACTCTCAAAAGTGCTCCAGTTCCATTTACACCAGTGATAAGCACAAGGTTGACTCAGAATCAGTATTGCAGCTCTCTACAGTGTTGGAATTTCATAACCATACCCGGCCCACCAATCACCTAAGGAGCACAAGCCAGTAAGTTATAAGTACGCTATGGCACTTTAAAGTAAAATTTAAAATGATCTGAATCACAAAAAACAAAAGTCATTTTATTATCTTTTAAAATTTGAATTGTAAGTTACTTTATTATATAAATATAAAACATTTGTGGATTACCAAAAAATTGTTTCAATCATGGTACATATTTACATATCTATGATTTTGAAGGTCAATGAGGAACAAACTACCAAAAAAAAAAGAAAAGAACAGTTAAAAAAAAGGATTAATTGCAATGGAGGTCCTCAAACTATGGAGTTTGTCTCATTTTGGTCCCCAATGTTTCAATTGTATCATTTTGGTCCCTGAAATATTGAATATGTTTCTATATGGACCTTCAAGCAGACAATATTTAAATTACTAACGATTTATTATCATAAAAAATGTGTAATATGAGTAACTTTTAACCAAAATTTGGATAGCTAATTATAAAAACTGTGTAATTTTGGTAGCTATTTAACTAAAATTTGAGTAAAAATTTGGTCAAAAATTATCGAAATTATTTTTTTGTCCATATTTAAGTATCACGTGACAAGTTTTTGATAAAAAATAATTAGCAATCTAGATACTATCTGCTTGAAGAATCATATAGAAACTTATTCAATACTTTAGGGACCAAAATGATACAATTGAAATATTGGGGATAAAAATGAGACAAACTCCATACTTTGGCAACCTCTAGTGTAATTAACCCTAAAAAAAACTGCCAATGCTAACCACAGCTCCATGCCACCAGGCGCCGGCTACTTCCAAGTTCCAACCAATGCAATTATTCATGTACCTGAAACCGAGCTCCTGATTCAGTATCATAAACTTGGTACACAAATGAATTCAAGTGGACAACCCAACACTTCGAGAAAACTACCATATCATATCTGCTGATATCTATAACAACCCATAACAGTAAATATTTAAATATTCAAGTCAAACAAGGCGCTGAACAAAACGGTAACAGACAATGACATCCATAAACCAGCCACAAAACAATGACGACACTACTAAGAGCTACAATCTGGGAAAAAAAAACAAGATCATTCACAGGCTGAATGCCAACTTGCCACAATACCAAAGAGATGAATTGGAGCAAGATCCTTCAAGGTTGATGCTCAAAAAGATGCCAAGAAGTAGATATGGTCCCATAAACCATCAATTCCCTTATACTTATTTTCGAACACTCTTGCATTCCTTTCTAACCAAATCACCCAAATAATAGAACAAAAGTTGCACAATCCCAAAAGGTAACTCCTTTACTTTTCCTCCCAAAATTGTGATAGTCCATACAAAACATTGATGATATAGAACTTGGAGCTACCCATGAAATCTCAGTCAACTCAAACAATCTATTCCATAATTTCAATGCAATTGTACAATGCAAAAATAAATGGCTAACACTCTCACAATCCATTTTGCACATAATGCACCATTGAGGACGAAGAGAAAGATATGGACACCTTCTTTGGGTCATATCATTTGTGCTTATTTTCCCATGAACAATTACCCAAGCACATGCACCTTCAAGGGCACCTTAGCCTTCCAAATCTTCAATGATGGATAAAAAATTGGGGAAGTTGAATCATTAGTCAAGGAATCAAAACAAGGAACTGAAACATGATCGCAGAGTTTGTGCCACTTGTTTTGACTAGGTCTTTGCAGTCGTTGTAATACTTGGAAGAGGAATGCACTCACACATTCATGTGTGTGTGTGTGTATCAAGAGAGAGAGAGAGAGAGAGAGAGACTTTAAAAGGATGTGCACCAAGATATATTCATAGATGGAAGGGAGGAATCACTGTCAAGGAAAAGAGAGGAAACAACAACAAAAAAGGAGGTAATAGACAGATTTTCTCAAAAATTCAATCTCCATTAAGGAAAAATTATTGTTTGGAAAAATTGAGACACCAGCTTGGTTCAAAAGCATGTAGCCTCTTGGTCCTCTTCTATGCAAAAATGATGAAATTAAAGCCTCACCTGTCATCTCTATGCAATCCAACCTGGACCAACAGCAGGACCCATGAAAATGAGTTGAGTAAGCTCCCCCGGACTGCGTACTATTTCCCTGTTCTCCATATTACAAGCGGAAAAAACGATAAGAAGTCAATGCTTGGAATAATGAATAAAAAACAAGGTGTGACTTGGTCTAACAAAGTCAGAGTACTTCTAAACTTTTAAAACCTTGGACGAGCAAATCCAGCAGGGATTCCAATTTCCATGCATAATACAGCAAAATTTCAAGTTCCTGCAAAATTTAAGTCTTTTATGCATCTCCTACAAGTCTCTCATGTTGACAAAGGAGAGCAGCATGCTTACACAGGTACACCTGAAACAAGTAAAAACAACCTGCACAGAGAAAAACATATATACTGGGAATTGAAGAACAAAAGAAGGCTAAGAGGAGCCAGAAATATTTGATGGACTGCTGCTATACGCGGTTGGCTTGATAAGATGGGTAAGTGATGAGATCATGGGCTATGTAAAATTACACAACCAAGAATGGCAATGCTCGATAAACCCGTGTTACCTGCAGATTAACGTCATCGTGCAACCTGGGAAAGCTGGCACTGTTAGTTAAATAGACTAAATTAAAAGGAAGAAAAAAAAAAGGAGGAGCCAAAAACTGAAGTTTAAATACATGGACTCTCCCTCAAAAACTTGGCTTTCTATTCCATGAGAAATCAGTAACATATATGGTAACAAAACATGCAGTCCTCCATAAGAATGGACTGGTCATGACTGAATTAGAACTCAAAGCTCCTAAGTGGCCTAAATGTTCTTAACCTCTATTCTTCCTCTTTCCGTCTAACTACGAATCAATGATCCTAAAAGACTATCAGTGCACTCAATAAACTCCAAGACTTGTCCTTGAACAAAAAGAATTTTTACATGTCCCAATCTCCCCAACCCCATATAATGTAAGGGTGAACATACTATGCTCTTATCACATAGAAAAACAACTGAACATTAATAAATTATCAACAAAAATGGAAAATCAATCCCATTTTGTACACATGTACATAAAGGAAATGAGCTGTTAATGTCATGCTCTTCACCAAGTCCAAGTTTATGTCCAGAATGCTTCTTTTTTCCCCTGTCCACATGCCTGCTCGCCCAGGAAATAAACCAGAGAAACACATGATATACTACAAGGTTCATTTATTGCCTACTACCACTGAAACCTTGATGGCTGATGGCCTCAATTGCAAGCCGTACCAAGCGTACAAGCTCCTCCACATCTTGGAAGCTGAAGTCAATGACCCTCTTGACAGATATGATCACCTCCTTATTCTGAGCCTCTTCCAGGCTAACATTTGCAGCTGCAAAAGCATGCTGGGATTTCCTGGAGGCCTCCATGGCAGAATTGACATCATTTGTCTGCACAAAATTACACAATTAAATGCTTATCCTCTTGCATCATATCTCCAAGAAACATTTTCATAATGGCAGGACATGCGCATCAAAACACATGCAAGTTCAGTGTTTTCTTTTTGGGGCAACCAACCATTAACAAATCTAAATCAGCCATAATATAGGCGAGGCACTAGGTTCTACCAGCTGTTCAGGGTTTGTAAAAGAGAAAACCTCTCCAGAGTTTGTAACCAAATTACAATTCTATTGAAGTCTCTACACTATCAAAACCAGCCAAGTAACTCCATTTTACTTGAATGTTAACCTACCCCTGACTTAAGAACCAACGGGAATTTGTTTTCACCCCTCGCAAAGCACAAATTCTGTTCATGTAACTGATGTGGACATCAAGACATAATGATCCTAGTAGCTCATAATTCCCTCATTTTATCATGAAACATCATCAACATGTTATGACAAGTTCAATCAATTTCACAAACGTGATGTCATACAAGATCATGCCAAACCACAAATTTAACTGGATTTCCCAGCAAGTGTGCATAAATGAGATGGGTATTGTGCCACAGAGAAAATCAACTTACAAAATCAAGCAGCCGAACAAAGTTGGGACGATTTCGAGGAACAACGCAATTGTTTCCGGTGTGAGAACCCATTGCTTTGGAAAAAGCTGCCTTGTCCATCATTGCTTGATTATTTAAATTATCAACATCAGATGCAGAAGAAGATGGAGATTCTCCTAAGCAAATGATCAGAAAAAGGAAGTGTGTGATCAACTACAAAGTATCACCCCACCCAAGATATTTCGTCCCAAATGAAAAACTGAGAACAAGTACAGTTACTGTAAATGCATCAGATATAGAAGCATGTTTCAACAGCAGATTTCATATCGTCAGGGAAAAGAATAAATTGGAGAAGAGCTAATATCCAGCCAAAAATCCCAAGACAAGCAAAAAAAGTAGAAAGAGGGCGGAGGGGGAGTGCATATATCTTTTTTTGCCAGGGCATAATTACATATTAGTCAGTAAAATTCGTGCTCAAGCGCTCCAACGACTTCATGACATCTTTAATCACTGCAATTCTAGACTATCATGAGGTATGATATCAAACGACGTTTTAAACTTCTGTCCTAAATGAGTGATGGAAAAATCTTTTGACCAGATGAAACACAAATTAATAATGGTCACAAAATCTATCTATCATCTTCTCACAAGTTTATACCCACCATTTTTGCTTTAAGCTCAAGGAAATGGTTTAAGGCTGAACCTGAGGCTCAAGCCTAAGAATAAATTGCAACACGGAATTAAAGTGGTCAGTATTTAATTTAATAAGATATAGTTTTTGACTTTGAATCTCTGAAACATTGTGAGCCTTTCTTTAACAGAGGAAGAATCTTGAAACCTTAGTTCGCAAAGCGCAATAATAAAACAATAAGTAAACGATAAATAAGATAAATTTGTCAAGTAAAGTCGGCTAGGCTCCTTCCATTGTTAGCGGGGCACCACTATGGATAAACTTACTCCTGCATAATTTTCTACCATCAACTACATTGCATGAACAAAGCTTGACCCTATTTAATTATTTTTTGCTTAGTTCTTGGATTGGGTGGCAGTTGTGTCGTGTCACGCAGGTTCATGATGTCATGACTGAATACAATACTCTTGTCTTGGTCAACACAAACACAGTAACACATCATGCCAAAATTTCCAACCCTAGGGGTCATATAATTAGGTGGAAAAATAAAAAACAATTTAATACACATATATAATGGGAAAACAACAGGAGTTGAGTGGAATCTGTAGCTTATATTTGTATGTTGCATTTATTTTGTATCACGTCATACTTGGCCCTAATTTCATCACATCATCTACATGAGCCTGATGTGCAAGGACGGAGAATTTTATGCTTCTCTTATAACAATAAATAAGTTCTGGATGTAACTACTTTATGAATTGCATAATGTGAACTAAAACAATGTAAATAGATAATATTGGTTCTTTTATGGGGTCTATAAATCTTTACTTAAGTTATTATGGTACAATAAGATATACTAACACATCCCAAAAGAATAACCAGTTCTAGTTCCACTTAATGAATTTCTGCAATCAATAACTATTCAGGAGAATAAACTACTATTTGGGTAACTTCTATCATCGCCCTCCCCTTCCTGGCGCAGCCAAAAAAGAAAAAGTCTACACCTGCCCCTGCTAAAGGAATGATATATTACGAAAGGAATCATGTCCTACAAGTAATGAGACAGCCCTTTTCCAGGATCTGCAAGCAAAAAAAATCCTTTTATAATGCTACGTTTAACAAGATTGGCTCATTATAGATCCTATAAAGAACAGAATGAAATGACTGCATTTCTGTTTAACTCGCTAACTACTTAACAGGCAAGAGAATTGAAAGAATACAAAATGAATTTGTTGGGTATTAGAACCACTGTACAACCTAAGGCATCACCATGCCCCAAATCCCTCACTCCCCGGAGTTCAAGGGCAATGATTTCTCCTTCATAGTAAAGATTAAAAATTAAGCAAAGCACGCCACAAAACAAAGGAAAGTGCTTTATGTAAGACCATAAATACCATGGCATTTATCATACCTTGAGAAATTATTTGTAAACTTGCTTGCAAATCATGCCGATCTCTATTTGTAGTAGAATTTTTGCAGTAAACTACCCTCATGTATGCAACCTCCATGCATTTATAGGCCAAAGCAGCAGCAGCCATTTCGCGGCATTTCTCATATTCATGGGCACAGATTCTGTGTGAGTAATATAGTTCAGGATGAAGCCAAACAAACACTGTAGTGATGCATATATAAAAGCTTCAACACTGCGATTCTACAAGAACTGGTTGTAATTGCGTCTGTAATTAAAAGTACGTATAACTATTGTATTGTAATTCATGCAGCAGAATACACGCAAGATAAATATTCCGAGTGTTTATGTCACACCAGCATATCCAAGAACAATGTCCTCTAGGCTATAACAACCAATTTGAATCCGTATCAAATGAGAGAAAGCTCTGCTAACATGACATTTTAGAACAAGTTTAAACAGCAGTTTGTCAATTAGTGATGAGAGACAACACCACTCTCTGAAGCAACCAAAATTATACTAACCTGCAAAGTTCGGCGGTACTGCTATACATTTGCATTTGAGTCACCTCTCCATGTTTGCTACTTCCACGATTGCATGTTTCGAGAAGTGAAGCACCATGCAGAAACTTTAAGGCAGCTTGGAAATATGCCTCATTACATTCAAATCCAAACCCAGAGCTCTACAAAAAAAATGATGCCACAATAAGAATTAAGACAATGACAAGTGCAAGTGCAAGTGCAAGTCTGCAAGACCAATATATCAACGCGTCATAAATGTTAACAAAGATGCTAAAATCGTACCGATAACTTGAGACATGTGAAAAGCAAAACCAGAATATCAAAGCTTCAAAGGGGGGGGAAGAAAAAAATAGATTGCATATAGAACAGTCTAGAAAGACCTTAAGATGATCAGCATAAGCTCTGAGATCTTCAGCTTCTCTCAATGCATTAGATGCTGGTTGAGTGGACGCATCCTGTTTCACATGACTTGCGGCATCCAGATCCCTGACCATACACTGATCAGGTGCAGAATGTCCCATATTCTGGTGAGCCCCATCCTCGAAAGCAGCGTTTCGAGGATGTTTTGACACACCATCATCCACAGAAGCATCAACAGGTGGAAAATCCAGTAGATTTCCTTCCAGAAGTCCAGGTACCAGTTGGCAAACACAATCTAGTGTATCTTGTTTGCCTGTGTGACGTGGATTGACAAGTGACTTCCCACTCCTTTCTACTTGAGTTGGATTGACTGTTTTGTTCTGTTGTCTGGTGGCTCTCCCTTCTTTGCTGCATAGAGCACCCAATTTCGCATCTGAACTATCTTGATCTCCAAATTTCAACTGGTTATCTCTTCTGCCATCACTTACCCATTTTCCAGAATCGTTCTTGTCAACACTCTTATCATCCTTAATAGATTTAAGGATACGCTCATCAGAAAAGTAATGTTTTACATCACCTATTTCTCCATGGTGTGGCGTGACATAATGAGGCATGCTTTTCTTTCGATTCAAGTCTTCTTTCACACATACTTGGTCAGAACGCTTCCTGGTTCCTTTTTCTATATTGTGACCACTTCTGTAGTTGCCCTTAGACCGCACATGGGAAACCTTCACAGATTTTTGCGGAAATGGTGCGGTAATAAGATGTTTCTTGTTCATTTTATACTCCCTGCTGGAATGGTCTGAAGCATGCATATCAGTGGGACATGGTCCATGTAGTTCCAAGGTATCAGTATCACTATTTCCCAAATGGCCATTTCCAGATGCAGCAAGAGGTTTACCCATTGATTCGCATTTGGCACTGAATTTGTACTTAGCATCTGTGTCACGAAAATCTGGCAACGGAAATCCTAAAGAGTTAGGATGCAACACACCACAGGCTTTCCCTTTCCTTGCTGTCCTAGACTGATTGCTCTCAAAATTGCCAACATCATCCAGTGATTTTCTTGGGCTTCCAATTAAAGGGGAATCGCCATTTTTAGCATCATCTTTCCCTAAACTCTCCACTCTTCTTGGCGAAAGCTTGGCAAGATTGGAAGTCCTCATGGGAGATGAGGAAACTGATTCCACTGGTGACCCTTTCACCTTTTGGTAATTGTCTATACTTTTACGTGAATCTGAAACCTTTGAAGAGCTTGAAGTGGCTGTCATTGATAACCGTTCAAGTCCCAAATCCCTTCTCAATGAGTCTACATCATCCAAACTCAATAGAGATGCATCCTTTGCTCTAAATTTTATTGGCGGCTGATCGTTCTTAACACTCCTGTCAACTGTACCTATACAATCTGACAAGCGGATTCTGGTCATCCTACTGTTTTGGTTTAATCTCTCATCGCCCTTCCTGGTAATANCAAGTGCAAGTGCAAGTCTGCAAGACCAATATATCAACGCGTCATAAATGTTAACAAAGATGCTAAAATCGTACCGATAACTTGAGACATGTGAAAAGCAAAACCAGAATATCAAAGCTTCAAAGGGGGGGGAAGAAAAAAATAGATTGCATATAGAACAGTCTAGAAAGACCTTAAGATGATCAGCATAAGCTCTGAGATCTTCAGCTTCTCTCAATGCATTAGATGCTGGTTGAGTGGACGCATCCTGTTTCACATGACTTGCGGCATCCAGATCCCTGACCATACACTGATCAGGTGCAGAATGTCCCATATTCTGGTGAGCCCCATCCTCGAAAGCAGCGTTTCGAGGATGTTTTGACACACCATCATCCACAGAAGCATCAACAGGTGGAAAATCCAGTAGATTTCCTTCCAGAAGTCCAGGTACCAGTTGGCAAACACAATCTAGTGTATCTTGTTTGCCTGTGTGACGTGGATTGACAAGTGACTTCCCACTCCTTTCTACTTGAGTTGGATTGACTGTTTTGTTCTGTTGTCTGGTGGCTCTCCCTTCTTTGCTGCATAGAGCACCCAATTTCGCATCTGAACTATCTTGATCTCCAAATTTCAACTGGTTATCTCTTCTGCCATCACTTACCCATTTTCCAGAATCGTTCTTGTCAACACTCTTATCATCCTTAATAGATTTAAGGATACGCTCATCAGAAAAGTAATGTTTTACATCACCTATTTCTCCATGGTGTGGCGTGACATAATGAGGCATGCTTTTCTTTCGATTCAAGTCTTCTTTCACACATACTTGGTCAGAACGCTTCCTGGTTCCTTTTTCTATATTGTGACCACTTCTGTAGTTGCCCTTAGACCGCACATGGGAAACCTTCACAGATTTTTGCGGAAATGGTGCGGTAATAAGATGTTTCTTGTTCATTTTATACTCCCTGCTGGAATGGTCTGAAGCATGCATATCAGTGGGACATGGTCCATGTAGTTCCAAGGTATCAGTATCACTATTTCCCAAATGGCCATTTCCAGATGCAGCAAGAGGTTTACCCATTGATTCGCATTTGGCACTGAATTTGTACTTAGCATCTGTGTCACGAAAATCTGGCAACGGAAATCCTAAAGAGTTAGGATGCAACACACCACAGGCTTTCCCTTTCCTTGCTGTCCTAGACTGATTGCTCTCAAAATTGCCAACATCATCCAGTGATTTTCTTGGGCTTCCAATTAAAGGGGAATCGCCATTTTTAGCATCATCTTTCCCTAAACTCTCCACTCTTCTTGGCGAAAGCTTGGCAAGATTGGAAGTCCTCATGGGAGATGAGGAAACTGATTCCACTGGTGACCCTTTCACCTTTTGGTAATTGTCTATACTTTTACGTGAATCTGAAACCTTTGAAGAGCTTGAAGTGGCTGTCATTGATAACCGTTCAAGTCCCAAATCCCTTCTCAATGAGTCTACATCATCCAAACTCAATAGAGATGCATCCTTTGCTCTAAATTTTATTGGCGGCTGATCGTTCTTAACACTCCTGTCAACTGTACCTATACAATCTGACAAGCGGATTCTGGTCATCCTACTGTTTTGGTTTAATCTCTCATCGCCCTTCCTGGTAATAGACTTCTTCCCCTCAGTCCTAGACAGCTTAGACTTCTTGTCTTTCCTGAATTCACTGTCACTGCTCTCCACCTTCACCAATATCTTGCCATCTGCAGGATGACTCATGTTATTTTGCAACGTCTCTGTACAATGTTGACTTTCCTGCCAATCCTTTAATTTTCTCTTCTTTACATGTGTTTCTCTTCCATCACTTGGTTCAATATTGAAAGACCCACTATCCAACGGGACCTGAGCATGGTCCCTCAGTTTCTTTACAGAAATTCGTAACCTGTCCTTCGGCTCATGCTTTGCATCCTTAGAATGACTGTGGTCACCATGTTTCTGCATATTCTTCCCAACCGCCTTAGTTGGCAAACCATTACTTGAGATGGGAGCCACTTTATCAAGGTCTCCAAAATCTTCAGAAGTCCAGTACTTATCAGTATTGGGTGCACCTACACCCTTGATCTTCTTCATCGTCCCATATCCAATCTGATCAGACTCCCTCTTGCTTTTCTTCTTTTGCTTTGTATTACCTAAAAATAAGTTGAATGGGAGAAACAAATTAAATGTTTCTACATGAAGAAGTGTGACATGCACGACGAAACATCAACTCTAAAATGAATACTCCATTCACATGATTCTCATTCTTTTTGGGTACATTTCCCATAGGGAAGTTTATGACTTACTCGGATGCTGAGCATTAGACTTGTTTAACATAGTCGTCTCTGAAAGAGGCTGGTGCATGTCATTTAAGCTTCTGCTTTTCACCTCCAACAGCTGGAAGTTCTTATGTTTCTTCTTTCCTCCATTATGCATGGCACCAGAACTGAGATTCTGGTTACAATGCTGGACCTCAGCTGAAGTTACTCCAGATACAGTTCTATCAGTATTATTCTGAAAATTATTCTGATTCTCAGGAAGTGGCAATTGGTACAATTCTCGCAGAGCTTTTGTTGTCTCCTCCTCGAGGATATCACAGTGATTCTTTCCAGGCCTAAAAAATGAGAAAGTGGTACATTCAGGCTTTTAAAGGTATTATGCCTCTGTGTATGTGCTGGTGTATATGTCTAGAGACTCTGATTTAACATGCCCGTGCAGGCGCGGGTGGGCGCGGGTGCGCACAAGAAAGATGCAAAGAGACACAGACAGAAAGAATTTGTATTATCAGCCAAGACTTGCCTAACACCACTATTTTATCTAACAGGTAAGTTGATTGCAGTGTTAATACAAAACAATAAAATGCTACAGAAAGGCACTCACAGCCAATTTAGCATGCTACACAACCACTTCTCAGGCAGTTGTTCCGGCTTCACACCATATGGCAGAAGACGCCACTTCTGACAATGGTCACAACAAACCCAATCTTCTTCTATATAGACAGGATCCAGTAAAGCCATTTCTGTCTCAGAAGTGATTCCTTTAGAGTAAGGAGCACCATCATTTGAAGTACCCTTCAAAACTGGCTCTGATGTCAACTGGTCATCAACTTGTTTGCAGCTGGCTCTCTCCTTCAACTTATCAACAAATGCATGTTGTTCACTGACAACCTCGAGACTAGAATCCTTTGTTCTATCTCCAGAAGGCCTCTCTGATGGGTCCAACAGTTTGTCTATATAATCTTTTCTCGTGTCAATCACATTTGCATAGATGTCACGAATCTTGCAAACATCCTTTTGAGCAACCTTTCTATGTTTTAGTGCAACAGGAATACCAACCCTCGAGGTTTCTGCTAAACCTGAAGAAAACTTTCCATAAACTTGGCTTCCGTTTTTCTTCCTTTTGCCTTCATATGACTTCTTCTTTGTAGCATGCGGTACTTTCATTTCATCTTGTCCATGAGAGGTACCTTGCTGGCCAACTTTCTGATTCGAATTTTCCATAACCCCTGCAAAATCACATCCGCTCTTGGGAACATGAAAATCAGCTTCACTCGGGGCCAGAGCAAATTTGCTCCTGCCACCTTCCGCCAGATCAACAGAAACATCCTTGCAGACTCTTCTTACATGGTGTTCCTCAATCGTCTCCACGGAGCTATTCTTAGCTTCTTCATGCCCTAGCTTACCACCATCTTGGCCCGATAATAATTCCAAAGACTCCTTAGCCAAATCAGAGGATTGTAATCTGTCTTTCACCCAATCTTTATTAACCTTCCTTTTCTTCACTGGGATGTCCTTCTTAGCCTCCCTGCATGCTTCAGCTGTCGTGGTCCAACCAGATACCATGTCATCCTCAAGTTCCAAACCATTCACATTCTTTGATTCCTCCAAAAGTTCATTCTTCCCCATAGATTTCGCGTTTTTCTTTTTCAACAATTTCAAATCTCCCAGCTTGGAAGATGAATCATTCACTGAAATGGCAGAATGTTCCAGGCTACCCCTGAGGACAGGTGCAGGCTTACTGCCTAGTGGAAGTTTTTCAGTATTTATCGAGCAAATTAGGTTTTCATGGAGAGGTGACAGCAGAAGGCCCCCGGGGATTGGTGAAGATGTCATAATCTGTGTCCATGACATTGAAAACACAGTAAGATGACCATGGCATCGAACAGTAACAAAAGCATGACATATCTAAGCATTGGACAATCACCTGAATAATGCTGGTAGGAGATTCTTTCCGAGTCTCTTGAAAATCAAACAGCATCCCAACAGTTCCCTCAGGGCTCTTTTCCGCAGTCGAAGATGGAGAAATAAACCCGAGGACGCTATATATTTCCTTTTTCCGTGCTGTGTTATCAGAACCCACTTTAATCCGAACCCTTAGCCTTCTCTGATCAGTTGGATCGATAAACTTGCTCGACGTAGCTGCTTGTACCACGGGGAACCTTTCAGCAACTTGCACAGATGATAAGCATGAATCTTGTCTGGCTGTAATCTCTCCACATGAAACCTTTGGATTGTTCAACAAATGAGTAACATGGGATGCATTTCCTTGCCTCAGAGACGGGGGTGCATCTGAGCGAGTCACAGAACTCTGGGGAGCACCCTGAATGGTAACACAACCCACAATTCTCAAGTAAACTAGAAGTTCCCAAACTGACAAAAGATCATCAGAATATTTCTCCTACCAATTCACCAAAAAATAGGAAGGAAATTTTCCATATACCTCCATAGACAAATTGTTAGGAGATTTTGGCATTTTGCCACTCTGAACTCTTGGTGGAGACTTTGGCTGAGACCAATGGGGAGGAGAGCGCTGATACATGGGTAAGAATGAGCCATACCCACCAAATTTTGCCCCTGCAAAAAACAAATAAATTCCAAGCCATCATTTTCAGTAACACAAGAGGACACTGACTTGTCATCCAAACTCCAAAGAGCTCCAATTTGAATTACTTACCCAAGTTCTCCGCAGAAACCCCTCCTTCAAAATCTTTTTGCAAATGACCCAACACATTTTGAAGCTTCTCGTCCTTTTACAAAAATGAATATAACAGTTATTACGTACTGGTCTAATTACGTATTCAAGAGCATCAAGAAACAAAAATAACTACAAACAATTGAATTAATGAGAACAGACTCGGAAGGCAGAATTACAACTATCATCTGCTTATTGTGAGTCCACAGACACAAGTGCACACGTAGTACACACACCCCTCGAAGTAGAACTGCAATAATTATATGATTTTCTATTCAAAATTCCTTCCTTCTTGCGATAGAACGAGTCATATGCATTGGTAGAAGGTATGTCCTTCAATCAAACTTCCTTGTGCTTGAACTAAGATTTATGTCCTAAACATCCACAGCCAAACACGTGTACCGTCTAAATTGCACAACTTCCAAGCTAATTCTTTTTCATAAATAATGCATAAGGAATTCAGTCACAAATTGAGGCCATAAAGTTAATCAGTTCAAAAAAATTAGGAAATTAGTTAGTTTAATCACATATACATATTGTCAATCAGATATTACAGTAAGAACAAAAGATAACTCTTACAATGTAGGATAGAGCTACATCAGGGTCAATGCTTGTGTCGTCCTGGTAATAGAAAGCCTCTCCTTCTTCAACCTCATGCTCTTCCATGTCTGCCCCACGCAAACCCAATTAAGTTTCCAAAAACCCTAACCCTAGTTCACCACCTATCCTAAAGTCCAACATATCACTCACAATTCAAAAGAACCAATTTGACCCACAAAAATACTCCCCAAACCCAGAAATTCCCACAAAGGAATTGGTCTGAAACCCACGATCATAAACCTTCATTCAACCTACTTGATTATCTATACATATTCATATATATCTCTATAAATTACCTGAAATTAGTTATTTAAATATATCTTACGAGTTCTTATATTTGATACTCGGAGATAAATGTTGAAGAATCAATGTATCCTCGGACGTAGCAATCGAATCGGTTCTGAATGTAATGCTTTGGTCTTGATGCGTTGTGTATAGAGATACAGCGGATGAGAAAGACTAAGCATATGTATAGGTTTTCTCTCCTTTTCCTATTTATTACTATTATTAATGATAGTAACATTATACAAAAGACATGTGTTGCGTGAAGTTGGGAGTTCAAATCTTACAGTCTTCGATGGAATTTGATGGTTGGCCGCTATATTAACTTAATTAGGTCTAGTCCTCATAAGTGTTTCAAGCACGGGGTCTTATGATCGAGGTGGTCGCTGGACACTCTTCCTTGCCGCCCACTTTTCTAACCCAAAAAAAAAAAGACTCGTTGCGTGATGTGAGTTTTCGTATTAAAATATATTTTTTATATATATAAATCGTTTAGTAATTTATGTCTTGTGAATTTTGTTGTTTATGACTTTTATATAATTAATATATAAACGATTCGTATTGTATATTCGTTTGATTAATTTTATCTATAACTATTTTGTTTATTAATTATGTTGTATTAGATCAATATATTTACGAAAATAGGTGGCTTAAATAATACTAAAACTCTCTAATTTTATGATATGTTTATTTCATATTAACGGATCGTGTTATGTTTTTGACACCCTTAATTATACACTCTAAAAAATATTTAAATTTTCACTTTATACTCTAAATTATACCTCCAATGGTAAAAATTTGTTATATTTTTATAAAATTAAGTACACATGTTTTTCTAAAATACTTAAAATTTAGTATTATAGAAATAATTATATATAAAAAATTAAAATATTATAACAAAAAAATTGTCAAAAAATGACAGCTAACATTCAATTTTATTTTCGGTTCATATTGATATTTTTTTAATTGGTTGTTGATATCATGTAAAAATTTTAATTTTTTAATATATAAATAAAAAATAAATAAAATTTAACAATCTAAATCTAACTGGATCAGACTCAATAAATTCAGTAAATCTAAGTCAACTAAAAGGCAGGTCAAGCTCAGTTCACAAATTGGACCCACCACAAGTTATAAGGAGTCGAATAGAAATTATAGCACATTGGGAGCAATTATCAGGATACACCTTCTCGAATATCAAGACAATCTTTTATGACAATTACCTTTTGTAAACACCCGAATAATTAGTACCTTTGTCCTCAAGTCACCGCTTTAATCAAGGTCTTGTGCTTATAAATTATAAGTCCTCTCTACATGAGATGACATGTTGAGCTTTACCTATACATCTCTCTGCACACACGCATAATTTCTCTCTCTTCTAAGCTATTGTACTTTTTTCAGAGTTAACCATCGTTATCTTCCCCATTCAACTTATTTCATCAATAAAAACCCTGCCACCATTGTCATTTCCCAAAATGGAGTAGATCACCTGAACTACTATATATACGTGTGTTAACTCAATATGTATATTACTGTCATTTATTACTTTATTAATTGTCGATTAATTACACTATATCACACATTTGATTGTTGATATTATATGAGATTATTTTGTGCATCATTAAAATCTTTAATATAAAATAAGACAGACTTCAATAAGTTTATATGACGATCTCAAATCGCCTCATCAAACAACAATCAATATCACTCTAAAAATTATTCACATTGCACCGTGTGTTCAGACATGAATTNGGGTGGGCTTCAACTCCTTAAGCTACAGCTGTTGGTACACCGAGTAAGGAAGAAGATTCACATTTGCCCCCAAATCGAGGAGTGCTTGCTCCACTTGATAATTTNCTGTCATTTATTACTTTATTAATTGTCGATTAATTACACTATATCACACATTTGATTGTTGATATTATACGAGATTATTTTGTGCATCATTAAAATCTTTAATATAAAATAAGACAGACTTCAATAAGTTTATATGACGATCTCAAATCGACTCATCAAACGACAATCAATATCACTCTAAAAATTATTCACATTGCACCGTGTGTTCAGACATGAATTNGGTCTTCAATGGAATTTGATGATTGGCCGCTATATTAACTTAATTAGGTCTAATCCTCATAAGTGTTTCAAGCACGGGGTCTTATGATCGAGGTGGTCGCTGGACACTCTTCCTTGCCGCCCACTTTTCTAACCCAAAAAAAAAAAGACTCNCTAAATTATAATTTATGTTATTTTTCAAATGCAAATTGTTTTTGACCGCCCCGGTGTAGATTAGGCACAGTTCAAAAGTTCAGTCTATCTGAAAGATACAGATAAAGTCCACACATACGACGAAGGAAGATAGGTTAGATTCAACATCACCATCTTGAAAAAGTTGGGTCTCAAGAGACTCAATTCACACTAGACATTCTACGAGATTCATGGGACGTGCACGTCGCCATTTCTACGAAACTATCTCACTTTTACGAGAACAGTGTTATCTCCACCCAACTTTCTTACTTATTATAAAAACAATACCTCGATCTGTTAAGAGGTGTCTATAAATTTTAAACTTCACTTATATAAAATGGAACATCTTTCACATATCACTCACATTTGAATACCCTACGCTCTTTGAGCAATAAAATACTCAAGTCATCTTAACCCGTCGCCCAAATCAAACTACTTTCAACATTAATTCATTTCGATTTTATGCTTAATCATTTTAGGCATTTACCAGTTTTTATAGCTCTTTGATAACAAAGACATGGACAAAAAACGACAAGAAGTGTCGTATGGATGAATAGGAANTCTAAATTATAATTTATGTTCTTTTTCAAATGCAATTTGTTTTTGACCGCCCCGGTGTAGATTAGGCACAGTTCAAAAGTTCAGTCTATCTGAAAGATACAGATAAAGTCCAACATACAACGAAGGAAGATAGGTTAGGTTCAACATCACCATCTTGAAAAAGTTGGGTCTCAAGAGACTCAATTCACACTAGACATTCTACGAGATATTCATGGGACGTGCACGTCGCCATTTCTACGAAATTATCTCACTTTTACGAGAACAGTGTTATCTCCACCCAACTTTCTTACTTATTATAAAAACAATACCTCGATCCGTTAAGAGGTGTCTATAAATTTTAAACTTCACTTATATAAAATGAAACATCTTTCACATATCACTCACATTTGAATACTCTACGCTCTTTGAGCAATAAAATACTCAAGTCATCTTAACCCTTCACCCAAATCAAACTACTTTCAACATTAACTCATTTCGATTTTATGCTTAATCATTTTAGGCATTTACCAGTTTTTATAGCTCCTTGATAACAAAGACATGGACAAAAAACGACAAGAAGTGTCGTATGGATGAATAGGAAAGGTATAGTTGAAGCCAGGTCATGTGTTTTTTTTTAAATCATTGGTGATGTTAACGTAAGAAGCCACTTGCTGATCGGAGACTGAATAATTTTGGATGGGAAAACATTAATTTACATCTATGCCCTCGGAAAAAATTAGTGATTATGACATACCAAAATAGCTTTTAAAAAAAAAAAAATTAGTGGGACCCACCGGAAATGAAAGGCACGTGTTGAGTATTCGTACCACTTAAGGAAAGATACACAATTGTTGTTTTTTTTTTAAATAAGACATTGAAAATGTCTCCATCTGCCTTTCTATTTTTCACAATTGTTAAAGTTTTTTCCTGCAATATAGAGAATAATAATTGCGTCTCATCCATTTTTCTTCTTACTTACTACCTGTCTCCAAGGAATATCTTCAAATCACTATCATCGTCTTGATCATGACTTGGTTCAATCAANGCAATTGTTATTTTTTTTTAAATAAGACATTGAAAATGTCTCCATCTGCCTTTCTATTTTTCTAAATTTTTAAATTATAAAGTTTTTTCCTGCAATATAGAGAATAATAATTGCGTCTCATCCAAGGAATATCTTCAAATCACTATCATCGTCTTGATCATGACTTGGTTCAATCAAATTATTGAACTCTTAGTTAAGTTAAAAACTTCGTATTCCTATGATAATAAGCATCAATTAAGTACTATCATGCCATGGTTCCCAATAATTTTTTTTTATTTTTTTGTGTGATATACAATTTGAGAACACGACTTTTTTAAGTAAAGAAAAAGGAAAGTACACAAATTGCAAGGCAAACCAATGAGAGATACAGAGACGAATATTGTTTAGTATTTTATGAGTAAAATTGCTGGTGGGTAACTTTTTCACCAAATACACAAATTGTAATGGTAGCACATCATGATTTAACATTCACCATGTTAATCATTCGACAGGTTTAAATAAATTTATTTAACAGGCACTGTCATCCTTATCAAAACTATTTATATTATACCGTACCTTTAGACATAAATTATCCCATACTTTATTGGTATAATATGCTAATGATATTAAACTTTAAATTTTGTTGTAATTAAGACTTGTTCGAGCAATAGTAAATATATCATACACTTTATCGTGGAGTGTTTATTTTTTAATAATTTTCNATTGTAATGGTAGCACATCATGATTTAACATTCACCATGTTAATCATTCGACAGGTTTAAATAAATTTATTTAACAGTCACTGTCATCCTTATTAAAACTATTTATATTATACCGTGCTTTTAGACATAAATTATCCCATACTTTATTGGTATAATATGCTAATGATATTAAACTTTAAATTTTGTTGTAATTAAGACTTGTTCGAGCAATAGTAAATATATCATACACTTTATCGTGGAGTGTTTATTTTTTAATAATTTTCCTCGGTAGAGTGGATGGATCGGAATCTAATTCGGATTCGGCCCAATTAAGCAAATATGATTTGATATTTTTTATTTGTACCGATTTTAAACACGAATCTGATATTTTATATTTCATAGATTTTAGATTTAGATGTACACATATTCCGGGTATAATATTAGATTTATTAGTTTTGTGAATATTTTTATCACTGTTGTGAGTATTTTTACTACATACGTGGTAACTATTTTTATCACTTTTATTTCAGTACAAATAAAATTAACACTNTCTCGGTAGAGTGGATGGATCGAAATCTAATTCGGATTCGGGGCAATTAAGCAAATATGATTTGATATTTTTTATTTGTACCGATTTTAAACACGAATCTAATATTTTATATTTCATAGATTTTGGATTTAGATGTACACATGTTCCGGGTATAATATTAGATTTATTAGTTTTGTGAATATTTTTATCACTGTTGTGAGTATTTTTATTACATACGTGGTAACTATTTTTATCACTTTTATTTCAGTACAAATAAAATTAACACTGTAATAGGTGATTTATCACCTTTGTTGATATATTTACTATTATTATGGTAACTATTTTACCTTTTTTTTAAATATCACAACAGTGATAAAAACAATTATAAATGTATAATACAAAAAAAAAATGATGGTACCGTAGTCAACTCCTGCTAATAACATTGAAATTTAATTTTGTTTATAATTAAAAGACTTGCCCGTGAGATAGTATATTGTGGAGCGTTTTTTTGTTTAAAAATTTTACATTGCGNTTTTTTTTAAATATCACAACAGTGATAAAAACAATTATAAATGTATAATACAAAAAAAAATGATGGTACCGTAGTCAACTCCTGCTAATAACATTGAAATTTAATTTTGTTTATAATTAAAAGACTTGCCCGTGAGATAGTATATTGTGGAGCGTTTTTTTGTTTAAAAATTTTACATTGCGGAGTGGTTAACCAATAGGTAAAACTGTCTATGGATCGGATTTTGATTTGAATTCGGCCCGATTAAACGATTATGATTTGATATTTTTTTTATTGATAATCAATATTAGAATTCGATCTCTTATATTTAACAAATTTTAAGTTTAGATATNTGTTTTTTTGTTTAAAAATTTTACATTGCGAAGTGGTTAACCAATAGGTAAAACTGTCTATGGATCGAATTTTGATTTGAATTTGGCCCGATTAAACGATTATGATTTGATATTTTTTTTATTGATAATCAATATTAGAATTCGATCTCTTATATTTAACAAATTTTAAGTTTAGATATACACATATTCAATTTGACTATGATCCGATCTAAACTATTTTTTTATAAATATTTAGATTGAATCAAATTATAAACAGATTTAAATATAAATAATAAAAATAAAATTCATTGAATTACTTCGAATCAGTAAAAATTTCGATTCAGCCTCTTGGTGGTAAAGCAAGTTTTTTTCTTTTTTCTTTTTGGCCGAATGCATGGTTGGTTTATGGTACGTGTGTCTGCGTCTGTGCCCGTGCGCGTGTGTGTATTTTTTTCACTTTTTTTTTTATGACAAAAAATANAAACTAATGAAGCCATGAAGGTGGAATTTGATTCTAACTCTGGTCAGATTGCCTAGAGAATTAAGCAGCCAATGGGGGTGTCAAACGTATCGGGTTAAACGGGTGACGGGTGAAAAANTGTGTGTGTATTTTTTTCACTTTTTTTTTTATGACAAAAAATATTTAAAAATTACTTTGTCGTACAATACAGAAGCAGTTGATGTTCTACTTCTAGGGTTAAAACTTCTAGAGTCAAATTATTCTTTTNAATATATAAATTCGTACACGACACATTTAATAAACGGGTAAAAAATTTCCATACGAACACGATCCGTTTAATAAACGGGTAACACAACACAACTCATTTAACCTGTTTAATTTAAAAAAAATTATATTAACAAATTTTAATACTCCACTTTTTTTTATTATCAATTGCACTTACCTCAAACAAGAAGAAATTTTAATCAAATATCATAAAAATAAGACTTGAAGGCTTAAAAAAANCAAATTATTCTTTTTCTTTATAAACCTTTCTCCGTACAATTGTGGGTAAAATCTATTTCTTATTCTCGTCAAAATTTCAATGTTAGGGTTTTAAGGTTGCTTCACGACGTTGCATTCTCGTGGTACTTTCGAGATCGCAAGCTTGATAGCGTTTTTGGTTTTTTTTTTTCCTTACCCTTTTTGTCTATTTATATTTGAATAAACTAGGGTTCTTAATTTTATAGTAGGTTATGATTGTTTTAAATCTGTCCGTACGTAAACCTTCACTGAAGTGCAAAATTAATAAATTTTATAATGTGTTTGGGCGTTAAACGATGTGGGTTTGAATTGATTTTATGGTCATAGGTGTGTACACCAAGAAGTAAAAATCGAGGTTTGTGTTGGAGGGTGATTTGATATTTTGGGGATTGTTTGAGGCAAGGTGGGGAAATGGGTTTTGAAGTAATTTGATTGATCTTTTGGGGAGGGATGTTGGAGAAAATTAATAGATTAAGAAGTTGATTGTTGCAAGTTTTGCAGTATTGTGGTGGATTTTTTTTTTGTTTTTTGTTTTTTTGGGGGAATTTTTTAGTAATTATTGGAGTGAATCTTTCATTCTGGGATGGATTTTGTGCGAGAAAGTGGCGGTGTTGCGGGGTCGGTGCTAATCACGACACGGTTTGTGTGGCCTTATGGGGGAAGAAGCGTGTTTCTCAGTGGCTCATTTACTGGGTGAGTGAGATTTTAATGCTCATCTTTGTACTATTTGTGCTACTTCTTTATTATACAGTTTACAATTGTGCCATATTTTTATTACAATTGTAATTTTTTTTTGTTGGCTTAATTTCCATGATAACTGGGGAATGTTAATGTGTGAAGGTTTTCGGAGCATTGGCCGATGACGCCTGTTGAAGGCTGCCCTACAGTATTTCAGACTATTTGCAGCTTACCACCGGGCTACCATCAGGTCACTATATATATAACGGACATTTTTTTGTGTTCTTGCTATCATCTAATACAATTTTTGGCAGCATGCGTCTTGGTCAAAAGAACAGATGATAAAGTCGTCAGACTGTCATATTGGGTTTTGGCATCTTTGGATTGCACTAGCATGCTCAAACTCTATTAAATGTTCATGTTAACACAGTTATGATGGTGTGAATGCATATGAGAGTCTGAAGCTACCCATTGAGGGCATTATTGCTGAAGTTTTTAACTGTTTGATCTTTTGGTTTGTGTTCACGTTTCAAATTTCACAATGTTAATTTGTTTTGTCATTATTTTCATTTTTTAAGTTTAAACTTCATCACTATCAATGAAGGCAGTGGCTCATACTCAATTAGTTGGGTTAAGAATTTGTCGATGAAGGCAGTGGCTCATACTCTTAAGAAAAATTTTGGATGAGGATTTTGTGGGTGATTTGTGTAATCGATGATCTATCCATCCATATTGAGGTACATATTTTTAAATTTTTGAAACTAATGAAGCCATGAAGGTGGAATTTGATTCTAACTCTGGTCAGATTGCCTAGAGAATTAAGCAGCCAATGGGGGTGTCAAACGTATCGGGTTAAACGGGTGACGGGTGAAAAATATATAAATTCGTACACGACACATTTAATAAACGGATAAAAAATTTCAATACGAACACGATCCGTTTAATAAACGGGTAACACAACACAACTCATTTAACCTGTTTAATTTAAAAAAAATTATATTAACAAATTTTAATACTCCACTTTTTTTTATTATCAATTGCACTTACCTCAAACAAGAAGAAATTTTAATCAAATATCATAAAAATAAGACTTGAAGGCTTAAAAAAAAAAACCAAGAGGCCATTGCTTTTTTATAGGCAACTCAGCCGTTCCAATCTCCCCTCATTTTTCAATGTGGGACAAAAACAAAAGGCATTGACTTGCCTTTGTCTTTTAAGTGCTCTTCATCTCCTCTCTTTTGTTTTTGAACTACTATTTTACTTTTTTTTTTTGCTAATTTTTTTAAATAATTATTAATTTATTATTATATTAATTTTATTTAAATAAGTAAACGTGTGATGAACGATTTGATAGGTTTCACCCGAATACGACCCGTTTATTAAACGTGTTTGGCGTGTTAACCCGTTTATTACCCAAACCTGTTAAGATCTCATCCAAACCCGCTTAATTTGTGTCTATTCGTGTTGTGTCGAATTTTGACATCCCTAAGCTAAGCCAGCTAGCACTTTCCGTTTGATCTTAACAACTATATCTCTGTAGTTGAGTGAAGTTAAGTAATTTTTCTACTGCTCTAAATGTGGTCCTATTAATAGAAACAAACACAAATAACTGCTAGATTAAGTTTTTAATCACCCATGGTTCTAACTTCTAGCATTTGGGAAGTGAAAATGTTGTGGAAGGTTTTATTGAGTTTTTGATCATCTTATGGTCTAATTTCTAGAATAATGCGTTGGAAAATTTTGTGTACTTTGCTATTTATGGGGTATGATCAATTTTGATTTAGTTGGGAAGAGATTATGAGTTGATTTGATAATCTACCCACCTATGGTGAACAAACAAAGTATTCAGTAATGGGTTTAATTTATATTGACTGAACTATGCCAAGACAAAACATGGAACAACTTTTGTGGGCACTTATGGAAGTGGAAATGCTCTGCTGGATGACAAGTGGGTTTTCATTCAGTTGCTAGAGAGCAGGGTGAGAGCAATAGTGGTGATTATTTATTGATGATTCATGATCGTCTATACACACCCCGGGTGACATCCATCGGTCTCAATCCTTTCTTGGTTCAACAATATTTTTTGGAATCTTTTAAAAAATTTTAATGCATTTTATGACAAATTGTTATGGTCAATGAACAAAATTTCGTTTCGAAACGGCTGAAACGTTTCCGTTTCCAAGGTGACCGATACGAATCAATGATGGAATCGAAATTTTAATATTTTCAGGTATTTTATAATGTTTTGAGGTGTATTGTTATGTTTTAATATATTTGCACAATTGTTTCAGAATATTTTAAAGTAATACTGTTGTATATTTTGGTCAATATTTTAGAAAAATAATTCTTAAATTTTTGTATTTTTTTTCATTATGTTTTTGAAACATGTANTAATTTTATAGTAGGTTATGATTGTTTTAAATCTGTCCGTACGTAAACCTTCACTGAAGTGCAAAATTAATAAATTTTATAATGTGTTTGGGCGTTAAACGATGTGGGTTTGAATTGATTTTATGGTCATAGGTGTGTACACCAAGAAGTAAAAATCGAGGTTTGTGTTGGAGGGTGATTTGATATTTTGGGGATTGTTTGAGGCAAGATGGGGAAATGGGTTTTGAAGTAATTTGATTGATCTTTTGGGGAGGGATGTTGGAGAAAATTAATAGATTAAGAAGTTGATTGTTGCAAGTTTTGCAGTATTGTGGTGGATTTTTTTTTTGTTTTTTGTTTTTTTGGGGGAATTTTTTAGTAATTATTGGAGTGAATCTTTCATTCTGGGATGGATTTTGTGCGAGAAAGTGGCGGTGTTGCGGGGTCGGTGCTAATCACGACACGGTTTGTGTGGCCTTATGGGGGAAGAAGCGTGTTTCTCAGTGGCTCATTTACTGGGTGAGTGAGATTTTATTGCTCATCTTTGTACTATTTGTGCTACTTCTTTATTATACAGTTTACAATTGTGCCATATTTTTATTACAATTGTAATTTTTTTTTGTTGGCTTAATTTCCATGATAACTGGGGAATGTTAATGTGTGAAGGTTTTCGGAGCATTGGCCGATGACGCCTGTTGAAGGCTGCCCTACAGTATTTCAGACTATTTGCAGCTTACCACCGGGCTACCATCAGGTCACTATATATATACCGGACATTTTTTTGTGTTCTTGCTATCATCTAATACAATTTTTGGCAGCATGCGTCTTGGTCAAAAGAACAGATGATAAAGTCGTCAGACTGTCATATTGGGTTTTGGCATCTTTGGATTGCACTAGCATGCTCAAACTCTATTAAATGTTCCTGTTAACACAGTTATGATGGTGTGAATGCATATGAGAGTCTGAAGCTACCCATTGAGGGCATTATTGCTGAAGTTTTTAACTGTTTGATCTTTTGGTTTGTGTTCACGTTTCAAATTTCACAATGTTAATTTGTTTTGTCATTATTTTCATTTTTTAAGTTTAAACTTCATCACTATCAATGAAGGCAGTGGCTCATACTCTTAAGAAAAATTTTGGATGAGGATTTTGTGGGTGATTTGTGTAATCGATGATCTATCCATCCATATTGAGGTACATATTTTTAAATTTTTGAAACTAATGAAGCCATGAAAGTGGAATTTGATTCTAACTCTGGTAAGATTGCCTAGAGAGTTAAGCAGCCAATGGGGGTGTCAAACGTATCGGGTTAAACGGGTGACGGGTGAAAAATATATAAATTCGTACACGACACATTTAATAAACGGGTAAAAAATTTCCATACGAACACGATCCGTTTAATAAACGGGTAACACAACACAACTCATTTAACCTGTTTAATTTAAAAAAAATTATATTAACAAATTTTAATACTCCACTTTTTTTTATTATCAATTGCACTTACCTCAAACAAGAAGAAATTTTAATCAAATATCATAAAAATAAGACTTGAAGGCTTAAAAAAAAAAACCAAGAGGCCATTGCTTTTTTATAGGCAACTCAGCCGTCCAATCTCCCCTAATTTTTCAATGTGGGACAAAAACAAAAGGCATTGACTTGCCTTTGTCTTTTAAGTGCTCTTCATCTCCTCTCTTTTGTTTTTGAACTACTATTTTACTTTTTTTTTTTTGCTAATTTTTTTAAATAATTATTAATTTATTATTATATTAATTTTATTTAAATAAGTAAGCGTGTGATGAACGATTTAATAGGTTTCACCCGAATACGACCCGTTTATTAAACGTGTTTGGCGTGTTAACCCGTTTATTACCCAAACCTGTTAAGATCTCATCCAAACCCGCTTAATTTGTGTCTATTCGTGTTGTGTCGAATTTTGACATCCCTAAGCTAAGCCAGCTAGCACTTTCCGTTTGATCTTAACAACTATATCTCTGTAGTTGAGTGAAGTTAAGTAATTTTTCTACTGCTCTAAATGTGGTCCTATTAATAGAAACAAACACAAATAACTGCTAGATTAAGTTTTTAATCACCCATGGTTCTAACTTCTAGCATTTGGGAAGTGAAAATGTTGTGGAAGGTTTTATTGAGTTTTTGATCATCTTATGGTCTAATTTCTAGAATAATGCGTTGGAAAATTTTGTGTACTTTGCTATTTATGGGGTATGATCAATTTTGATTTAGTTGGGAAGAGATTATGAGTTGATTTGATAATCTACCCACCTATGGTGAACAAACAAAGTATTCAGTAATGGGTTTAATTTATATTGACTGAACTATGCCAAGACAAAACATGGAACAACTTTTGTGGGCACTTATGGAAGTGGAAATGCTCTGCTGGATGACAAGTGGGTTTTCATTCAGTTGCTAGAGAGCAGGGTGAGAGCAATAGTGGTGATTATTTATTGATGATTTATGATCGTCTATACACACCCCGGGTGACATCCATCGGTCTCAATCCTTTCTTGGTTCAACAATATTTTTTGGAATCTTTTAAAAAATTTTAATGCATTTTATGACAAATTGTTATGGTCAATGAACAAAATTTCGTTTCGAAACGGTTGAAACGTTTCCGTTTCCAAGGTGACCGATACGAATCAACGATGGAATCGAAATTTTAATATTTTCAGGTATTTTATAATGTTTTGAGGTGTATTGTTATGTTTTAATATATTTGCACAATTGTTTCAGAATATTTTAAAGTAATACTGTTGTATATTTTGGTCAATATTTTAGAAAAATAATTCTTAAATTTTTGTATTTTTTTTCATTATGTTTTTGAAACATGTCGAAATGTTTCTGAAACATGTCGAAATATTTCCGTTTATGAAGTGATTGAAACAATGCATCGAAACAGAATTTTGATCCTTGGTTATGGTTCAGTGATTATAAGAAAACTTTACTAGGAAAGTACACTTCTTAAAGAAGTCAAATTTGCAAGTTGATCAATTAGAATCCGAAACAAAATTTTGATCATTGGTTATGGTTCAGTGATTATAAGAAAACTTTACTAGGAACGTACACTTCTTAAAGAAGTCAAATTTGCAAGTTGACCAATTAGAATATGGGAGGAAGGTAAATGATGTGCAGATTAGAGCCCTAAAAGTACAATTCACTGGAGCCGGGCTTAAATATGCGATTGCACTTATTTCAAGTGACCCAAANCAATTAGTTGGGTTAAGAATTTGTCGATGAAGGCAGTGGCTCATACTCTTAAGAAAAATTTTGGATGAGGATTTTGTGGGTGANATCTGTTTATCATGGTGATTTTAGTCCAAGCTCTTAAATTCCCCAATAGAATGTAGTCAATAAACATAGGTTTGTATGCAATTAGGTTATTGGGGGTCAAGAGATGTATAGNGATTTGTGTAATCGATGATCTATCCATCCATATTGAGGTACATATTTTTAAATTTTTGAAACTAATGAAGCCATGAAGGTGGAATTTGATTCTAACTCTGGTNAGAATGTAGTCAATAAACATAGGTTTGTATGCAATTAGGTTATTGGGGGTCAAGAGATGTATAGGTAAGTGCAGACTGCATTGATTGTTGCTATGAAATTAGATTGTTAAAACAATGGTGCTCTTGGNAGTGGAATTTGATTCTAACTCTGGTAAGATTGCCTAGAGAGTTAAGCAGCCAATGGGGGTGTCAAACGTATCGGGTTAAACGGGTGACGGGTGAAAAATATATAAATTCGTACACGACACATTTAATAAACGGATAAAAAATTTCAATACGAACACGATCCGTTTAATAAACGGGTAACACAACACAACTCATTTAACCTGTTTAATTTAAAAAAAATTATATTAACAAATTTTAATACTCCACTTTTTTTTATTATCAATTGCACTTACCTCAAACAAGAAGAAATTTTAATCAAATATCATAAAAATAAGACTTGAAGGCTTAAAAAAAAAAACCAAGAGGCCATTGCTTTTTTATAGGCAACTCAGCCGTCCAATCTCCCCTAATTTTTCAATGTGGGACAAAAACAAAAGGCATTGACTTGCCTTTGTCTTTTAAGTGCTCTTCATCTCCTCTCTTTTGTTTTTGAACTACTATTTTACTTTTTTTTTTTTGCTAATTTTTTTAAATAATTATTAATTTATTATTATATTAATTTTATTTAAATAAGTAAGCGTGTGATGAACGATTTAATAGGTTTCACCCGAATACGACCCGTTTATTAAACGTGTTTGGCGTGTTAACCCGTTTATTACCCAAACCTGTTAAGATCTCATCCAAACCCGCTTAATTTGTGTCTATTCGTGTTGTGTCGAATTTTGACATCCCTAAGCTAAGCCAGCTAGCACTTTCCGTTTGATCTTAACAACTATATCTCTGTAGTTGAGTGAAGTTAAGTAATTTTTCTACTGCTCTAAATGTGGTCCTATTAATAGAAACAAACACAAATAACTGCTAGATTAAGTTTTTAATCACCCATGGTTCTAACTTCTAGCATTTGGGAAGTGAAAATGTTGTGGAAGGTTTTATTGAGTTTTTGATCATCTTATGGTCTAATTTCTAGAATAATGCGTTGGAAAATTTTGTGTACTTTGCTATTTATGGGGTATGATCAATTTTGATTTAGTTGGGAAGAGATTATGAGTTGATTTGATAATCTACCCACCTATGGTGAACAAACAAAGTATTCAGTAATGGGTTTAATTTATATTGACTGAACTATGCCAAGACAAAACATGGAACAACTTTTGTGGGCACTTATGGAAGTGGAAATGCTCTGCTGGATGACAAGTGGGTTTTCATTCAGTTGCTAGAGAGCAGGGTGAGAGCAATAGTGGTGATTATTTATTGATGATTTATGATCGTCTATACACACCCCGGGTGACATCCATCGGTCTCAATCCTTTCTTGGTTCAACAATATTTTTTGGAATCTTTTAAAAAATTTTAATGCATTTTATGACAAATTGTTATGGTCAATGAACAAAATTTCGTTTCGAAACGGTTGAAACGTTTCCGTTTCCAAGGTGACCGATACGAATCAACGATGGAATCGAAATTTTAATATTTTCAGGTATTTTATAATGTTTTGAGGTGTATTGTTATGTTTTAATATATTTGCACAATTGTTTCAGAATATTTTAAAGTAATACTGTTGTATATTTTGGTCAATATTTTAGAAAAATAATTCTTAAATTTTTGTATTTTTTTTCATTATGTTTTTGAAACATGTCGAAATGTTTCTGAAACATGTCGAAATATTTCCGTTTATGAAGTGATTGAAACAATGCATCGAAACAGAATTTTGATCCTTGGTTATGGTTCAGTGATTATAAGAAAACTTTACTAGGAAAGTACACTTCTTAAAGAAGTCAAATTTGCAAGTTGACCAATTAGAATCCGAAACAAAATTTTGATCATTGGTTATGGTTCAGTGATTATAAGAAAACTTTACTAGGAACGTACACTTCTTAAAGAAGTCAAATTTGCAAGTTGACCAATTAGAATATGGGAGGAAGGTAAATGATGTGCAGATTAGAGCCCTAAAAGTACAATTCACTGGAGCCGGGCTTAAATATGCGATTGCACTTATTTCAAGTGACCCAATTATCATGGTGATTTTAGTCCAAGCTCTTAAATTCCCCTATAGAATGTAGTCAATAAACATAGGTTTGTATGCAATTAGGTTATTGGGGGTCAAGAGATGTATAGGTAAGTGCAGACTGCATTGATTGTTGCTATGAAATTAGATTGTTAAAACAATGGTGCTCTTGGAGGCTAAAAACCAAAATAAGGAGGATCAAATTATTTATGTACATTATTTCTGCCGAAATTTGTTTTTGGCGAACCAGTTATCCTCCATAAGAGCCAAAAGATAGGGGGCACCAAGTACAGGCAGAGTATTTGCTTCTGCTGAAGGTTGTCNGGTGCTCTTGGAGGCTAAAAACCAAAATAAGGAGGATCAAATTATTTATGTACATTATTTCTGCCGAAATTTGTTTTTGGTGAACCAGTTATCCTCCATAAGAGCCAAAAGATAGGGGGCACCAAGTACAGGCAGAGTATTTGCTTCTGCTGAAGGTTGTCCATGGAATTCTTGAATTGTTGGAAAAATTATTTCACGTTTCTCAAACACTTGCCATTTAGTGAAGAATTCATTGTCTATATATATATATATATAACCTAATAAGTTGTAATTCTATTTATTCGTTGAAAGGCACACATGCTTATGCTTTGTTTCCTTACTTGCAGTACAAGTTTATTGTTGATGGGGAGTGGCGACATGATGAGCACCAACCCTTTGTGAGTAGTAACTTCGGAATAGTGAACACTGTCCTCTTGGCTAGGGAACTTCCTGGTTCTAACATGGATGTGGATAATGAGGCCTTTCAGCGTCTGGTATGAGACTGTTGCATTTACCAGTTGTTCCCTGGAACCTTTTATCTCCGCTTTTTGTATATTTTAACTGCAAAGTGTTAATTGTAGGATTTTTTTCCCGAAACCTGGTGTGTGGGCTTGTTTTTCTGAAATCCATTAGTATTTCCATGTTTTGAAAATGTGTTTATTTTGGTTTTGGGGGACCTAGGATTTTATGCACCAACATCAGACGTACTATTTTATTATTAAACATTTAAGATTATATGTACGTATTGTTCGTATTTTTTTGGTTTAACTTGCCTTGTTATAGCTAGGGTGCTTCCTGGAAAGATATTGTGCCAACAGTGTTGTCAATCATCTAGTACAACAAGGGAGAGCACGGGCTTATCTCTGCTCGGCTTCTCCCTCTCTACAATCCCATTACCTCAAAATTCTGCATCCCACTCGGTCTCTCTCTCGTACACACATTCAACTACCCATCTCTCTCTCTCTCACACATCCGGATAAAATTATTGGTTCTCAAACTTTTAGAAAATCAGATCTTATTTTATTAATGTTTATAGGCTACACATGCATTGCATGTGCCACAATTGCTCTTTGATTTATTTCGAGCAGTANCTCTCTCTCGTACACACATTCAACTACCCATCTCTCTCTCTCTCTCTCTCTCTCTCACACACACATCCGGATAAAATTATTGGTTCTCAAACTTTTAGAAAATCAGATCTTATTTTATTAATGTTTATAGGCTACACATGCATTGCATGTGCCACAATTGCTCTTTGATTTATTTCGAGCAGTACTGTTTCTCTTGCCGAATNCACACATGCTTATGCTTTGTTTCCTTACTTGCAGTACAAGTTTATTGTTGATGGGGAGTGGCGACATGATGAGCACCAACCCTTTGTGAGTAGTAACTTCGGAATAGTGAACACTGTCCTCTTGGCTAGGGAACTTCCTGGTTCTAACATGGATGTGGATAATGAGGCCTTTCAGCGTCTGGTATGAAACTGTTGCATTTACCAGTTGTTCCCTGGAACCTTTTATCTCCGCTTTTTGTATATTTTAACTGCAAAGTGTTAATTGTAGGATTTTTTTCCCAAAACCTGGTGTGTGGGCTTGTTTTTCTGAAATCCATTAGTATTTCCATGTTTTGAAAATGTGTTTATTTTGGTTTTGGGGGACCTAGGATTTTGTGCACCAACATCAGACGTACTATTTTATTATTAAACATTTAAGATTATATGTACGTATTGTTCGTATTTTTTGGGTTTAACTTGCCTTGTTATAGCTAGGGTGCTTCCTGGAAAGATATTGTGCCAACAGTGTTGTCAATCATCTAGTACAACAAGGGAGAGCACGGGCTTATCTCTGCTCGGCTTCTCCCTCTCTACAATCCCATTACCTCAAAATTCTGCATCCCACTCGGTCTCTCTCTCGTACACACATTCAACTACCCATCTCTCTCTCTCTCTCTCTCTCTCTCACACACACATCCGGATAAAATTATTGGTTCTCAAACTTTTAGAAAATCAGATCTTATTTTATTAATGTTTATAGGCTACACATGCATTGCATGTGCCACAATTGCTCTTTGATTTATTTCGAGCAGTACTGTTTCTCTTGCCGAATCGTTGTAATTATTCTTAAGTGGATGGAAGTGCCAATCTAATTAACTCAAAAATATGCAAGGCATATCTCCTTTAAGGCTAAAATGTTTCATAAATATCGGATTTGAGTATTTCCAGCTTAGAATATGTATCAGTGAAGTGCGTAAATCTCTTATGGAAACATGCAGGTCAGAGTTTCAGATGGGGCATTGCTTGACAGCTTGCCGAGGATGTCAGAAGCCGATCTAGCGGTCTCTCGTGAACGTGTCTCTGTATTCCTATCTTCACATATGGCTTATGAGTTGCTTCCTGAGTCAGGCAAGGTTTGAATGATTTATCCGGGACCTTCCTTACTATATTCACATTTAATCGTTCGTATGAACTTGGCCAGTGTGAATTTTTCCTCATAGTTAGATGTATCTGGCTTTGCAGGTCGTTGCCTTAGACATTGAGTTACCCGTAAAGCAGGCATTTCATATTTTGCATGAGCAGGTATCACTTTTATTTCTCTGAATTTGAAGTTGATATCATGATGTGTCGTGGATAGTATTGTTGATAGGAAGCACATTCTGATTGTTATCTACATGTATAACTGAGAGGAAGAAATCTTCTAATGATTCTAAACTCATCTCTTATGAACTGAGCTTGTCAATTACTTGTCATGAGTAAAAAAATTGAATGACGGCATAACTGGGAATATTTGCAATTCCTGTGGATTATAGAGTCCTGTTATCTTATATGTGGCCAGTAGGTTTAAGACTACTCTAAAGTTAATCCTTCAATACTTTTTGATTAGCAATCTGGTGGATATGGTTGTTGTAAGAAAGAACTGGAGTAGTTCATGCATTGGATTGCGTTAAGAAGTCGTAGAAGAGATAGAATTCTCTTCTTATGCTGATTTGGGCTGTCACGATTTTCTCATCCATGCAGCTTAGTGTTTTAACATCTGACCGTCAAATTCAGGGAATAGTCCAGAGTTGCTCAGTAATTGGTCACAAGCCACTTGCTTTTTCAAGGCGTTTATCCATGCTTTGAAATCATGTTTGCAATTTGTTACTTCTTTATGTTCTGAGCCTTCACTTTTTTCTGATATGACACTTTTATATGCACCTCTTCTGAGTCAAGCTATTTCCAGGGAATTCCTACAGCTCCACTTTGGGACTTCTGCAAGGGGCAGTTTGTTGGAGTTCTTAGTGCATTGGATTTTATCTTAATTATGCGAGAGGTATGAATATGTGGAACCAAACCTCATCATTATTTAATGCCAAATTTTGTACTCCCTCTGCCCTACTTAATACTTTTTAAGTGATCATATTTTCTCTCTTGGTAATGGGAGAGAATTTTTTCAATGACAAAATTCTAAAAAATAGAATACACTATTTGGAAATATAGAATTGAATTGCTCTGACTTGTGGAATGGGATAGTATTTTTGGGACTTCCCAAAAAGGAAACATGGACACTTCTCTAGGGGTGCAGAAAGAAAGTAGTTCATATAGTGCGAGGTTCTGGTTAGCAAGGACATCTTTGCAGTGCTGTGAAGTTCATCCAAAACAAGAACTTTTAGCAACTTGTGATTTGAATTTTTTTTACAAACCCTAGTGTATTTCAATTCTATCTTGTCTACACTATCACATTCATGACCTGAGAGCGTTAAGCATTAAGCCTGGTTTAAATTTTTGACGTTGTGAAAGAATTGTGGATAGCATGGTGTTATGTTCTGATGCTTTTATATGACTCCTTGCGAATTAGGTGCAAATTGTGGCAGGAGATACTGGATTTATGTTTCAACTTGACTATTTTAATTTCAAAAATTTGATATTTAAGTGTTTGAAATTGTCATAAAATTTATGCAGATTTGATGAAATTTCCTGTTCTTCCTCTTTGTTTGTTTGCTCAAGATAAGGTTTATTGCTTTTATATTCATGTCGACTAATTACCTTGCTTCTTCCCTATATCAAGTGATTTTTTTTTCATCTAAAAAGCATATGTTAGGCATTTTTTGTTGGTAATTTTTTTTAATAGGAAACAAATGATTTTATTAATAATATAAAGGTGTATTACAAAAAAATAGCAAAGGTGGACAAGTAGTTCAAACTAAATGCGAACAAACATAGAAGTCCTATAAAGATAAAAGCAAAGACTTATGATTCTTCTAATTACTGCGAACCTAATAAGGGCACAGGCACAGGCACAGGCATAGGCACGAAATTTTTCAAAAAATTAGAACACAAACACGTTGTGGAACATGTTAAATTTTTTTAATTTTGATCTCAATGAGACACGTTACATACTATGCATATATGNCACCGGCACAGGCACAGGCATGTTGACATGAAATTTTTCAAAAAGTTAGAACACAAACACGTTGTGGAACATGTTAAATTTTTTTAATTTTGATCACAATGAGACACGTTACATACTATGTATATATGTGATTATATGATAAAATAAATATATTTAGACAATAATCATTCAATTCTTCATTTCTTTAATTCTAACAACTCACATAATGATATGATCAAATAAAAAATTTNGGCACAGGCACAGGCACAGGCATAGGCACGAAATTTTTCAAAAAATTAGAACACAAACACGTTGTGGAACATGTTAAATTTTTTTAATTTTGATCTCAATGAGACACGTTACATACTATGCATATATGTGATTATATGATAAAATAAATATATTTAGACAATAATCATTCAGTTCTTCATTTCTTTAATTCTAACAACTCACATAATGATATGATCAAATAAAAAATTTAGTACCACATATACCAATACATTCTCATCATAAATATTCATGACTCAATAATCAATGATTACTATAGTTTTCATTTTCAAAAATATCTCAAATCATAACCCTATTTTTCTTCAATTTCAAAGTGCCCCAGTTTCGTAACCTATTTTTCATCACATTTCTTTCATATATAAAGCTTATTCCATTTGTATATAATTTTGTAATTGTTTCCGAAATTATATTATATCCATGTAAAATGTTCATATAGTGATTATAGTTCTTTCTATATTATGCATTTGACTTATATTTTTTTAAAATACAAAAATAACTTACTTAATTATAAAGTTGTTAGACAAGGTTTCAAAAATTTGAAAAAATTTCAAAATGTGTCCTTGAGCATGTCCCCGGCGTGCTATAAAAAAATTGGACACTTATTTTAACATGTCCAACATGTGTCCGTATCCCGTACGTGTCCGACATTGACATTCTAACCCACAATGAAGTGTCCGTGCTTCCTAGCCACGAACAGCAGGCCATCTATCCATTTATTTGTTGGCATCTTAAAATATTTTTAATGGAATCAGTATCTGATGATGTTAATTTTGTGTTTTGGTAAGATGGAAAAATGTTTTGCAAATCCCTGTCTTTATCAAAACCCTTGTCCCCTTTTCCTAGCCGAAGCTTTCCATGAGAGGCTTGGGGTCTCATTGCTATGATGCTTTTGCCTAAAATGATAATGGTTGAGAACAGAGTGAATCTAATTTCTGCTGATCTTGACATTTCTTGTTTTGAATGATAAGCAGGTAATTTTATGTATGCTCGAATCTTGTCTCTTTATCTCTTTCCAGTATTTCATTATGTGGCACTTGTAGATTTGGATTTGTGGATTTATGTAAAACTAGGCTTATAGATGCTTGATATCCCATTTTGCAGCTTGGTAATAATGGGTCCAATCTGACAGAGGAAGAGCTTGAGACACACACTATATCTGCTTGGAAAGAGGCAAAATTATTTCTGAATAGACAAGTTAATGAGCATGGGAGAGACTTTCCGAGACGACTTATCCATGTAGGTGTTTATTTTTGCATTCTTGATCCTAGCATTTTAATATTCTGTTGAAACATGAGGTTTTAGTTTCATGTTAATATCAAGGAAATGAATTTTGGGAAAGTGGAATTGTATGTTAGCGTTTTATTGCTTATTGAGGATGCATTGCCTTTATTAAACCACTTTATGATGCTTCCTTGGCTTGTCTAGTGGTGCTACCATTGGTTCTATTACAATTTTTTATTGCAGCCTATGAAGAAGCCAAAATTTTCTTTCCAACCGCACAACCCAAAAGATTGACATAATCACACATTCCCACAAAATAGAAATTCTACACCCCTTCCCAAAAGCGTTATGATGTGTCAACTAGAGAGACACATGCTCTTGGAATAACCCAATCCAAGCTAAACTCACTGTGTCCTTTATGCCATGGTTTCCCTATTATTTTACACATTGGGCTAGTATGGTTGCCGTATTAAAAATGGATGGATTGGATAAAGTAATACAGTCTAATACAATTCAAATGGATAAAAGACAAGATTAAATATGGTATTAGAATAATACGTAACGTAATCTAGTATTTGACAATAGACAATATAAGCATTGGATAAAAGTTATTTAATTTTAATCTAATTGGTTGTTTGGTTAGATAATTATTTCATCGTATTAATGTTAAATTAACAAAAATACCCTTAATTAGTATGTTACATTGATAACAACTTAATTTTATTACTGGGGGGTTATAATAGTAAATGTGTAGAATAATAAGATTGAATTGGATTATAATCAATGATCGAAATATTGTTTCGAAACGGTCGAAATGTTTTTGTTTCCAAGNTTAATTTTATCACTGGGGGGTTATAATAGTAAATGTGTAGAATAATAAGATTGAATTGGATTATAATCNAATTTTATTACTGGGGGGTTATAATAGTAAATGTGTAGAATAATAAGATTGAATTGGATTATAATCAATGATCGAAATATTGTTTCGAAACGGTCGAAATGTTTTTGTTTCCAAGGAGACTGAAACGAATCAGTGATGAAATCGAAATTATAATATTTCGAGGTGTTCCACAATGTTTCGAATTTTTTTGTTATATTTCAATACATTTGCACAATTATTTCGGAATGCTTCAAGGTATTTTAAGATATTTTGGTATATTTTGACCAATGTTTTGAAAAAAATAATTCTTAATTTTTTTNGTTTTTGTTTCCAAGGAGACTGAAACGAATCAGTGATGAAATCGAAATTATAATATTTCGAGGTGTTCCACAATGTTTCGAATTGTTTTGATATATTTCAATACATTTGCACAATTATTTCGGAATGCTTCAAGGTATTTCAAGATATTTTGGTATATTTTGACCAATGTTTTGAAAAAAATAATTCTTAATTTTTTTTATTCTGTTTTCGAAATGTTTCCGAAACATGTTCGAAAAGTTTCTGCAACATGTTGAAATATTTTCGAAGCATATTGAAACGTTTCTGTTTCCTAAGTGATCGAAACAATATAACGAAATAAAATTTTGATCCTTGATTATAATACCACCTCTCTTTGTGATATTAAAAAACCCTCATAATACAGGTCTATCGTACAAAAAATATATGATAAGNCATTTTCGAAGCATATTGAAACGTTTCTGTTTCCTAAGGGATCGAAACAATATAACGAAACAAAATTTTGATCCTTGATTATAATACCACCTCTCTTTGTGATATTAAAAAACCCTCATAATACAGGTCTATCGTACAAAAAATATATGATAAGTGTATGATTAATATATGTTTTTGAAATTGATACGGTATAAAATTTGCTTAGCAAACAAAGTATTAGACCCAATTAAATAAAAAATAGTACAATCTAATATTTAATTCCCNAATAAGTGTATGATTAATATACGATTTTGAAATTGATACGGTATAAAATTTGCTTAGCAAACAAAGTATTAGACCCAATTAAATAAAAAATAGTACAATCTAATATTTAATTCCCTCGTAATACGTCTACCAAACGAGTCCATTATATATATTTGAGGAGAAAGACAATAAGTTGGTCTTCTATGTGACAAACAACAAATATTAAGCTTTCCATGAGATGCAACCCAAGCAAAAACTAGCACTTTAACATGTAATTTAGCTTTCCAAATCATCTCACGAGGTTCAAAAATTGAGGATTAGTGATCATCAATCAAATTATGAAACCAAGATTTGCAAGAGAAAATAATGGGAGAATCAAGGGTCCACTCTCTTTTATCCCCCACATGTGGCAACAAGGAAGCTGAATCAACCAAAGCAAGAATTTCCCAACGGCCTACTATTTTTTTTTTTTAAAACGGCCTACTATGAATCATTGATTTATTGAAAAATCAATCAAACCAAATCCTTGTCTTTCTTTGATCTATTTCTCCATTGCGACGTGGCGTTGAAACTGTGGTATAGAGTGGTGGGTATTCCAAGAGATGCATATCTTTATTGGTAGCAAACTATGATTTTCTTGGGAAGGGGTGATAGTATCTATCTTGTGGGAAAGTGTGGTTATGGCAATTTTGTGGATGGTTTGACTGAAAAGGAATAACAGATTTTTTTAAGGAAAAAGAAGAATTTGTGGAGTTTCTTTGGGATAAGTTTTTGGCTTCTCTTGAGGCATTGACTACAAAAGAGTTTAGGAATGTGCCATTTTATTTCTCTTAGTATTGATTGGATTGTAGCAGATAACTAGAGGGTTAACTCCTGTTTCATAGGGATGTAATGGCTTGGATGTCTTTTCCTATTTTATGTTCCTCATAGGGTAAATTTCTTGTCCACTTCTTTTGTACATATTTCTTTAATTAGTGAAAGTTTTGTTTCCTATCAAAGAATCCCTGATTTATTGAGATTGTTTTCTGTTCTCTTTACATTAATACCTATGATTGGGTATTTCTTTATTATGTGTGGGTGATGAAGCATTTTGCATCTGTTTTCATTGGGAGTTCAAGTAGCTGATTGATAGGGTAATTTAATGTCATCCCGTTGGTCTTCGCTCTCTTTTAAAGAATTCCTATCAAGCTATTTGTCTTAGGTTTCCTACCTACGCTGGTCTTTTCAGGGTCTTTCTCTTGCTGTTTGAAAAAGACAGTTCTTTAATTCGTTGTTATACCGAATAGTGGCAACTCTTGCCTGCTGACTAGGTGTTCATTGTTCAGGCTGGACCAGATGAGAATTTGAAAGATGTTCTTTTAAAGTTTCTGCAAAATGGCGTGTCTACAGTTCCTGTTATTCATTCATCTTCGGAGGATGGCTCATTTCCGCAACTATTGCATGTTGCTTCGCTTTCTGAAATACTTAAATGTAAGGATTTGATTTGTTTTCCTGAATAATTACAGGTGTATTCTTACTGACATGCATCTGTTAATTTTCAGGTGTTTGCAGGTATTTTAGACATTCTTCTGCCTCATTGCCCATACTTCAACTACCGATATGTGCAATTCCTTTGGGTACTTGGGTTCCAAAAATCAGGGAGCCAAATCGACATACCTTGGCGATGTTAAGACCAAGCGCTTCTCTTAATGCAGCATTGAATTTATTAGTTCAAGGTATGCTTCATGTTCCCCAAATAATTAGAGTATCAATTTTCTATGTTGTTGGAAATGATTTGAGCCCACAATTGATTTCTATCAAGCTACTCAGGATTTGTTTCTTGGTTGCTCATTTTGATATTTGCATCCTATATTTTGATAAGTTGGTGGACAGTGTTGTGCACACCACACTTAAACGCAGGTTAATTTAGTGTGCCCTTACATTGTCTATGTTCCTTTCTTCTTTTATTCTTTTTCTGGTTATGTTAGTTTACTTGGATATTCTAAACAAGCAGCCTTTTGCTTGGCTAGGATGGGCATTATTATTACCACATTAGTGTTCTATATAGGTGGTTAGTGGTTACCAAGGTCGTGTATCGTATCGATGAGGAACAAACCATTGTGGGAGGTTTTGTACTAGTTTTGTGTAGGATCTCTGGGTAGATCATAGATGATTCTTCAAGGATGAAGAACATCAATTGTCTTTGTGGCATGATATTGTGAGTCCCTGTGTGGATTTAGATACAGTTTATTTTGTATAGATGCTCTTCCTACATCAATTAGGTTTCACACACTGGTGCTATGGTGATTGTGGATTTAATTATGGGATCACCAGCTATGTGCAGATTTAATTGATTAGGTCATAGAGAAATTCCTGGTTCACAGTCCATTGGGCATAAGGGAGCCAAAATTTTTGCAATTTAACCTAGTGGAAAGTTCTACTGTTTAATTGGAATATGCTGCCTTTGTCTGGAAGGAAATTGATTATTCAAAGCATGCTGTCAGCAAAAGTAAATTGTGATTGATAGTAAAAAACCTTAATTGTAGGAGGTATTAGAGTTGAAAAACCCTAATATTAGTTTTGAGATAGACTCTACCTCCAATGAAAATTTACCCAAAATTTGCTTGAAATGGTTTACTTAATGTGAAAAGACTTTGTCAACTACAATTCTGGCAATTTGCTATGACATCACCACAGTTTCTGGGTATATTCAGTCAAGTGTGCGTTTGTCTATTTCTTTCATCTGGTTTGTCACTGCTCAAAATCTCACTCCTCCAGACAAAAAGCATAAGAATTCACAGATATAGGGAAATGGAGACCTGATTGGGTAGAAAGAATCACATGTGTTAGCTACATTTAGCAGATCATTTTGACAATATATCTCCATCTTCCTCTAATGCTTATGTAATGTGTTCTGTGTCTTTTCAGCTCAAGTTAGTTCAATACCAATAGTTGATGACAATGACTCATTATTGGATATATATTCTCGAAGGTAAGTTCTGGTTCTAGTTCGTTGAAGTATATTTATAGTACTTGGATTCCAATTGTAGTTCTTAATCTTTGAAATCAGAAATCGGTTACTGTGCTGGAATTGAAGCTCATACATCTTTGTTGTCTCTTTACAGTGATATCACAGCTTTGGCANCTTGAAGTATATTTATAGTACTTGGATTCCAATTGTAGTTCTTAATCTTTGAAATCAGAAATCAGTTACTGTGCCGGAATTGAAGCTCATACATCTTTGTTGTCTCTTTACAGTGATATCACAGCTTTGGCAAAAGACAAACTTTATGCACATATTAATCTTGAAGAGATGAGTATTCATCAGGTAAAGTGCTATTTTTTAATTCTGAGAATGTTTGCTTGCCAAATCAATAACTGTGTACAGATTATTTGGAATGTAACACTCTACAAGATGTGTTTGGAGGCCATATGAATACAGTTTCTGGCTAGGGTTTTAAACGAGATGGAGGATATATGTATGTGTGGCAGTGTGCTGTAAACATTCATATTTCCTGGCCTGGTGATGTGGATGTGAGTCGAAGGCGTATTGAGGTAGCAAAGTATTAGTTAATAATAATAGTGAGTTTATTGTTGATGCAGTTCAGCTGAGATAGCAGATGATACTGTCAAAATAAAAAATGGGGTACTGAAATAGCTCTGTTACCATGCTGTTGATTTTTCTGTACTCACTATTTCCCTGGTCCTTCTTTGACAGTAGTGATAATTGTGTTCACACCATCTGTTCCCTGGATTTTGGTGTGGTGTATGGGGAGATGCTAGGTCTGATCCATGTTTGCAGAATTGTGCCTGGCTATGAATGCACAAGTGGTGCTTGTTTGCTCCACTTGTCGCATATATACATGCATGTTTAGGAGAGCTGTTGACTCCTTTTAAACTTAACACTTAACAGTCCAAAATCAGTTCACTACTCCCCCCCCCCCCCCTCCCCCTTCTTTTTTCTCCCAAAGAAAAACCATATAAAGTTCACTTTAATGTTCATATGATATATTCAAATAGCATCTGTTTTAGGTAAAATAGAAAAAAGTGATGCAAACAATTACATGTATAAAATTATGGTTAGTTCATTAAACAATTTAAAATTTCAGTTCACTTCCATCACATTGTGACCAATTCATCAAGTAATCCAATGATTGTAGTTTAATTTATGCCCAATTGAGCCAAGTTGGTTAGATTATTTGGCAAAATTTCAAAATCTAATCTACCTGTTAGGAATGAAAAAAGAGTAAAATACGCATTTACCCAAGAGGAGGCACTACACATTACACCTTCCATCACCCTTGAAACTTGAACCACAATTACCCGACCTTATTGGGGCTTTAACCCATTACACTTTGCATCTAGATGATAATCCTTATGGTATTTTTGGGGACCAATAAATTACATATAGTTGACTTAATACCCTATATATTTATCAAGCTTTAGCAAACTTGACGGGGACTGCATCGGAACACTCAAAAATCTGACTGTCTTAGAATTCAATGAAAATTGACTAGATGACCTCATTTCATAAGACGAATCCTATGTTGAGGTCCATTCAGACTTCAAGAACATAGCAAGAGAAAAAATAAAGTTTAAATGCAAGGTGTGACTCAAGTGATAACAAACGTCCTGAGTTTGAATCTTGACAAATTCTTTGGGATTAGGTCATGAGAAATTTATCCCTCATGAGTATCATAGCCCCCATGCTGATGGTCTGCCTTTGATAGGACCGGCGAGGAAATTAGTTGAAGTGGGCGTAAACTAACTTGAACACCCTGACCGTTGAACCAAAAAAAAAAAAGGAAAAAAAAAAAGTTCCAGGTGTGCTACTGGGGAAGGAAATAGCCTGCAAGTTCCACCCATGCTTGGACATATGGGTTCTGATGATCAGAAATTATGCTGATTTGTGTTGTCATGGAATGTGATCAGCTGTACATTTGTTCTTAGTAATTGAAGGTGAATCCTTGGGGGAGGTTTGGTTGCATGTACTAATCATGCTGAACTGGAACAAGCCTGAGCAGAATGTGACTCTAGTGCAATGTTGATATAGCTGCATTTCCTTGGAATGTGTGGAACACTGTTGGAGGTTGTGGAAATTATTTAGGAAGTAAGCTGCTGCTAATGTGGAGGAGTAAGCCATAAATGATGAAGTTGGTGGCCGGTGGGGCATATGTCCAGAGTAACATGTTATGGAAGGGAAATTTCGTGAGAGTTTTGGAATTTTGTGCCAAATTTGTTGTGGGTTGGTGACCCTCACCATCATCTGTGGGTTGGTGAGGGTCAGGCATGTGTTCCTTGTTTAGTTTTGATGGGTGATGGGTATTGATTCATTTCTACAAGTTTCAGTTGTGTTCTACATGCAGTACATAACAAAGCTTACTAAAGTAATTGCAAATGAGTTTGATTACCTTCAATCATCATTGGTGAACAACAAATTTGTTGTGAAAGCTTGATTATTGAATATTATACTGATGATGCTGTGGAGATGGAAAAAATCATACTCTAATGATTCAGTAATTTGGTGTTTTCCTTCATCATATAATCTTAGGCATTGCAACTGGGCCAAGATCCAGTCTTTCCTTATGGGTTCAGCAGCCAAAGATGTCACATGTGTTTGCGCTCGGATCCTCTGCATAAAGTGATGGAGCGATTGGCTAAACCAGGTTAGTTTAATGTTTGGCTTTGGACTAGTGCCATTTTTCAATCTTGAGAAATGAGTCTACGAGTTGTTGGATAAGATGTGTTGCATTATGCTGACACTGACTAGTGTGAATACAAGTTTAAAGCTGTTTGGCACCCTCTCTTTCCTGGAGAGAGACTTCCCATTAATCCTTTCCCTTTTGGCACTTCATAAACTTAATTACATCTAATTTCCAACAAACTTTGTCCCATAAGGGAAAGCTCTATGTGATAATTGCTACATAGAACCGTGCATGTTGCAGAAATTTGCTGATAGCAATTATACACACTCAATCTAAACTGGTCCAAGGGTCTTCTCTTCTCTTTGGGTGCCTACTTTGGCAAGCAGGATGGAAACCATTAGCATGCTTCTCATTTTGTGGAAATCCTCTGGTGATATTGTTTACTGACATTGCCTAATAACATGTACACATTTTCTTTATGAATTAATTTTGGAGAGTTTCTGTTTGTATTCTTAATCAAGTGCCAGTCTTATTATGATAATGTGTCTTTGTTTTCCGTATTCTGCATAAGCATTCCCTGTATTCTGATGCTTCTGAAAACATTGCAATGGATTTTTGGACGGCCTACAATTGGCCACGCTAGTAGCTAATTTGAAATTTTAGTAGACCCAAGTGGGACTGACAACCTGATAGCATTATTAAGAAAGAAGTTTCATTCAGCTGGTAATTACAGGGTTGGGGATCTTCATGAGAACTGACGATAGATCGTTGTTCAAGAGAAACACATAACGTTATGAATAAACTGCTCTAGGGAATTTTGTATTTGTTTCTGTTATTTGAATCTGGAAAAGCTTTCTTGTTGGGCACTATTGAAGCACTTTGGATTGTGGCGCTAAATTGATCAATGCATTATGCCACTTAGTTTTCTTGTGTATATCCACCTAAGTAGTGTTATTTTTTTTGTGGTACATTGTTTCCTAATTAATACCTATTTGGTATATCATGTTTCTTTTCTCAGATCTTTGATTAAATATATCACATCTTATGGTTTGTTCTCAGGGGTTAGACGACTTGTCATTGTGGAGGCTGGAAGTAACCGTGTAGAAGGTATTATCTCACTGAGTGACGTTTTCAGGTTCCTTCTTGGTTAGTTTGAGCAACTGGTACTGGGGTACTTGTGATGGCATTTTGCGCCCCCCCCCACATACATCACCTGAAACACCATTGCAGTACCCTGCGTAGGAAGTGTCTTGTCCAAGGCGATTTGATCTCGATTCTTTCAGCAACTACACCATTGGTTGGCCTCACCATTTATGGCCTGGTTTTTACGATATTGAGGGCTCAAGTAAGAGGCATGTAAATTTAAGGATTGGGGTATGGCCTAATGTCTGTCGGTCTTCCCCCTACCATATTATTTTCAAGTACATTTTACGGTAGCCACCATTTTTATGAAAAAAGCATGAACAAGTTAACAATTCTATGCTGCTGCTGACAAAATTGGAATAAAAATTCGGAGGTTGTTCGGTGATTCAGAGATTTTATATGATTTGTAATTCATTCTCTTGCTTTTGGATTTGCATCCAGTTCTTGTGGCTGACTGTTTTTTTTTAGGTAAATGTAAGAAACTTTCATTACAGAGTTAACTTGCACAAAATGGTGGACAACGAAGCCACCCAAAAAGATTATGTGCACTACCTTAGGTAGATATATTTAATTACCGAAAAATAATTTTTGGGTACGTAATGTTCCCTATTTTCAACCAATTGAAACTTGGCGCATAACAAGTCATCTTATTGTATGATGACGTTTTATTATTTATAGGATCAATGGCAACAAATAATAAACCTAGTCTTGAAGATTATTATTATTTTTTATATGACACCGAAAATGTACTACTCAGTACAGTAGCCTTGTTCTATTTTGGCAAGCATTGTTGTAGGANTTTTTTTTTAGGTAAATGTAAGAAACTTTCATTAGAGTTAACTTGCACAAAATGGTGGACAACGAAGCCACCCAAAAAGATTATGTGCACTACCGTTCATTATTTTAGGTAGATATATTTAATTACCGAAAAATAATTTTTTGGTACAAAATGTACCCTATTTTCAACCAATTGAAACTTGCTGCATAACAAGTCATCTTATTGTATGATGACGTTTTATTATTTATAGGATCAATGGCAACAAATAATAAACCTAGTCTTGAAGATTATTATTATTTTTTATATGACACCGAAAATGTACTACTCAGTACAGTAGCCTTGTTCTATTTTGGCAAGCATTGTTGTAGGAACTTGTGAACCCTGTGCTTTCTTTCAGCAAAGGATATGATGTGCTACTCTCTCTCACTCACACACGCACACACCAAAAGTATTATCATCTCCCTAAATAATTTTTTTTGTCGTTTTATCTATTTAACAGTCTTTTCATAGTTTTTTTTCTCAATTCATAATTTTTGAATACGTGCTTGCAAAGTGATTTGGCATACTACTATTGGCGGCATCCGTCCTACTTGAGCAATTGGGGACTGGGTCTTTTTAAGTTACAATATAAAATTTTTCAAGGAATTTTTATATCATAATTATATAATCAGACGATCTTCCGATAAATAGTTAAGGGCTCTTTTTATAATAACACCGTATTTAAGGGGAGTACCTACCATTATTGAAATAATAGGGGGTCTACATGTAATTTGTTTACTAGCTAATTCTGAATCTGTGAAGCTTGCACATTCAGAAGCTACATGCTTATGCATGTAAAGTTAAATATTAGAAACACTCGCTTCATACACTGAAAAAGATTCCACATAAAAAGCAGTCAACAAACAAGGCATCTATTCATCCCCATTCAAACTCTACACTGCAGATTAGGGCTGTTTTGCAAGTCTATGTAGGTATCAGTGCCAATATTTGGTTCCTGATGATTCCCATGCACTTCTGTATTTCTGAATAAACTGGGAGNACCAGGGTCACTCTACACTGCAGATTAGGGCTGTTTTGCAAGTCTATGTAGGTATCAGTGCCAATATTTGGTTCCTGATGATTCCCATGCACTTCTGTATTTCTGAATAAACTGGGAGGTTCTCTGAGCAGCAAGGTTGCAAACTTGTAACAGCAGACTCCAGTATCTGGGCCACATCGGCTGGTGGGAACTGCCGTTCTGTACACTTCTGCAAATTTCAGTGAAAATGACACTAAACAATCAGCGTCGAGAAAAAACCAGAGGAGAAGAGGGTGCATTTCAATTGGTATGAGATCATATATCATTCCAACAAATCATTCCGGAAAAGAACCTAATATTTTAGCAGGAATTCCATAGAGATCAAGGGCATGCATGCTTCTAAACTTAGAAAATCCCTCTAACATCCTAATTTAATAACAGTAGCTCCTAATTTCACAATCCTTATCCCTTGTTTTTGAAGCCCTATTAGAGATTTACTTTTTTTCACATAGAAAAAAGGGCCACAACTTTTTTCCATTAACTATCCTGCCTCTTCTCTCAGTTTCTTATACTGATGTGGACAAGCTCTAACATGTTCATTTATTTTTTATCTCAAATCAGACAAATCAATTTACAGTTAATTGTAAGCGATCCAAACTGGTGCGGAGTGAAACCCCGTAGAGACAAGTTAAGTTGTTGAGTTGTATGATGGCCAACCCCTTGTTTACAGGGTGGACCCAATCTTTTTTGCAACAACCAAAACACAATTCTGAATTAACCAATGGATCGTCAAAAATCCTTACTACTATCAATGACTGCCCCCACCCCCGAAAAAAAACCGAAAACAAAAAAATGAAATGACAAAGAAAGAAAGAAGAATATATATATATATATATATAGAGAGAGAGAGAGAGGGGTGGGGGTAGAGAAACTTCCAAGAATTTACCTGAATCATGAACAAAGTAGCTACACAGTGAGTTATAAGTTCTGAAGGGATTTGTTCTTTTCTGTTAGTTGCATTCTTCAATTTAGGATCAGATGCCTGCAATGAATTCAATGGGCTGGAATTCAACTGATCCTGAGACGCCAAACTAACATGAACTGAATCTGGAGCTGGCATCAAAGAATCATCCAATGGAAGCCGATCATTTACGTAGTCTACAGCCTCCTCAACCTTCCCCCCAACCGTCAGTGATGACAATGCCTGAATTTCTCAACCATAGAGAAATTCTAATTACAATCATTGCACCATGTAGGAGCTAAAAGTTCAAGCAGTTAATATCACAAATTATTACGTCAACAGTTATCTATTTTGGAAGAACTCATTTACATTACCACTATCTTCTACCAACAACATAATTAAAGGCATTTNAATGCAGAAGAAACCTGTTGATGAAAACATCTCTCAACAATTGCAAGGTGGTTGGAGATACTATTGAATATTAGAAGGGGCAAAATTTAATGATAATTACTGCAAACCACATGCCTGCTCATTGGCTTCGTTTAACTGTATGAGTACAGCAGCATATTGCTTCTTAAAAGGCTCTGCATCCTTGAGAGAGCGATCACCATCCTTTTGGTTTTCCAACACATCGTCATTCATGCGCCTCAACTCAAAAAACACTGCTTCCTATATTACCAGCATTGGCCATCAGCTTACTTCTAAACTATCCAGCTAAGGAGACGTTAAGTATTTACATATGCAAGTTCTATTTGAAATATGTAACCTCAAGTATACTCTGAACAAAAAAATAAAGTCACATAACATACCATGTAAAGTGAAACCAAATAATACAACTCAACTCAACTCCACAAAGCCCTAATCCCAACTATTTGACGTGGGCTACATGAATCTCCCTTCTTCATATTGCTCTATCAAGGGTCATATCTTCCCTTACATTTACCTATCATATATTTTTTTACTACCTCGTGCAAAATTATTTTAAGTCTACCTCTACCTCTCGCATTACCATCGATATGTATCACTCTTCCTTACTTGTGCATTACTAGGTCTTCTATAAACATGTCCAAACCACCTAAGTCGATTATCTTAATTTATCTATTTTTGGTGCTACTTCTACAGTTTCACATTCCTAATTCTATCATTTCTTATTCTACCACATCCATTTAATCAAACTGAAAACCAAATGACAAAGAACAAAAATAGATCAAGAAACCTTAGCAAAACACTCCAATAGTACAATGCAGTTACCAGTGAACACCGATATAACATTTGCCTAGAAAAGAAAACTGAGATAATAAATTAGAAGTGATAGTGAATAGCAAAGTAACAATTACCAGAGACAACCAAAACAGAAGGATGGAAATCAAGAGACTAATAAATGAAAAGCAACATCAGATAAAACTAAGGAAGAATTCCATAGGCAGTAAAAGTGGGACAAGCATTGAAAACAGACAACTGAATTGCATTTAAGAAGTTTGATTCAATTATTTTTAAGGACAGTGTATGCCGGACCATTTTAATATATCCTTCCATTAGAAATGAATTTCTACGTCAACACAAAAGTAGAGGAGCAAGAAAATAGATTTGAGTCAGGCTTCATGCTTTCATCATTAGTCTGCTAGAAGTTGAAGGAGATGATCTTCAAAATAACTATAACATCAATATTACATTAAAAGAGATATCAAGGCAAAGTCACACATCATCAATATTTAACCTATAATTAGATTAAGTTAACTTCGGGTGATTTTGAGCATTTCCCTTACTACCTATATAACATAAACAGATCATTAGCTGAACAACCATTGTTGAACTAAGACAGAATCCTAACATATTTCTAGATCTTTGATACGATGAGTTCATGTCAGATTTCCTTCTACTTCGACATTATCAACTACTGCTGCTCATGAAATATGATACTTGTTATCACATAGTGCCTTTGGCTTTCCAAAAAGATGGGGAAAAATTAGTATTAGGACTGGATGCTATTTATGCTCTACATACTAACCTCTCAACAACAAAAAAGAACTACTTGCTCAAAAATGAAAATCAAGACCATCATTGAGGTCCTTGAAGCCTTTTCTCAAATCACCATTGCACTTTTACTTAATATGAAGAGTAGAGAATATGACGGTAAGATAATGCTTTTACAGTATTGCAGTATGATGTTTCCAGATACTGCTTAAGCTAATTTTGATAACTCACTGATGAACTAGTACGCTTGAAGTAGTTATAATTGAAGAATCAAAGTAATTCACGCACGCACACGACTTTAGCAAGCGGACGTGCTTGAGAAAGTTGCTGACACAAATCAACGTCAGTTGAACTCTGCATCATAGTAGGCTGCTTACTCTTATACATGGCATAACAGGATAGTGCCCATCAGAACATAATTCAAGGATTTAATAAGGCACCTGTCCTGACTTACCCAAAAAAAAAAAGGCACCTGTTCTGAGCTATACATATTTCCCATTTTAGGGGACTAGTGAAACATATCCAGCACATGGGCGTAGAGAAGCAAGTGTTTCCGATTTGCACCGAACTATTGTTGCCTTAGAAGAAACAATATTTGGGGGAAGAAGGAAAGAAGTTTTGGGATCAATGTAATAAGCTAAAATCTAAAACCAACAGTTTTACCAAGTACAGTACAAGTTATTAGTTTGGAAGACAATGGAAAATCAATATTTCATAAAGATCATCTAAACAATAGGGATGCGGCAGACCCCTTCTCAAAAAAAAAAAAAANATTTCATAAAGATCATCTAAACAATAGGGATGTGGCAGACCCCTTCTCCGTTTCCATTTAATGTAACGGAGAGCTGCAAAGTTAGCAGAAAGACAATATCAACATAACAACTAAGTAAGAAATTGATAGTGCCAGTTTAAAGAAAAATGGCAAGAAAGTTGTGACTTCATCATTCAGAGATACAATATCTGAAGGAAATTAAAATTGATATCAAGTACAATAGAACTAAAGTAAATGTGTATGTAGGTGCTACAACCTTTTTGTCAAGAGCACGAGTCAGCTCAGTGAGAGCTTGGACATCAGCTTCCTTCGCCTGGATCTGTGCCNAAGCAAGAAAATAGATTTGAGTCAGGCTTCATGCTTTCATCATTAGTCTGCTAGAAGTTGAAGGAGATGATCTTCAAATAACTATAACATCAATATTACATTACAAGAGATATCAAGGCAAAGTCACACATCATCAATATTTAACCTATAATTAGATTAAGNAAGCACCTCTTTTTTTTAGCATATTTCTAACTCAAATCACTAACTTACATTGTGCGTTACCCAATCAGCCACAGCACCCGTTTGCAAATAAAGTAGCAGCTTTACTTACCCCATAACAACAACATACTCTCTCTCTCTCTCTCTCTCTCTCTCACACACACACACACACATTCTTAATCCAAAACACTTGTCTACTACTAATTGCCAAACTGCNGAGCACCTCTTTTTTTTTAGCATATTTCTAACTCAAATCACTAACTTACATTGTGCGTTACCCGATCAGCCACAGCACTCCGTTTGCAAATAAAGTAGCAGCTTTACTTACCCCATAACAACAACATACTCTCTCTCTCTCTCTCTCTCACACACACACACATTCTTAATCCAAAACACTTGTCTACTACTAATTGCCAAACTGCTTTATGATAAGGTAGGAACCTGGAGGCGCAGTGCATGTGCCCTGATGCTAGCATATTAGATAAGATCAAGGCACCANGGCCTTTTCTCGAATCACCATTGCACTTTTACTTGATATGAAGAGTAGAGAATATGACGGTAAGATAATGCTTTTACAGTATTGCAGTATGATGTTTCCAGATACTGCTTAAGCTAATTTTGNCAAATTGTGAACGCAGGTTACATCAGTTGCCTAACCTTAGAATATGGAATTTAGGCTTTCTTGAGTCAAATCATAGTTCCGACTAGAACCAGCAACATGAATATTCTTCCTTTATCACCTCAACAAAAACATGAGTCGTAGTTTCAGAATTTCAACTTGGCAATTGGAGGAGCATTTAAACCAAGTGAATCCAAGAGCCGCAAAGCCCAGCATTCAATAGCTNGCTGATGAATTAGTACGCTTGAAGTAGTTATACTTGAAGAATCAAAGTAATTCACGCACGCACACGACTTTAGCAAGGGGACGTGCTTGAGAAAGTTGCTGACACAAATCAACGTCAGTTGAACTCTGCGTCATAGTAGGCTGCTTACTCTTATACATGGCATAACAGGATAGTGCCCATCAGAACANCTGCTCAAGCAATTTCTTGTATTCGGAATCAGAATCAAGATATGAACACCAAGTATAAACACAAATTTCCAATCTTACAGGTTCACTCCTAATTCTAAGCCAGGTGAGATTTAATGTTTAAAACTGGTTTTAGTCCACAACAAATTGTCAGGATGTATACAAACCTGATCTGCGACCTGTGCAGGTTATAGCAGCATAAAATTATAGACAGGAGACCATTAGGAATATAGAGCCAGTAATTTTGTGTACCTGCATAGCTGCCTCAACCATTGTTCGGGCCTTTGTTCTTGAGCTTTCAACAATTTCATTGATGAGAGATCCCGATTCCTGAGTGTGACTTGCAGAATGATCAAAGGAGCCTAAAAGGCCAGTTTGATCACTCACATGGGCCATGGGCCTTGGCCATGCTAGTGGAAAATTTCCTTGATACGTGTTTCGCTGTCTCAAGCAATACAATGCAGAAGAAACCTGTTGATGAAAACATCTCTCAACAATTGCAAGGTGGTTGGAGATACTATTGAATATTAGAAGGGGCAAAATTTAATGATAATTACTGCAAACCACATGCCTGCTCATTGGCTTCGTTTAACTGTATGAGTACAGCAGCATATTGCTTCTTAAAAGGCTCTGCATCCTTGAGAGAGCGATCACCATCCTTTTGGTTTTCCAACACATCGTCATTCATGCGCCTCAACTCAAAAAACACTGCTTCCTATATTACCAGCATTGGCCATCAGCTTACTTCTAAACTATCCAGCTAAGGAGACGTTAAGTATTTACATATGCAAGTTCTATTTGAAATATGTAACCTCAAGTATACTCTGAACAAAAAAATAAAGTCACATAACATACCATGTAAAGTGAAACCAAATAATACAACTCAACTCAACTCCACAAAGCCCTAATCCCAACTATTTGACGTGGGCTACATGAATCTCCCTTCTTCATATTGCTCTATCAAGGGTCATATCTTCCCTTACATTTACCTATCATATATTTTTTTACTACCTCGTGCAAAATTATTTTAAGTCTACCTCTACCTCTCGCATTACCATCGATATGTATCACTCTTCCTTACTTGTGCATTACTAGGTCTTCTATAAACATGTCCAAACCACCTAAGTCGATTATCTTAATTTATCTATTTTTGGTGCTACTTCTACAGTTTCACATTCCTAATTCTATCATTTCTTATTCTACCACATCCATTTAATCAAACTGAAAACCAAATGACAAAGAACAAAAATAGATCAAGAAACCTTAGCAAAACACTCCAATAGTACAATGCAGTTACCAGTGAACACCGATATAACATTTGCCTAGNCGGCAGACCCCTTCTCAAAAAAAAAAAAAACCTTGAAAAAGATTTGTTATTTCCATTTAATGTAACGGAGAGCTGCAAAGTTAACAGAAAGACAATATCAACATAACAACTAAGTAAGAAATTGATAGTGCCAGTTTAAAGAAAAATGGCAAGAAAGTTGTGACTTCATCATTCAGAGATACAATATCTGAAGGAAATTAAAATTGATATCAAGTACAATAGAACTAAAGTAAATGTGTATGTAGGTGCTACAACCTTTTTGTCAAGAGCACGAGTCAGCTCAGTGAGAGCTTGGACATCAGCTTCCTTCGCCTGGATCTGTGCCAGTGTACAGGGCTGAGAATATGCTGTCTGCTGATTGGGGGCACTGTCTCTTAGTCCAATATTAGCTTGTGAATTAGCATCTACTGAAGCCGTCTGGATAAAAAAAAGTTAACTCTAAGATAATCTAACAAGTCAACGTGAGATGACGCTTTAACTAATCTTCCATAGCAAAAGAAAAAAAAAACGTGGGTGGAGATAAATAAGATGACCAATGTATAATAGCAAAAATTTCCTCAAATTATTTGGATTTTCTTTGCAACTTCCAGATAATGCTTTCTTTGAAAGAATTTGTGTGTTCTCACAGTTAAAAATGTAAGAAATTGACTTGCCAGATATAATAGTTACTTTTGCTCCATTTTCTAAAAATAAACATGTTGGAAGAAGTGATTTGCATCTGAGAAATTTGTTATGAATTTTGCATTCAGTACAAGAAGTCTCACATGACAACCTCCAACAGGCGGAAGTGGAAATATCTTATAACGATTGACACATTAATAAGACACAAGTTTGAAGTCCGAAGAGGCAAAGAAGGACAAAGAAAATCTAATGATCATGATAGGAAAGATGAACAAATGCCCCCATGGCCCCATCAATCGCTATATAACAATTTTCTCCACAGAAGTCAGCCTTGTAAAGTGTAAGGCCTGCTTAAGTTGAACAACCTAGGCTCTGAACTATGGATCTGTATAATCACACCGACGAGGATTCTACAATCTTTCAGGTGTTATACAAGTAGTTAGTAGAAGTCAGTGATCAATTATTACCTCTCTCTTCCCCCCCAAAAAAAAAAAAAACAAAACAAAAAAACACACACAAAAACCAAATAAAAAAGAAAGATTTGCTCACCTTTGCCAGCTTCATTAAAGAATTGGTGGGATGACTTGACGGAGACAAATGAGAAGGACCATTAACATTTTCGAGGTTGTCACCAGGAGAAAAATTCATGCACCCTTCCGCTCTCTGATCCTTTGCCCACCCATTCACTTTGAGCTCATTGAAGTTCTCAAATAACTTCTCAACCGCAACTGCATGTCTTCCTAGTGATGTGGGCATATTCTCTAAAGGACTTGTGGGCATGCAATCAATATCCTGCAAAGAGTAAAAATTACAACATGCCAATGGACAGGAACAAACGAACAAAAAAAACAAAAAAATTGGGGAGAGGGAAATAGAATGTCCACAAACCATCTCGATTATAAGCAAAGCTTACTCGCACATACAACGGGAAGTTGTAAGGTAGATACTTTGGATGTATTTTCCCGACTAAGTTAAAAAAAAAAAAAAGAAGAAGAAAAGATGACAGTCCCATAAAGATTGGAGTGATGTANACGGGAAGTTGTAAGGTAGATACTTTGGATGTATTTTTCCGACTAAGTTAAAAAAAAAAAAAAAAGAAGAAGAAAAGATGACAGTCCCATAAAGATTGGAGTGATGTAGTAGCAAAGCAGTAGAATCAACAGGCTACTAGGACAATTACCTAACCTTTTTAACCACACAAGAAATAAAAACAATATAAAGAAATGAATGCACATACAATATTGTATTCCCAGATAACAACTTACCCAACTGTACGTCTAACAAAATATTAATCAACAATAGCTATTTACTTGGGAATGTTGGGGAATTTTTAAATCCTAGTAAATTTCCCAGACTGAATACATCTTCGTGAGAATTCATCAGTGTTTTATTTTGCTTAAACACTATTCCACATTACATGTTAGAGTTCTACTGAGTATGTCAATTAAGGCCACATGTACTTCATTATTCAAGTTGGCTGCCGCTGTCTACTTTCATCAAGTAGAAGATTATGCGAGAAATGGAAGTCTACCTAGTATGCATGCACAAGCAAAAGGCAAAATCAACAAGATTTAGATGTTTTGGCAACAGTTTCATTGCTGGGCATGTTATGTCCAACTTTCTCATAACAATATAGACAATTTAATCAACAAATTACAACTATACTGGATGGGACACATAGCAAAACCTCTTTGGAGCATAACAAATCAAAATCAGATTCATAAACAATAACATTACATTACCATGACAAATTCGACACCTAGCTCTGGTCGGTCGAACTGGACCCGGCACCTGGTATGATCAACAGTAAGTACACTTCCATCATGAATCTCCCTCGTTCTGGGATGAATAGCTACAACACGTTGTCCAACTGACAAAGGTCTTGCCAGATCTGTTGGAAGTCCTTCCCTGATACCTGCACGAAGTTCAGTATAATGCGTTCTAACAGAATTTCGGTACTGATTAAGCTTCTCTTTTTCTTCCTTCAAAAATTGCTCAGAAAACCTCCGTGGTTTACCAAGAGAACTGCATTAAGAAGGAAGTGCAAGGTGAAGAGTTATGCAACCTAAATTTTGTCAACCTTCAGGCTTATTGTTAGCCTAGCAAAAGTATAAACTTCATATAACATAAGCAATTGAAGGAAAATACCTTCTTATGACACCCCATTCCACACGAGTTAACCTTGGAACATGGCCCAATCCAACATGATACAAATACTCCACAAACTCCCTTTTAGCAAACCAAGGGTAATCAATTGCACTGTAGAACCACTCAAATGCACACCATCTCCGTACTCGATCATTCGATAGGCAGTTAGAAAGATTTGCCTGCCATTGAAAATACAATATAAAATATACAGAGCTACAGAAGACCATAATACATCAAAATGTATAAACTGGCAAAAACTAAACCTTGAGATTAAGTGTTTTGTCATGGAGCAAAGGAAAGGGCACACTAGGTTGGTCCTTCATAATTTTATCGGAAAACTTCAAATCTTTCAGCATCTTGGGTTTTTGTAGGTCTATTTTACGCCTGCTCCTAACTTTGGTGGGTAAGTTAACCTGATTTGCCACAGAAACCTGTACAGATGATAGAGCTGAATCACTTCCCTCCCTTCTGCGATCAGTACTTGAAGAATTTTCCGGATGTTTGATCAATTTCGGTGAAGCACTTTGCGAAGATCGTTTACCCTTACTCACTGATTTCTTCCCAGCATCTCTAGTCTACAGCATAAAGCCACATAATATTAACTTCATCAATCCCTGAACTAAAGACAGAAGTCATTCCCCGAAAAAGTAGCAACACATCCACTCATAAGGAACAAAAAACTGGAAAATAACAATACGAGTATTTAGAGCAAAACTTGGGATGGATTTCACAAAAAATAACAAGCATATACCTGATTATTTGATGATAAGCAACAAAGGGGAACTACTTGAATCCAGTGACTGCTTATAATTTAACAAGAACTACCACTTAATGAAACTTGAAATATCAAGAAAGCAAAACACCCACACACACCCAGACACACACATACAAAAACAAAAAGGGACAGGTACTTCTATCTACATGATGTGGATCCTACTTGGATCCATGGCTGACACATTTATTTATTTTTATTTTTTTTTCATGGTTGACACATTTATAAATAACTAAATAATTTGATTAAATCATGTTCAAAGAATGTGCCAAATGGAAACCAGATGAAGCAGGCCACAATAAATTGAAAAAAACTCAGAAGGCTACAGACTACTTCAATATGATGTAACATGGTTCAAGTGAAAACGCTAAAGCTGAAATGTTGGCAGATTGAGTTGCAGCAGCTGCCAACCACCCAACAAAAGCCTCGTTCAGGTTTTACTGCCCAACTAGAGCTGGAGTTGGTGAAACAAAGTTAGTTAGTTTCTCAGCTAACATTGGAAGAACTTCCATTGTGTATACATCATAAAGTCGATAAACCAAACAAAACGGAAACAGTTGACCTTAAACATGAGATCAACAGAAGGCAACTCACAGCTCATTCAAAAAAAAAATCAACAGAAAATAGAAGATCATACATACATAGACCCAATAGTTATAACAGAAACAAAAAAACTGCAAACCACCCAAAATCATCAGTGTCAAGGCCTTCACCTGTATGTTATTAGTAATCATCAAACAAATGTAAACTGACCTGCCAATCCTCTCAAATCTATATGTGTATGCATTGCAGATGTTATGTGTAAAGGTTCATATTAGCTCAAAGCTTCGCAAAGTATGGGTGCTCCCAACCAAATGTCATACTGTGATAAAAGGTGTAGAGCCAATCAAAGACTAGTTCAAAAAGATTCAACCCAACCTTGCATATTCTCATGTTATGAACAGGTCCAAAATGAGGCAACCACCCAAGAGGACAATATGCTATAAGGGGCCACAAGCACCTAGGTTGATATGGCGAGAAAATAGGTCCAAACCTACATACTTGCGGAGTCACTAACACCTTTTCAGATTCACAGATATTACAAGCATTGAAAAGAAGGAGAAAAAGAAAAAGGAGAAAAATAGCATCNAAGTATTTAGAGCAAAACTTGGGATGGATTTCACAAAAAATAACAAGCATATACCTGATTATTTGATGATAAGCAACAAAAGGGAACTACTTGAATCCAGTGACTGCTTATAATTTAACAAGAACTACCACTTAATGANGAGTATTTAGAGCAAAACTTGGGATGGATTTCACAAAAAATAACAAGCATATACCTGATTATTTGATGATAAGCAACAAAGGGGAACTACTTGAATCCAGTGACTGCTTATAATTTAACAAGAACTACCACTTAATGAAACTTGAAATATCAAGAAAGCAAAACACCCACACACACTCAGACACACAAATACAAAAACAAAAAGGGACAGGTACTTCTATCTACATGATGTGGATCCTACTTGGATCCATGGCTGACACATTTATTTATTTTTATTTTTTTTTCATGGTTGACACATTTATAAATAACTAAATAATTTGATTAAATCATGTTCAAAGAATGTGCCAAATGGAAACCAGATGAAGCAGGCCAAAATAAATTGAAAAAAACTCAGAAGGCTACAGACTACTTCAATATGATGTAACATGGTTCAAGTGAAAACGCTAAAGCTGAAATGTTGGCAGATTGAGTTGCAGCAGCTGCCAACCACCCAACAAAAGCCTCGTTCAGGTTTTACTGCCCAACTAGAGCTGGAGTTGGTGAAACAAAGTTAGTTAGTTTCTCAGCTAACATTGGAAGAACTTCCATTGTGTATACATCATAAAGTCGATAAACCAAACAAAACGGAAACAGTTGACCTTAAACATGAGATCAACAGAAGGCAACTCACAGCTCATTCAAAAAAAAAATCAACAGAAAATAGAAGATCATACATACATAGACCCAATAGTTATAACAGAAACAAAAAAACTGCAAACCACCCAAAATCATCAGTGTCAAGGCCTTCACCTGTATGTTATTAGTAATCATCAAACAAATGTAAACTGACCTGCCAATCCTCTCAAATCTATATGTGTATGCATTGCAGATGTTATGTGTAAAGGTTCATATTAGCTCAAAGCTTCGCAAAGTATGGGTGCTCCCAACCAAATGTCATACTGTGATAAAAGGTGTAGAGCCAATCAAAGACTAGTTCAAAAAGATTCAACCCAACCTTGCCTATTCTCATGTTATGAACAGGTCCAAAATGAGGCAACCACCCAAGAGGACAATATGCTATAAGGGGACACAAGCACCTAGGTTGATATGGCGAGAAAATAGGTCCAAACCTACATACTTGCGGANCTCTGTGCCAACTCCCGACATAATATGATCACTCAAATAAACCAGCACAATTAAATTATGGTAATTTCTGCTAAGCAGAGGGAAAATGGCTGAAGAGCAAAAAACATAGCCAAAAATGAAACGAGCAAAAAGGGGGTGATTAGAGAAAGAGAATGAAAGCCATTTAATTAGGTTCAGAATAGCATACTGGTTGTCCTGAATATGTAGATTTTTGTATTCTGTGGATGAAAAANTTCTGCGCCAACTCCCAACATAATATGATCACTCAAATAAACCAGCACAATTAAATTATGGTAATTTCTGCTAAGCAGAGGGAAAATGGCTGAGGAGCCAAAAACATAGCCAAAAATGAAACGAGCAAAAAGGGGGTGATTAGAGAAAGAGAATGAAAGCCATTTAATTAGGTTCCGAGAAAAAGAATAGCATACTGGTTGTCCTGAATATGTAGATTTTTGTATTCTGTGGATGAAAAAGGAAGAATTTGTGTTAATGTGTTATACGGAAGAAGTTACGAACAAAGGAAAAAGATTAATAATTATCACATGGTCTTTAAAGTACATAGATATTGGTCCTTCATGTAAAGTGACCAATTTATTATGTGGCTATTTCCTTCAATTAATGTAGCTGTTTTTTTTTTTAATAGCTCTGACCAAACCAAAACTACCAAAAAATTATAGCAAAGGCATTTTGGTATCATGAAAATTATTCCTGTTTTTACTGCAAAACCTTCTGGGGGTAAATCATATAGTTGGAATATCCCAATTCCATTTCAAAATGAAATTGACAATGCCATTGAACCCTACTGAAGCAATCAATTATTTTCCAAATACAATAACATGACATATTCTCATGAGGGCCCTAACAACTAGTCAGTTTATTATACCAAAATGATCATCACCTACTTCAATCCTAAAGTCCTAGGTTTGATCACCTACTTCAATCCTAAAGTCCTAGGTTTGCATAACTTACATCACCACAATATTTCCATCTGAATTCGGCTTTCTAAATATTTAGATGTACATCAGATTATTTAGGTTAACTGTTTTTTTTCCTATGCAGGCTGCTGCACATAGAAAAACACTTGCAAATAGAACAAAAGATATAGACAAAAAGTGACATACAGACAAAGATGGATTTTGGAAATTTCACGAAGGAAATATTCCCTCAGTAAGGGCTGCCAGAAAATTTCCCGAAATAAATAAAGAAAAATCACTAGAAGTTAACAACCATTAAAAGGAAAAGGGCTACTCGGCCAACTTATTNTTTTTTCCTATGCAGGCTGCTGCACATAGAAAAACACTTGCAAATAGAACAAAAGATATAGACAAAAAGTGACATACAAACAAAGATGGATTTTGGAAATTTCACGAAGGAAATATTCCCTCAGTAAGGGCTGCCAGAAAATTTCCCGAAATAAATAAAGAAAAATCACTAGAAGTTAACAACCATTAAAAGGAAAAGGGCTACTCGGCCAACTTATTAGCAGTCTCTATATTCAAGATCAAGAGATACTAATCCAATATCCTTAAGAGCTACAACTGATTTATTAAAGGAAAAAAAAAAAAGTGACTCAGTGTATGAGGCTCCTGCCATTGTGAGATCAAGGGAGGGTCCAATGTACTCAGCCTTACCCCCTGCATGCAGGATGGCTGTTTTAGTGACTTGAACCCTTGACCTCCAGGTCACAATGGAACAACCTTATCCCTGTGCTAAGACTCACCCTCATTGCGGAAAAACCAAAATAAATTCATATATAAGGAGGGTTATTTCCTCAATGTTGGCAGAAAAATTAAAACGGAGGCACTTAAGACCTCATAAGACGCATAAAGAATCCAATAAAACACCAGGGGCAGTGGATAGAAAACAGCCTGGTGTGGTGTGAGAAAGTAAATCCACTTGTCAGACAGCCAAAAATGAATTGCAAATAACTGCACTAGATTTCAGTAGTAGNAGTGACTCGGTGTATGAGGCTCCTGCCATTGTGAGATCAAGGGAGGGTCCAATGTACTCAGCCTTAACCCCTGCATGCAGGATGGCTGTTTTAGTGACTTGAACCCTTGACCTCCAGGTCACAATGGAACAACCTTATCCCTGTGCTAAGACTCACCCTCATTGCGGAAAAACCAAAATAAATTCATATATAAGGAGGGTTATTTCCTCAATGTTGGCAGAAAAATTAAAACGGAGGCACTTAAGACCTCATAAGACGCATAAAGAATCCAATAAAACACCAGGGGCAGTGGATAGAAAACAGCCTGGTGTGGTGTGAGAAAGTAAATCCACTTGTCAGACAGCCAAAAATGAATTGCAAATAACTGCACTAGATTTCAGTAGTAGCATGATGGCAGGGGGAAAAGTTACACGACAGCCATCAACAGAGAATGAGTGACCTCATCTCTCCGATTTTCCAACCCATTAATTTTTAAAGCAATAAAGTAAACGCATATCTTTTACCATTTTCATCTGCTGTTGCTGGCATCATCAAAGACAAATCAGCCAATGTTTGCAGGGCATCAAAGTCAGACCCTTCATCTACACAAAGGAGAATCAAAGTCAACCAAATGAATATGCAGTCAATGTCAACTCAATCTCAAAGAAAATGACAATTGTAAGGTGTGTTCATTTATCAGATTAGGCCATGAAGCCCGGCCATATAAATATTTGAATAGAGAACATTTCCTCTGGCATCTCGATTGCCAGTTTTAATTAGTCCTCCATCAAACAATTATCTCCGGGTTANGGTGTGTTCATTTATCAGATTAGGCCATGAAGCCCGGCCACATAAATATTTGAATAGAGAACATTTCCTGTGGCATCTCGATTGCCAGTTTTAATTAGTCCTCCATCAAACAATTATCTCCGGGTTANCAAGACTCACCCTCATTGCGGAAAAACCAAAATAAATTCATATATAAGGAGGGTTATTTCCTCAATGTTGGCAGAAAAATAAAAACGGAGGCACTTAAGACCTCATAAGACGCATAAAGAATCCAATAAAACACCAGGGGCAGTGGATAGAAAACAGCCTGGTGTGGTGTGAGAAAGTAAATCCACTTGTCAGACAGCCAAAAATGAATTGCAAATAACTGCACTAGATTTCAGTAGTAGCATGATGGCAGGGGGAAAAGTTACACGACAGCCATCAACAGAGAATGAGTGACCTCATCTCTCCGATTTTCCAACCCATTAATTTTTAAAGCAATAAAGTAAACGCATATCTTTTACCATTTTCATCTGCTGTTGCTGGCATCATCAAAGACAAATCAGCCAATGTTTGCAGGGCATCAAAGTCAGACCCTTCATCTACACAAAGGAGAATCAAAGTCAACCAAATGAATATGCAGTCAATGTCAACTCAATCTCAAAGAAAATGACAATTGTAAGGTGTGTTCATTTATCAGATTAGGCCATGAAGCCCGGCCATATAAATATTTGAATAGAGAACATTTCCTGTGGCATCTCGATTGCCAGTTTTAATTAGTCCTCCATCAAACAATTATCTCCGGGTTACATAACGATAGAAATTATTCAATCAGTGGAAGATAAACAAGGACTAAATACCCTGGGATATCATAAACTATGTCTTATGGTTCAAGTTTCAGTTAAACGAAGATTCCAATGTTAAACATCATGTTTTCGTTGTCCATTCTCTCTTCCTCTCCTTGCACACTTGACACACTCAATCTCACGTTCCTTTTGACACAAAAGACTAGGTAATAAAAATAAGTGGTAGAAGCACAATGCTTTCAAGCAAAATGGAAAGAAGAGGAGGAAGCCAGCATGATCCTGAGTGAAGACATATTCCTGAAGAACCAACTAACTAACATCTATTTGTACAACATAAGCAAATCAGTTTTCTGTCTCCATGGTATAACTCATAAATACCTGAGGTGAACGATTGTCTGACAAAAGGTAACAGAGCTCTCATAGAGTCTCAGAGAAAGGAACACAAATAAAAACCAGGAAAAGGAAAATAATGAACAAAATAAAGTATATACAAAGTCTCAGTACTTAAGCATAAACATTTAACCTACCTCTTCTGAAAAGAACCTTTTTGCTCCTCTTTCTTGAGCCCTGAACAGATGACCTCGGTATTTTTGCATCTGTAACTTCCATATCAAATTTTCCAGTAACTGCACCCAATTTTTGTCCTTCTTCTGTCCCACTACATGCTTCCTTAATGTCATCCAAATGATTGATGCAACTGTCATCAACTTCTAGCTTCTTTTCATGATGTCTTCTTCCCTTCTGAACCACAGTGCTAACACTTTCTGTTTCCCTTATATAACTCTTCTCCCTAGAAAATTCTCCATTATCAGCTTCCATGCTTCCTTCCAATTCATCTTCATCTATGTCACTTCNTACATAACGATAGAAATTATTCAATCAGTGGAAGATAAACAAGGACTAAATACCCTGGGATATCATAAACTATGTCTTATGGTTCAAGTTTCAGTTAAACGAAGATTCCAATGTTAAACATCATGTTTTCGTTGTCCATTCTCTCTTCCTCTCCTTGCACACTTGACACACTCAATCTCACGTTCCTTTTGACACAAAAGACTAGGTAATAAAAATAAGTGGTAGAAGCACAATGCTTTCAAGCAAAATGGAAAGAAGAGGAGGAAGCCAGCATGATCCTGAGTGAAGACATATTCCTGAAGAACCAACTAACTAACATCTATTTGTACAACATAAGCAAATCAGTTTTCTGTCTCCATGGTATAACTCATAAATACCTGAGGTGAACGATTGTCTGACAAAAGGTAACAGAGCTCTCATAGAGTCTCAGAGAAAGGAACACAAATAAAAACCAGGAAAAGGAAAATAATGAACAAAATAAAGTATATACAAAGTCTCAGTACTTAAGCATAAACATTTAACCTACCTCTTCTGAAAAGAACCTTTTTGCTCCTCTTTCTTGAGCCCTGAACAGATGACCTCGGTATTTTTGCATCTGTAACTTCCATATCAAATTTTCCAGTAACTGCACCCAATTTTTGTCCTTCTTCTGTCCCACTACATGCTTCCTTAATGTCATCCAAATGATTGATGCAACTGTCATCAACTTCTAGCTTCTTTTCATGATGTCTTCTTCCCTTCTGAACCACAGTGCTAACACTTTCTGTTTCCCTTATATAACTCTTCTCCCTAGAAAATTCTCCATTATCAGCTTCCATGCTTCCTTCCAATTCATCTTCATCTATGTCACTTCCGACAAGCTTGGCACTGGTCATTTCTGTTTCGGCACACTTTGACCAAAAAGTCCACAAATCAATTGCATCTTTTCAAAGTATACTGGAGAAAGAAATGCAAGCCATCACATAAAACTTAAATGATTACCATTCTTTCAGCATTGCGCACATGTGATGACATGAAAAATTCAGTTCTCCTATTCGGTGTTTGAGAAACCTGAGGAGAACCACCTCTCTGGGAAGCCTCTGCCAATGCAATTGCTATCTCATGAGCAACTTCATCGTCATTGGCATCCTCCTTTAGCTTCAGGCCCTGCCTTGTCGGGGAAAATAACTTTTCCCCGCCAACTTTCTCACAAGAATATGAAACAGGGAAGCGTGGAGTCCTTTTTCCAACAGCACGAGGTCGGCTTCCTAAAGCAACATCCAGAGAACATTTTCACAGTTGAGTCTCGGTATCATTTTATTTATGATGGGCGAAAAAGAAAAAAATGGGTTTTCTCTTCTATGGTCAAATCAGAAAGGAAGCAAACAAAATAAGGATCACAAGAGCATATTGACTATAAGTCTACACCCAATCTGTTTCACATTTGTCCAAGTGGTGGTTAGCCTGAATGAATTTCTTAAATCCTAGTATAGCAAATCGACAGCTGAATAGGGCCCACAAAAGAAGCATAGTTGCAGGCACCTTGTTACCCAGAAACAGCAGTAAACGCAATCCACTAACCACACTCATAATGCACCCCAAACCAACAGGTGTGTGTTTATTCGTGTGCGAATGTGCACATCTTTGTGTGTGTATGTCAGGGTGGTGTGTTCATGTTGGGTGTGGGTGTATGTTGTTTTTTTTTTGGTGTGTTGTTGTGTGTGGGTGTTAGAGAGAAGAGAACGAGGAAGGCACTGGAGGGTTCTGTTCCTGCATCTCTCAAAACTTTGTTCTTGGCATAACAACTTACCACCAGACCGCTTCTTCTTTAACAATGGCAAGCAACCATAACTGGATGTGACTGTCTGCGAATGCGAAAGAACACGCCCATCCGATCCTTTAGAGATATTAGGCTGAACTTTACCTCGAGCACGCTTCTGAGGTTTTCGAGATGTTCCTGCACCATCATTGCTTTCCTGTTCACTATCACTTCCTGCCTGCCAGGCCACAATTCAATTACTTCAGTTGCACACAAAGTCATCCAGCAAGCCAGTTACACCGTCTGGCCCATTGACTCAGAGGATATAAGACTCAGCAATAAATCAACTAGTAGTTCTGTGGATACAAAGAGCTTGCAGTTGCACACTTAAATGGAGCTACACCAAAACAGCAACATTTGTGAAACTATATGAACACGACAGACAGTGGGTAAGCAGTCTTTTTTCCGATAAAAGTGAGTAAGCAGCCTTTGAATTATGCACACTCACATAATTGGGGTAGAGTTTTCCGGTAAATGAGTTATTCAGCAAGTAACTTGCAATGAATGTGTTCATAATGAGCCATGTCTTCGATTAAATGATGTTGTATTACAGTCCTTAGCAACATCGATCAAAGAATTCCTGTCAACGTGGGTGCCCAACGCGAATATAAACACTCCAATCAAATACACCATACATGATAACACAACATGGCATTTCATTGCAGATTTAGAAGGGTAATAGAGATATAATGTAGGATTTTGATTCTAAAATCATCATATATATTGGACGAGTATGAGGAAGGTAGTCCACTCCCCCTGTCCCTTAATTATGGACCCTTTCAGGAATCCAACTTTAAAAGGAATGTCTAAATTGTCATGGGAAACCTTTAATTTCCAATATTATCCTTCAAATTTGAAATTTCACTTTCTCGCCAGAAGTTTTAAGTGGGGGGGTATAGTGGAAATGTTATATAAGGGAAGAACATTGACCCTTCAAACTGCAATCTAATCGTGCAATGTACCAAAGAGGAAAGGTGGACTCTAATCAGGGACAAATGGAATACAAATTTAAATGCAAGTTGCAACTGACAGCATAAAAAGAATGCTAATCACTACAATAGCATAAAAATTAAATCAAATTTAGACGGTTTATTTAAAAATCTACATTCAAGTATNTGTGCAATGTACCAAAGAGGAAAGGTGGACTCTAATCAGGGACAAATGGAATACAAAGTTAAATGCAAGTTGCAACTGACAGCATAAAAAGAATGCTAATCACTACAGTAGCATAAAAATTAAATCAAATTTAGACGGTTTATTTAAAAATCTACATTCAAGTATTCAACTAAGTTCTAAATAAAAGCACTCGGCAAAAACAAAAATCCAAATACGAACACAAATCAACAACTAAAACAGCAATGCAACCATAATAAAATCATGGAGTTCCTATAAAAGTTTAGGTCCTGTTAGCAAGTTGCTAATATCCAATCCATGTCATGTGAGGAGATAAACATTGGCTCTTGTAAATGGTTAATATGTACCCTTCCAGCTCTTGGGGTTCAAAGGTCAATACAGAAATATTGGGCGTTTCTTGTGATATTTGTCTCAAGTTTGATATTTTGCTATGTTTGTGCCATAAATCCCATTTTCCATCACTGTATCAAGTTTGATATTTTGCTATGTTTGTGCCATAAATCCCATTTTCCATCACTGAAATAGGATGATCCATTCAAAACTCACAAGAAATAGTTGTATGCTCTGCATTTATTGATATATTGTGACCTTTAATGTAATGGAAATCTCCTTTTGCATCCCGTGCTGCAAAAGATCAACCAGAATGCTACAGTAAACTGTGGTACATCATTTCATGGTTTCGATAGGACACAAGGAGTCAAGCATGGGAACTTCGATTGCCAAGTAGAACAATATCAATTGCCTAGAAGAAGTGTTCTACATATAATAGGAGAGAAAACACTGTCCTATTCACAATACCATTAGAAAACTAGAACACCATTAAAGTTGATTACAAATTTTCTAAGTCTGTTGGTTCTCCACATTCACCAGAAAATAGTATGATATCCCTTCCATAACGTCCAATATCTGCATGCAAAAATTAAAGGGAAAGCAACCTTTCCAGTACTACCCAAAAAGAATCCAGCAATCAACCAATTCTATTGTAATGGTCACCCGTAAATTAAAATTGAATTTCAATCTAACCAGATTGCTGTAGTGATCAGTCATCATTGCTATTAGCCCAACCACAGAAGCAGTCCCCTCAGGAAGAGACAAGTAAGCCTGAAAATACAGCAATAAACTAAGTTGCCAACTTAAAGCATGAGTAACATATCTACTTACATTCATAATTCTTTGTTCTGCCACAAACTTAACCATTTGAAGTATCAACGTTTGTCATGCAATGATATAGAGATAAATTTCAAGTATCAACCTCATGATGAATTCTTTCCCAAGCAGGCAGTGACGAGGTAGACTCTACTAGGCAAGGGTTCCGAATTTGAAAAATGCAATAACTTACTTTGGGAGAACACCCCATGAGTTCCCAGAAAATAAAATTTTGCTATTATGCAGGGAAAGAGACAATGATATGTAATATAAGCATGGCAAAACTACTAAAAATATTAGACATGAATTTCCACATGCTTAAGATCACATACAAATTAAAACAGTCATAGTGCAAATTAAAATGGCTCATTGTGTGGATTAGGTTATAAATAAAGTGAGATATCAGAAACACACTAACCCTATTCATTGAGTAAAGGGCCTCCACCATCTCCACAGATCGGTTTCGCACGACAGCAGCCACCTAGTAATCCACATGAAACAGAAATCACAAGTTCATAGTGTTTAAGAGATTAATCAATGACAAAAGCAGGTCAATCCCAACTTTACATACAATATACGACAATCAGCATGCCACAAGTAGCAGAGCCAGTAAGAACATTTGAACAAACTTCAAAATTGAACCAACCTTTTTCCAATCTTTTCCATACTTACGATACGCTTCATAAAAACGCTCCAGCTCTATCTTGCTCCATTGAGGCCCTAGCATGTCAGACAACTTCCTTTTCTGCAAAGATAAGGACAATGGATCATTTTAAGTATGATTGAAAGCAAAATTTCCAAGCATTAGCTTGTTCACCGTTGTCCAGTGCAATATAAGAAATGAATGAACCCAAAAGCACAATTCTTATATTTTTCAAATTGCATAAATGTTGCAGAATATCAGAGAAAAAATTGCAATTTCACAGGAATTGGCATATGGACTATAAAAATAAACTCAGCTTTCTACAACCAACTTCAGGAGAAAGTCTTGCGCCCATTGACAGGGAACTAGTCAGAAAAATTTTCGCATAAATCTGGAAATCTTAGAGAGTATTATGAAATTTTAGAGGATGTGGATTGTCCTTTGAAACAAGCAATCTCTTATTTTGGTGTTGCCCATGTACCCTGAAGAGTGATGCCTATGGCATTATCACATGCAATGATAAAGCAAAAAATAGCTAAACACTCTTTCCAGTATTATATATAAAAATGTGAATTTAAAAATTCAATTGATTCCACTTATGTCAGAATTCAAGTTGGATCCTACTGATCCCCATGTCGCAAACACTTGGAAAAAAGACCTTCCAACACATGCAAAAGAGAAATAGCGTGCCCCTGATAATGTTCTTGGACTCCTAAGACAACACATTCTATCATCGGCAAATGCATGTAGAGTGTTAAGAGGACAAAATTTCCAAGCTCAAAAAGAGAAGAATCTCAATACAGATCCTCCAGTGGTACCCTACACACCAGGTCAATATTTGATTGATGATCCTTAAACAACTCAGTATCTTGTAAACTTTACACAGAGAATTTCAACTACCAAAAATATGGTAAAGCATAGAATGNAGTGGTACCCTACACACCAGGTCAATATTTGATTGATGATCCTTAAACAACTCAGTATCTTGTAAACTTTACACAGAGAATTTCAACTACCAAAAATATGGTAAAGCATAGAATGCCCCTTATGCATACTAAAACTAGGTTTCAAAACAATGGAGACATATATTTTTTAAGAAAATAGAGAACAAACTGAGAAATAAGTCCAAAACTCACCCGCTGGATGTTTTTCTTGGAATTCTCTCCATCTTTACTAGGAGATACCTCATTAATATAAGAAAACCGCTTATTCACACTTCTAGATTTTCTTGGTGGACCCATGAGTGAGTTCCTCAGTCACCTAAAACAAGATCCAAAACATGAGTTAGCAAATAGATTTAGGGAGTAAACAAGAAACCTACAACAATCATATGTTTTAACCATGCATGGGAAAAAACTAGAAACCTAGTTTCCATGTAAAATATTGTCTTCCCCCAGCAAGATAGTCATATAAAACATGGGCAGCAAAGTGATCTAAATAACTGGCTTACTCCATAAGCCAATTCTCTTGTTCAACGTTCATTCAAGAGGAACCTCTTAAAAAACGTTAGCCCCTCAATCCAACTTTTCTGAGAATTTTGTGCTGTATTGAACACAAATGAGCAGTAGAAAAGTGTCTACCTAAATAAGACTAACTGCGATGTACCCTCTCATAACTACAAAACCAAAGCCATATGTAAAGGAAAAAAACATTTTTTTTTTGGAGGGGGGGGGCTCTCCAAGCACCAAATTCCTTACCAGATGTTTATGACTTCTTTTTCCATATTTGTAAGTATAATAAGAGGGCCTTCCTGAATTTCTGCTTTCTCAAATTATGTTGTCCTTTACAACCATTAGTGGCTTCCTTTGTTTCCATGCCCATGCAATGCACATCGTCTTTTTGGTTGTGCTACTATGATAACCATATAAAGCCATTTAAAGCACAAAATCCACAACTTAACCTGTAGGTTTCTAAATACACAAAATTAAAATGAGATCTTCTTTGACCTCCAAATCTAATTCAATTATGTAATTTCAGCAATTGGAAATTAAGAAAAAAAAAACAATGGATATTAATTTTTAAATGGTTTGCATCATGTGGACCCAGCCTAACATCCACTTGTAATGTTCAAATGATAGAGGTTCAGCCAGAAAATTTGATAAGAAACAGCAACTAAAAAGAAAACACAGATCAACTCAAAAAGCCCTTACTTTGAACACAAATAGATGCTTCTTTCTCTAAATTCAGCTAAATGTAAAGTCTCAGACATTTCTCTCTCTCTCTCCCCCCTATCAAAACCCACATTATAAAATTCGTTCAGATTTCAAATTTGTAACTCAAAACCTGGTTAATTATGTATCACACAAAATTATTATATTCCAAACTCAGGTTGAAATTCTATCGAACCTCCCCAAACGCAAATCTACCAAATAAACCAATTCATTACAAGTACCTGGTCAAACAACTGATGAAGAAAATTTCTGAAAAGAAAGGAGCTGGCATCTGAAGAAAAAAAAAAGATGCAACTAAAAGGGCCACAATCAAGACATACAACAAGCAATCGACAACAAATAATTACTAGTTGTTGAAAACATTTATGCAAAAAACTCAAAAAGAGCAACAGTTCAGAAAAAAGTTAAACCCCTTTAAGTAAAGACAATTTCAAAAACTTCAAAACGAAACCCACAAATTATCTGTCATTTCAAAAACACAAAACTTCTTCGTCCAAACACTAATAACCCACACTCCAAAATTCAAAAAAAAAAAGATCAGCAAAAGTGAAGTGTTCACCTCGATCGGAAGCTTGTTTGAAAAATTTAAACCATTGGATGTGAGAGGCGAAGGGTAAATCGAGAAACGAACACAAGCGTACAGCCGATTGACGATAATGAAGATGATACGTATGGAGATATAGGAGATAGAGAGAGAGAGGAAGGGAGGAAGAGGAAGACGAGAAGAAGAAGATGGGAATTTGGGGCAATAACCGCGAAACTTGAAAACAACCAAAGCTTCTTGTACTCTGTATATGGTTGAGTAATCTTTTTGAATTATAAATAAAATTTGATGATTGTGTGTGAACGCGTCTTGGGTAATAGAGGTGTTCTGAACATCTTGGTGACAAACACTTCTCTTTGATTTGATTTTGGAGATTACTTTTTGTTTTATTTTTTAAGTGTTTTTTAAATAATATTTATTTTATATATATATAATAAAATAATTAAATTTATTTATCTTAAATTTTTCGCATTTCAAATTATTTGAGAATCGTTGATCCAACAGTTCTAATTAGACATTCATTCCTTTTAAAATTCTAATACTCCATATCTAATATAGCTCTCTCTCTATCTCATATACCTAACTCTCATACGTATATAATTCTCTCTCACACGTATATAATTCTCTCTCAGACACATATTTTAAACACACACTCTCACATCTCTCTCTATAATAAAAGTTTAATTAGGATCATCAAAACAAATAATGATATCTCATACTTTATCTCTTAGCATTATTTGTTTGTCTCAACAATTCTAATTGAACTTATTTACTCAAAATATTTGTATGATATTATATATGAAAAAATATTTAAATATTAAAAAAAAAATCTCTGATTGTAGATATTCAAAATTAAACTAATCAATAATAAAAAAATAACAAGTGATACCAATCACACAAAAAATATAAAAAAATTCAAAATCAAGTTAATCACTAATAAAAATTAACAAACGATATCAATTGTAAAAAAATAATTAAAAAATTCAAAGTCAAGCTAATTACTACGACTAATCAAAAATAATAAGTGAATCATATGCACAAAAAAATAACTAAAATATTCAAAGTCAAGCTAATTACTACGACTAATCAAAAATAATAAGTGAATCATATGCACAAAAAAATAACTAAAAAATTCAAAGTCAACCTAATTACTAATAAAAAAAATATTAATGACCAATAAAAAAAATAAGTGAAACCAATTGTTAAAAAAAAAAACAATATTCTAAACTAACTATAAATTTGTTTTTCTTAGTTGCATCGTTTTCTCCTTACTAATGCTCATATTATTTAAGTACTTGAATAGTACAAAATAAACACCGAAATAATAAAAATGTCAGTTAAATCAATTTTTTTAAAGTACTGAAATTTTGATTTTGTTGATTTGGTTTAATTACAGTGTGAAAATATTTCTGTAGCATCCGATAAGTCATAGCGACAAATAATTTAAATCAATTGTTCTTGTAATTAAAAGCAAATTCACTAAACAATGTTGTTCAATAGGTTTTTTTTTTCTATTTTTTTGAAATTTGATTTGTAGTTCAATGTGAATTAGACAACCTATTCATTAAATTTAGCAAGACATTGAAAAAATAAACACTTACTGAAAAAGAAGAACCACCGTGAATAAATATATGGCAGGATAATTTTATAATGGTGTTAATTTAAGTTCATAAGAATTTTCGAATTGTGTTAATGTAATATAATATTTTCATTTTAATCCTTGCACTTATTTTATTTAAAACATTCTTACATACGCCATTTGCTTAGCAAAATTTTTGTATTAAGAGTGTCTTAAGGCACGAATAATGACTAGTCTAGATATAAAGCAATTAACTTTTTAGAAAAAAAGTTTGAGAAGTCTTCCTTCGCACTTTCTAAATTTTAAGAATTTTGAATTATTAAATTCTCTATCCTCCAATCATATTCTACGGAAATGCCTCCAATAGCTACTCATAAACTCCCTCTAACTACTAATTATTTAATTTTTTAAAAATATATATACAATAAATTAACTTACAATTCAAATTTCAAAAGATAAACAAAATAATTTTTATTTTTGGTGGTTTAAATCGTTTTAAATTTTATTTTAAAGTTAATCTGGCGATTAATATTAACACCTTAAAATTAATAGGAAAAATAAGGGTCTAATGGTGTGTTTGAAGTGATTTTTTAAAAGTACTTCAATGAATTATATCTTATAAGTATTTTTTTAAAAAATAGTGTTTAAAACCGTATCACCACTACCTCTACTCTCACCACCCCCCACCACTATCTCTNTGAAATTTGATTTGTAGTTCAATGTGAATTAGACAACCTATTCATTAAATTTAGCAAGACATTGAAAAAATAAACACTTACTGAAAAAGAAGAACCACCGTGAATAAATATATGGCAGGATAATTTTATAATGGTGTTAATTTAAGTTCATAAGAATTTTCGAATTGTGTTAATGTAATATAATATTTTCATTTTAATCCTTGCACTTATTTTATTTAAAACATTCTTACATACGCCATTTGCTTAGCAAAATTTTTGTATTAAGAGTGTCTTAAGGCACGAATAATGACTAGTCTAGATATAAAGCAATTAACTTTTTAGAAAAAAAGTTTGAGAAGTCTTCCTTCGCACTTTCTAAATTTTAAGAATTTTGAATTATTAAATTCTCTATCCTCCAATCATATTCTACGGAAATGCCTCCAATAGCTACTCATAAACTCCCTCTAACTACTAATTATTTAATTTTTTAAAAATATATATACAATAAATTAACTTACAATTCAAATTTCAAAAGATAAACAAAATAATTTTTATTTTTGGTGGTTTAAATCGTTTTAAATTTTATTTTAAAGTTAATCTGGCGATTAATATTAACACCTTAAAATTAATAGGAAAAATAAGGGTCTAATGGTGTGTTTGAAGTGATTTTTTAAAAGTACTTCAATGAATTATATCTTATAAGTATTTTTTTAAAAAATAGTGTTTAAAACCGTATCACCACTACCTCTACTCTCACCACCCCCCACCACTATCTCTACCACCACCACCCCCCATCACCGCGGTCATTGCCACCCATTACAATCATCACCGTCTCCTACCACAACAACTGCTGCCCAGCACCTCTTACCCTCACTACAACCGATGCTTAAATTCATTTATCTCTCTTTTTTGTTTGTGATTTAATTTTGATTTTGAATATAAATACAAATATATTTATTATTTACTTTTTTTTTATTATTTTATGTTTTCAGACACTTATAATAACTAATCAAATTATATAATCTATTAATTTATATAATATTTTTTTAAACTTATAAAAAAGTGTGTAGGAGAGTAAAGGGCGAAGAGGGAATGGTGCGTGCATCGCATGAGGGTCAGACAATAATATATATATACACGCACACATACACACAAATATATATATACTAGCGGATAGATCACGTGATGCACAAAATTTATACTATCACGTTCCTTCACACGGTCTCACCCTTCAGTCTTTCTCTTTCCCCATTATACAAAATGGGTAGTTCTATAGTTATCAAAGTTTATAGGAGACTAAAAATTGCTAAAAAATTTAAATGAATGATAGTTACTTGGTAAGAAAATGAAAAAAGTTGTTATATTGGCCAAGTGTTGGTTGTTAATCGGAAAATACATAGCTTTGTAATTACTTAAATGAAAATTATAAAGATTAAGAAAAGTGGAAGGGAATGGAAGGCTTCTGAATCCCTATCTACTGAAAAATGATTAATTTATATAGATAAATTAACAAACGTCCATGTTGAACGCACAGTGTAACAAAAAAAGTTACATCTGATTTTTCTTCCCATAACAAATCTTAGTCATAACTCATGAATTGCATGACATTCATAATATCTATTCATCAACTTTCTCTATCGCACACCCAAAAAACCATACCTTTCTCTCTATATATAGTTCAATTTTACTATTTTCATTTCAAATTAATCCTGTGTATAACAATACACATGTATGTATACCTAAATATTATATACATTAAGATTACGGATCACTCTTATAAATAAAAATTAAACACGCTTCCAGTGATTATCTTTTGGACAATCGAGTCAATTGCATACCCGGATAAAGGAGAGTTGTATTTAATTAATTAATTGTTTCATAAGAAAATAGAAACTTTAAATAAGACCTTAGAAAATAGAAACTTGAATGTACATTAAACTTTCATATCAATTTAGATAAAAGTTTAGAGTTTAAATGGAAGGACATTGGAAGAAGAGTTAAAGAAAAAAAAACTCAATGAACAGTACTTCCGTCACAATGGCTTTTGATAGACAAATGTGTATAATCTTAGAAAAAAAGGGGGGATTGCTCTGTGTATATTAAGGTTCCTGACTCATAATGACATTCAGCGACGTGACTTAATTCCATTGTCATCCTCAAAATGATATTTATGATGTGTATTGTGACACAAGAACAACAACCAACAAAAGCCATTTGGAGGTAACAACAAAGCATGTCATAGATAATAGCATAAGCAGTGTGAGTAGTAGAAAGTGGTTCACTTAGTCTGATCTTCGAGGTCTTCTCCTCCACTGTATTTCCCTACTTTGCGTAACCAAGGATGCACAAGAAAACCTGGTAGTGGAGTTGTGAGCTATTGATGATGATTAGCAGGTCAATATTTTGTCTTGAGGTTCCTGCCTCAATGGGGTAGGCATCCTACAAGATTTTGTTCATTTTTCTTCACAGGGTGCAATGGCACTCAATTGAGGCAAGCATCTTTTGTCGGTGTTCTATAAATTCCGTGTCTGTATCATCAACTGGGAAACAGTGTAGCACCAAGACTATCCGGCATAAATTCAACACCACATAAAAAAAACTTAAAAGAAGCTCCAATGTGGTTTTGGATGGAGACAGTATATAGAATGAACAAGATTTGAGCCAAAAATTACACAATTGCACAAAAGGAGCAATATTGTTGGGTTCTACACATTTATGCTCTTAATGTAACATTAAATCACAACTGCCCAAAAAACCTGACATATATTCATGCATCATCTCGATGAATGAAAATGAGCATACACGAAAGTTCAAAAGAAAAACTTCATAAACACAATAGTTGAGATTAAATTACTTGCAGCAAAGTTTGAAGCCAAAGCAAGATCACCTAGACTAATTTCCCAAATAAATAGATGATTGTACTTCACTTGTCTTGTGCGTAAATAACTTTGAACATTGCTTCAGGCATACTAATCCACATCATACACTGAAAGCTCCAACTTTTCCTGATACAACTTCAACAGCTCAGAAGCTTCCTCCTCGAAGCACTCCACAAACTTCTTGAGAAACAACTGTTCTGTAGACTCCAACATTCTTCTCAAGCTAAAATCCTTAGTGATCAAACCTTTTTCCAACAAAGCCTGATAAACTGAACACCTCGGAACAATCCTCTTATCCAAGCTCAGAGAGATGATATCTGGTCTTCTTGCAATGACAGAAGAATCCAGACCCATTTTGCTCACTAAAAAATCCATGACTCCCATAATCTTATCCTCTGATGCAGTCATACACCACGGATGCTTCCCAAAAGCAGTGAGCACGTCATTCTCAGACCAACCCCATTTCTTATAAAGCTCCACCTTCTTTTTCCAAGTCAATCTACTCATCCCCCTCATCGCCTGAACAGCCTGGACAAATTTCATTGTTATAGGGTTGATCCCAATTTTCTTAACTTCCTCCACAATTTCCTTAAACCTATCAGATTTTGTCATGAAAACTCTAGGATGGTACTTCAACAGAACAACAAGATTTGACTCAGGCACCCCTAATTCTCTTAAAATCTCAATATTAGGTGCCACATAGGTTTGAAGATCATGCAACAAAAGCTTATGAAATCGTTTAATGGCGAAGACTGTATCGTCATCAGATTCAAGCCAATTCTTGAAGAAATCAAACGATGGAATGATTTGATTTTCCAAGCTTCTCCTCAGGATACTTGGTGTTGAAGACAGCATTTTGGCAATATCTAGGTTTGAAATTCCCTTAGATTGGAAAAAATCAAATTTAGGCAAAAGGGTTTCTCTTGGATCACATAAGAGGACTGAAGGATCTCTGTTTGTCATGTTTGAAATCTGGGTTTCAGTGAATCCATGGTTCTTGAAGAAATTCAGGACAGAGTCTGGTTTGTCAGGTGCTTCAAAATTCACATCCTTGGAGGCTGATAGTGCTTTTTCTAGAGAAAACCCACATGAGTTTATGAGGTAAGAGACTGTAAATGAGTGTTCATTTGCAGTGTTTGAGATTGATTCGAGAATTGTTGATGAGGACGACAATGGGTGGTTTTGGTGAAAATAGAGTTGAAGTCTTGGTGAAGATTTAACAACAGAGCTACCATACTGCAATTTTTTGCAAATGCAACTAAACATTGAGAGAGAACTTGGGGTAAATTTGAAAATTGGAAGCGACTCACCTGTTCTTCAGAGAAGATTGTTTGCACTTCTGAATTTCACTTCTTTGCTTAAACCCTCTCACCTTTTTTTGACGAGAAGCTTAAACCCTTCTCCAACCTTGATTGGTTCGTGCAATTGACCCGTGGGTCGACCCATATTATGATGTTCGGTTTTTTTTGTTCATCACTGTTACTGTGAGATGAACGACAAGATTGAAGCTCGTAACGTTGCCCAAAAGTGGGGTCAGTAATTTATCGGGTGTGAGTATGTAAGATACAATGGAGCAATCCTACGTGAACCTGTATCCTTCTTATTTTTTACCGTTAGATTGACAATAAATTTTATTATTTATTAAAATTAATTATTAATTTAATGATTATAAATTATCGTGTCACTAAATAAGATTATTAAATTATATACAAATAGTATTTCCCGTTACTATGTCTTGAAACCCTTAGTCTTTAATTAAATACAAAGCTTATTTAGATATTATTTTGGGACTTAATGTATTTGTGACCATTAATCTTATATCTTTGGGTAAATTATACTTTGAAAGATTTTAGAATTATTATTTTGTACTTTCAAAGATAAAATTTTTTACATTGCATTTTTAATGTATTAAAAGTATTATAGTGTGACCTTTTTATTAGCTTCCATTATTTTTTTTGTCAAAAGTCTTCCTATTATCACGGGCGAAAAAGATAGTGAAATCTAACAAAATAGTCACATTATAACACTTGTTATACATTGAGGGTGTAATATAAAATTTTAATATTTTAGGATATAAAATAATTTTTTTATTAAATTCTCAAGGTACTAAGTGCGATTCTCCCATTTGTTTTTATTATTTTAAAATCTTATTCATTTTGTAATTTCAACGAGTTAAAAGAGCCAAAATTGAGTCGAACCAAATTCTTGGGACTCATTCGTATCTGCCATGATATACGATCTCTCTATCTTTTTCAAAGTACTAGTTAATGCTCACGTGCTCCACACACAGTGGAGGAGGAGCCATCAAATTATTTTAGGGTGCGCATACTAGTATGTTTTAATTTTTTTAATAAATCGTAAAAGTTTATAAATTTATACTTATTAAAATTATATTTAATATTTTTTAAACATCAGAGATTAAAAATCCATATACTAATAAACAAAAAAATAATAATTAATTTTTTTTATCAAGAATGTGACTAATTATTATTAATTAAAATTGACCATGGTATGCTTTTATTATTTAAAAGAGTTACGAATTAATTTTATCAACAATATTTCCTTTATATATAAAATAAGGGGTAACAATCTTCTATTAATGTTTCTATAATTTACTTCATAACGGCACACGTTTTTATACAATAACAAAATAACCCTATAATTTTAAAAAAATTTATAAAATAAATTCAATATGTTCAAAACATATTCGTACATGTTTAAAAGTTAACAATTATATTAGTTGTACCTAATTTGCGATTTAATTGATGGAGACCTAATGGTTTGTGACCATTTGATAGATAGTAGAGTTTATTAAATATTGAGATTCACTATTATACTTAATATCGTAATATATTAGGTCCTTAAATTAAATTTCAATAATATTATTTAAAAAGTTAACAATCATTTAATCATTTAAGTAAAAGTCTATTCAAATCAGTATCACCAAAATAAAATATTATGATAGACACAATTAAATATGTCTAAATTTTATTTTAAAAATACATACTTAATATGAAACAAAAAAAAATTGAAGGAGACATTTGCCCACCCTAGCTCAAGAGTGGCTCCGCCCCTGTCTGCACGTGAACTTTTCTAAGAAGACAAAATATGTAATAATAATCAAGGAAAAAGAAATTTATGTACATGGTGAATTTTCTTCTCATGTGGAGAAAGAAGAGTCGAGAATTAGATAGTTAGACCAATAAAACCAACTGCATTCCTAACATGAAATTAGAAGTTTTTTTTTTCTTTTTTTCCTTTACCTCCTAGAAAGAACAAGGAAAAAGTAATGCAAGTGATCAAAATACAATTATTTCTTAGAATTTTTGTTCTTGCATTACTTTTATTTTTCCAATATTTTCTAAAACAAAGCACACACGTTAGTAAACATGTTAGCATGACATTTTTTCCAATCTTTTCGCCAAGGCAGCACAATTAGCATGACAAAAATAACCTAAGATGACAAATACAAAAACACACCATCCGAAATAGAAAATTTTCTTTATAATAACACCAAAAAAAAAAAAAAAAAATCCCCACAATTCTCATAATTCTATTTATAGAGAAATATAAATAATTAAAATATGAAAACACAGTAAATTACTTCAAGCTTTAACATTCAAAAACTAAAAATAATGTAATCGTATTGTTCAATTTGATCAAAAAGACAATAGAGAATAAAAAAAAAATGTAAAACTATAGTAGTTACTAGCAGTTTTTAGGTAGAGGCGTGGATTCATTTTTGTCGTGGCCAAATGGTAAGTTTGATTTTAGATTCCATTCTACCGGGGAGATAAAAGATGGTTAAAAAATAAAATACAATAAATTTGATAAGTACTGATTACTTAACGTTCATTTTGAGGTTAGTAATTGACCTAACGATTATCGTCCTTATTATTGGACCATATAATAGTGAATTCGGATCTTGTCACCCCTTTGACTATCCAAAAAAAAGTTTACATTTTCATATAATAAGTTAATTATTTTGAAAAATCATTACTTATACAGTTATACCAATAATTTGGTAATCAAATCCCATCTTCTAGAAAATGAGGGTCGGTAGGATCTCAGCCCCACCTTGCTGTCTCTCATGGTCAACTACCAATACCATTGGGCCAAACGTGATCTGGAACCAGGAATCAATCCATCATTAATAGGATTAGTTGTCCCCCTAACTCAGAAACTTTTCAAGATCTAAATTAAAGCTTAAAAAAAAAGTTATAAAATATTGTTATTGACCATACTAAAAATAATACTTAAACTTAAAACTCAAGTTATATCTTTTAAATATAAAATTATTATTGATTGAAATTATTAATGTCTGATCATAATATTATAATTTATCCCGAAATATTATAGTTGATCATAAATAATTATAATTTATATTTTGTAAGGTATAACTCGAGTCTCGATAACAATATTTTTCAATATGATACGAAAACAAACTTTTTGATACCGCTACATAATACGTAAACAATAATGAATTTCAAGGAATAGGTTGAGTGGTAACAGACTAACAGGGACGAGCTATAAACTCAAATATCTTTAATTTGAATTTTGACAATCTCTTAGAGTCAGAACCAAGATCATAAGAGATTCATTCTTCATGAACACCTTAGTCCCGGCGTAGATGATTTGTATTTAACTAGACAAAAGAGATGATTAGTCAAAGTATACATAAATTGACCTTAATATCCCTGATTGTTGAATATAAAAAAATGTGTAAACAATGTTATTATAGAGACGGGGGTGGCTAATTTTGTCATACTTGAGTATATGTGTTAAATTCCAGAGCGAGTCGGAGATATTAATAATCACGTATGATATAATTTAATAATAGTTGAAGGTGATACCTAAGATAGCAAAGTTTAGGGATATATAAATACTCACACGTGATAATTTCTTTAAAACTTTCAATAAATAACAAAATAAAGCGCCGACACCAGGCGTTAAAAAGAGATTCGAATATTTGAATTCGAAATTTAATAATTTCGTGGAGATTAAATGACGCGAAATTTATTTTTTATGAATTTTTTATTATTGACATGGATGATCTGTTTTTTTTTTTTATTCAACGGTCAAAGGTATTCGGGTCAGTTTACGCATATATCGATTAATTATCTCTCCGATTTAGTCAAAAATAGGTTATCTATACCAAAACTAAGGGATTTATGAGACATAAATATCTCATAATTTGACCCAAAAAAATTATTAATATTCAAATGAGTAATACTACATAAATTTAAAAAGTAAATTTAAAAATTAGACTTGATAATCTCAATCATTGATTTTATTGTGAGTCCCAATATTTATTGAGATCCATTACTTATTTAATGATTTGAATTATCTAATTTTTAAATCCATTACACTATTCAAATTTGAGAAGATTGAGTTTTCGGTCCGCCTCTATTATTATTTCCAGACAGCCGACACACGATTACGTTAACACCAAAACTCTTGTGACGCAAGCAAATCATAAAAAACAACCCCATTTGTGGGCCACGGACTTTGTCCAAGTCAAACCTCCACTTTTTTTCCACCTGTTCACCGGTGTAGCCGGTACCCTCCATTCCAACACAACTCCCATCTATTTCTTTCAACTTTAACCTTTACTTTTTTGGGGTATTTTCTACAATTATTCACTCTTTTTTATTTGAATTCTTATTATTGAGCAAACTTATTAGTAGATTAGATTTGAATTAAATTTGGATCCAATTTAAATTTAATTTCAAAACTCTTATTCAATTTTGATCTGATAAACCATTTCACTTATTTTTATAACATACTTTCAAATTATTCGATATTAAAATTTTGACCTAATCCAAAATAAAAAAAAAATCTATTAATTGAAATTTAAAAAATAATTTTTGGTTTTTAACTCAATTTCATCAAAAATTGTGTATTTATAAACATATACAAAGTGAAATTTAGATCAAACAATAGTCAGATTCAACATTAATATATGAACTCAAATTAAAATTAATATTGACAACTAATAACTTACCCAAAATAAATTAATGCAAAATAAACTATATGTAAGTTAATGCGACAAATAATAGAAATCAAGTTGATCGTATAAATGAGATAAATATCGAAGCTTAAGTCAGTAAAATATCGAAAGATTTTGCTTAATGGACTTTTTCTGGTTTGAGTTTGCGTACCTTTGTTCATTTTTTTGAGGAATATTTATACCTGAATTGGCAATGATTGTCAAAGATCTTCAGTCACATTTGGAAATCTTCATATTTGACACACCATCCCTCGTG